TCTCAGTTGAGATCTGTATTTGCCTTTTTTTTTTTTTTTTGGCTGAGGAGGAAGAAGCACTTCAGTTTTTAATGGTTGTCGAACTGATGCTCACATCGTTTTAGCTACAACCTAAAAATGATCTGAGCAACATAAGCTGTTGTTAATGTGTATCTGTCACATCCTTCACACTTCACTTCCCAGTAATAGAACTTTACTATATGGAATCTTTTAAGTGTAGAAATCACATTGTAGATGTTCGATAATATGTTTCTTTTGATGCTAAATTATCGAGCCACTGCTTTAAATTTATTAAGCCCCCTTTGGTCCACGTTTAGTGACCGTTTATACACAGGGCTGTCGCGGTACTGGCTGCCTGAGATGCAGTGTGACTCTATCACTAAATTCACACCTGAGAATGACAACATCGTACAGTAGGAAGTTAGGTAGCCTCAACGTCACTCGCTCTGGAAAAACTGCTGACTGGAAACAGAACGCAGACTCGTCCGCTGATTATCCCCGTTTACGTCCCGCGGCTCGCTAGTGTTTCAGTTTAAGCAGTGACCCTGTTAGCTAGCGACTTTCAGCCCAATATGTTGAATAACTGATGACTTTTTTTCAGCTGAAAGTGATTTACTACAAGTAGATACTGAGATTAAAGGTAGTCCGGTTGTACCCCTTACAAAAGTAATTAGCAAAAACACCAAAAATGTCGATAATATCACATACAGTGCTGTTGAGTTTCCTCTAAACCACTGCAGGGGAAATTCCTTCACTGCGAAAGCCCCATCTATATATATATATATCTATATCTCTCTATATATATATATATATCTATATCTCCATATATATATATTTGATAAACGCTAAAAATAATCCATGTTAAAGGTCTCTGGGCTGCCTTTGTTTACATTTCAACACATTTCCAGTTTCATAATGACTTTTTTTTTTTTTTTTTTTTTAAATCCTCGCTGGCAGCTGCAGCCATTTGTTTTGGGGCGAATCACACTGTCGTTAACATGATGGTAAGTGCGCCGTTCAGTCAGAGTCATAATGAAAGGTGTGACAGGCTGTGGTTTTGGGGGAGATGATTGTAACTCTTTCCGTCAGACAAATTACAGCTGTGCCAAAGTTGACTGGGTGTTCACACTTTTCTCACAGTCCCTTCAGTTGCTGACTGTGTGTTGTGACCGCTGACTTCCTGTCTGAAAGTTGAGTGGATGTTAGATCAGCTCAGGGTGTCGGGATGTTCTTTCACTGTTTGGTGCTTATAGCAGTGCTCTAGCTCTGCCTGCCCGCCTGCCAAAATCTGCACTATATATCAAGCTTGCACACAGGCAACAATTATATCACCTGCTGCCTTTTACAGCCTTCTCTCTGTTAGCTAACATTTGGTTTTACTTCCCTGTTAGTAACTCATTCTCTTGGCTGTCTGTTTGCTCAGTAATGGGTTTTTTGATATGTATTAAATCTGTATTCAGCTTGTCTGCCATGTAGGGCTGCACAATTAGTAGGAATATTATCGTAATTGCAATATGGCAGAAGTACTGTAGTGCTGCAGAGATGCCCTGGTCTATAAATATTGTTCTCACTTCTCATGATGTAAGAAAACATGGTACAGACCCCAACAAATGTCACATCGTTGGGATTTTTTCAGCAAAAATGAAAATTGTGATGCAAAAATGAGCAAAATTGTTATTTTTTTTTACATATCATGTAGCTCTACAACTACTATTTTCAGTATTGATCAACCTCTCGATTATTTTAATGAAAATTTGTGAACAATTCTCATCGTAGTTTCCCAGAGCCCAAAAAGACGTCTTCAAATTGCTTCTTTTGGTCCAACCGACAATCCTAAACCCAAAGACATTTGTTTATATCATAAATTATGAAGTAAAAGCAGCAAATCCTAACATTTAACCTGGAACCAGCAAATATTTGACATTTTTGCTTGAAAGATTACTGAAAATATCCGCCAACTAATGTTCTTTCCATTGAGTAATCGATTAATGGATTAATTGTTGCAGCTGTACTGCTATATTTAAGGTTAAAAGTGTACCCACAGTATATAATATCTTACATTACGGCCCTGGCACTACATTGATCTTGTGTTGTGGTCCACTTTAATAGTCAGTAGGACCACGTCTACTAGGAAACGGGCATTCTGCCCTGTCAGCAATGTGTTGGCAGTGTAAAGGGCGTTGTACTAGGGTTTGGCAGATCTATGAGTGGTTTTACTTGCTCTTGTCCAACCGTTAATTTAAAGGTGTTTGCAATCACCTTCCCATTTTTTTTTACTGCCTGTTGTGCTGCAACTTCCTCCTCTTTACTTTGCTGTGTTTGGATTAAACTGTTGTCGACACACACGGGGTGGGGGGGAGAGTGAGAGAGAGAGAGAGAGAGAGAGATTTTTATTACACGGAAAGCAGTCAGGAAAATATTCCTGGGTCTCTTAAGAAAAAATCAGTAACAGGCTTTGCATGGTACCCTGGGTAATCGCAGTCTCCATAGCTGATAAAACAAAATATGGGTGAGGTCACACGGTAAAGGCTTAAGGGGTTTTCGCTGTAAGGAACTATGCTTACCACACAGATTGACCTTGTTTCTGCGCCCTGACCTTAAAAAACCTCTTGGGGCCCCAATACTGAAGCTTCAGCGGATTAATTGCGAGAGCTTTGTTTCCATGTTAAATTTGGGTGGATGGGAAAGGGGGGGGGGGCGAAGGGTGGGAGCAGAGCAACCAACAACCGCAGATGAGTGTTGAAGCCAGGGTGCAACAGTGAAGGTTAAAACAACTTGTGTATTTTACCAGATTTCGGCCAGTCGCAGAAGTTCTTCAAGATTTAGTTGTACAGTACTTGCCCCAGCACCTAGTTTGACTTTCTGTGTGCGTCTTATGGCCCCCGTGCTGTGAGCAAAGATGAGGCTCGTTTTGAAAATCGGCGTTCACGTTCATGTGCAACGGTATCGAGGCAGAGGGGTGAGTGAGTGAGAGGCTAAGCGAGCGAGAGCCCTCCTTGTCCAGGGCCCTTCGGTAATGAGGCTCCAGGGAGATAAATCCTTATGAGACCTGACAGGGTGCCACATTCCTAGGCTGAGAGTCCTAGCAGCCCCCCACCTCCCCCTTTCCTCCCCTGAGCTCAGCTCTCTAGGGGCACTGCTTTATAGACTTCTGATGTGGTTCCCAGACCAAGACTCATGCCCACTACAGTTCACTCATCTGCCTTTTTTACAACAGCCACATGCATTTGAATGAACGTCTCTCCTGGCTGTCATAATTGCACAAGTCCGTTCCTGACAGCTCAGTAACCTTTAAGTATAAATACTGGCATATTATTTTCAATGGGCATATAAGTAACAGAGCCCGAGTCTATCGAGGTCCAAGCTCTTATCAAAAAATATGTTACAAGCTGCCGAATGCCTCGTACTCCCGTTAAGAGCCCGAGTGTCGAGCTACCAAAGTCAGACAAGGCTAAGAGATTTGATTAACTGTTTATGTCAGTAGTATTAGACTGTTGTTTGAAGTCAGCCTCCTGCTCTCCTTGGCAGGCTGGAAGCCGTCTGTGTGTGTGCTCTGTGCTAGTATTTCCACAGCCCATTCCTAAAATGGAGAGGGAGGGTGGGAGGGTACGGGGGTTGGTGGAGGGAAGGAGGGAGGGGGTAAGAGGATGAAATATTGGCTTGCACCGCTGAAGGCTGAGGCCCACTCTGCTCTGTGCTGAAGACGAAAGCAAAAGAGCGGGGAGAAGGAAAAGCACGCTAGAGTGAGAGAGAGTGAGGTGACTGAGTTCATTCGCAGTGTTGGCAGCGAGCCATCAACTTGCCTGTGGGTGTCTGTAGCGGTGCCAGTGCATGTGTTTAGCCTCTCGTCTGGAAGGCCCCATTCGCCTCAGAGTTTATGTCAAAGCTCTCTCATTGTGTTGGCCCTCTCATCTTGATTCAGGTTTTTTTTTGTCCTCTGCAGATCTTGTGACTGCCTTCAGACTTGTTTTCGTCCTTCTCAGGGGAATCTCTCTGGACTGGACGGCCATCAAAGGGAGGCTTCCAAGGAGGGATGGCTTATCTCACCCTTCCTTTGTCTCGCCGGCCTCTTTTTTTCGGGCCCTTTTTTGTTGCGCATATTTGCATTCTTTGTCAACATCGCGAGTTTCCCTCATGTAGTATTTCGCCAGCAGTGAGGTGTGCTCAGGGACTTTAGCACTTCCCTTTGCGTGGTTTGTTTATCCAGGTCTGTCTGACCAAAAGATGAGTGTGCACCAGTTTCTTGAAAATATTTGAAGCCACAGTTTAGACTACTCGACACAAAGGCAAAGTCTGTAGCCGGTGTGAGAATTTCTGCAGCGTTTTCCTATCTCATGGCCTCTCTTGAGCCCTACGTTTACAGAGCTCCTCTGTTCCTTAAAGCCAGAGCCATGTTCAGCTGTTTGTAATAGAGCCCTTTTGCGTAACTGAAATCAAGTGACACTTTGTGTTTGTGACAGTCGAGCAGGAAGGAAGGGTAGATAGTGCCACTCTTTGTACTGCAAAAAAAAAGAGTCAAAACTGGAGTGGGACAATGGAGGCTGGCACACTGACTCTCGAACTATGCCAGCGATGTAGGCACCTTTGTGGTGTTATCTGGTCTCAGGTTCATGGTGTTATAAAAAGTGCTTGTTAGCTGGTTGCAGAGGTCATTACTCAAGCCCTGTCCAGGTTTCAAGGGACCACTATGGAGGAACCAGGCCACCAGTGGAGATAGCTGACCTGGCATAAGTGCTAATGGGCTAATATTACAGTTTATAGACGGCCAATGAATGCGAGTCCGACCAAGTGTTATTATTTTAGTTTTAAAAGAAAATTCCTACATTTTAGTGTTAAAATAAGAGTGAGACACAAGTCTTGTTCAGTACACGGAATAAATAACTTCCAACTTCACAAAAACAAATAGTGGCGTACTTAACCATACGATGGATAACATTAACAGTTGCTGCAAACCCGCTCGTCTTCCTCCGTTTCATTCCTCTCCTGTCGCTGCCTGAACCCCTGTGTCTTCATCCCCAGAGTCAGAGTCCTGGTTGGAGCCGCTGTGGTCAAGTTTTTCTGCGACTGTCCGACTAATAAAAAGACTAAAGTTAACCCCTAGCAGACAGCTGTACTGTTACGGTATCACTAATCCACAGCCGTTAAACATGATTAATTTCATTTATTAGAATATACATATTAAGTCCTACCTAGCATCCGGCTCGGGTGAGGATTGTGTGTTCACATCAAAATACAGAAGCACCTAAAATAAACAAATCTTAGATCAATAAAGAACACAAGCTTGCAGTGGATACACTATTAATTCAATTGTAAGTGTTATATTTCCTTAACATTCCTTGTTGTTGTGGTTATTAAGTAATCATTTCTTTTCATTCCAGTTTCAAATCTCATTACCATCATGTATAAATTAAATGCGTGTGAGGTCGTCTCAGTGGCGGTGACTTTCCCTTTCAAAACTGCAGTTCACCCAGAGCACTTTGCTGTCTTGTCAAGACTTCGATCTGTGCCATGTTGAGAGCCCGTGTTTCTGCCACCGTGCCGCTTGTTGTGTAGCCTCGCACAGCGCCAGGACATGAGCTATGAGACAGAGAGAGAGAGAGAGTGTGTGAGAGAGAGAGAGAGAGGCGTCATTAGTCGGAGGCCCATAGAAATGGCAGGAGTCCTAATTTCTTTGTTGGCAGGAGTCACAGGGACACGTCATGAGTACTAGTCCACCCACTACTACTATCACAGGCGTTTAGTGTCTGAGAAGAGTGCAGTAACAAGCTGGAAAGAGCTGAATGTTGTACTGACATTGCATTTAAGAAGTCTTCAAATACATTCCCATTGATGGTTTATGAAGTTATTTTCATATTTCAGCATTGTCTCCATACAGTTATGTTTGTCTGTAATAATAATATTATTCATCTTGCCTCTTTGTTTTCACTCTCTACCTCTGTGCAGAGTAAACACCTCTTCCCGTAGCTTTTACAGCATGTGGGGGCGCGCTACAGCGTTTTACTCATTCAGTCTTTTCTGGTCAATATGACACACGCCTCGTAGATGAGAGACCGCTCTAGTTTGCATAACGTCATCTGGAGTTAAAGTCTAGTGCCCCGACTCTCAAGGCCTACATGTCTATGCTTCATTGAGTTATTTATGTTGCCTCTAAAGCCCCCATTAAACTCCTGAGTATTTTTGGTTTACGGGCGAACTGCTTGACTTGGCTGGTGTCTGTCTGTGTGTTCTCAGTGCGAGGACACTGGGCCATTCACTAAGCGGCAAAGGAGGGGTTCGGTCTAGCAGGTGCAGGGACTCTCACTCCTTTTACAAGGAGCAAAAGACTGGGGGGGGTGGGGAGCAGCTGTGCTAGGGAGGTGATGACATTCTGATATCCGGAGAAGACAGAGATACACACTTTTCATCTCCAGCTACTCTGGAGGCCGCTCGCCAGAAAAGATCCAATTGTTTCCGAGCAACAGTCACGCACGTTGCGTAATGTTTCATGCATTGTGTTTTTTTGCAGGTATGAAGGTGTTTGAAATGTCTCACGGCTCATCTGTTTCTTTTGTTGTTCTCTCTGCAGGTTGCTGGCTAAGAGAAACAGCCGATAATGCACGGCATCTGCTCCGGAGCCACACCCACTTCCTGTCTGTAGAGGAAGCGGCTGTGCCAGCATGTCCTCTCATCCCCAGTCTGTGCCGTCGGGCCGGAGGACTGTGGACACACGGCACCTGCCAAACCCTGCCAGTCTACCACTGCAGCTGCAACGGGCACACACGGTAAGAGGAGCTCCGGCACGCGATGCATTAAATGGCGCCACCTGTAGTGCGTCAACTTTTCTTTGTAGCTCTGCCTCTGCCTGCTGGGTGGATATTTAGTAAACAGGGTATTACTCTGAACCACTGGAGAGGGCCTGACCTCAGGGGCCCTGACTGGTGTTTTTCCATCAGAAATGTTCCCAGGTTACCATGTTGTGCACACAGAACTGTTCCCTCATTAGATGTTTGAGTTGAAAGTTCATGTTGTCGTCGTGGAGTCACGTTAAGGCCTCCCCATTGTATCCACACACATCCCCTAATTATCAAGATTATGTTCTCCTGCGTATCACGGACAAAGCTGTCTGTGCTTCAAAGAAGAGGCCTCTAGTTGATGTAGAAGTTCATTCCGTTTCCTCCAGTGTTTGTGAGGCTTTCTGTTTTTTTGTTCTTGTATGGCGGGAGAATCCGAGGCTCCCCCCCCAGGATCCCCACAGCTGCACCTGTGGTTAATCCTACCACTCCCTCTTATCATCACATTCAGGAGGAGATGAGGGTTGACGGGCTGTGTCCTACAGTCCCTGATTGGCAGAGGCGCAAGTTTACAGTAGCTGCATGTGTTACTCCAGTTGTGTGAGAAACAAATGGAAGGAGAGGGAGACATGAGGGATGGAGAGAAAAGCAGAAACAAGGCAGGGGATGGGAATGGAAATAAATATATTATTTTTGGGGTCTTTGCATCATTCTCAAGGAGAAAGGATACTGTATTTTGTTCCATACTGTGACAACTTGTTGTTGCTTGTGTTCCAGGAATCGGGACTGGTTGACTACCACTCTCACCATGCCAGGGACTACAGCTCCCACCTGTCCCAGCCGCATCGCCGTCGGCCTTCCTTACTCTCAGAGTTTCAGCCTGGGAATGAAAGGTAGGTGCACCGTGCTCGTAATGTCTGTGCTCGTATGGTCTTTTCATTGTTTCAGATGGCAGTGTGATTAAATTCTGGGTGCCCTTTAGCTGTATCATTTATTTATGCTGTATTATTTACAGTGTAAATATAGTAGCAGGGTGTGTAAAAGGAAAAAGAAGTTACATGAAATAACTACGTGAACATATACCTTTTTAACTGAATCAATTTATTCAGCATCGTCCTCTGCTGGGGATTGTAGATGAGATATTTTCACATACTAAGTACTGCATTACATTACCGCCCATTTTTAGAAAGAAAGTTAATCTGTGGCTTATTAAAGACATCTTCTCTATCTTTTATGGATTTGATTGTAGTATGATGTTGCCTCAAGGACCACAAAGTATTGACGTTATTCTTGACATTTTGTAGATATGTGTGACTTCTCTAAATCAAATTAACAAACGTTAACAGTGCAGTTAAACCTTTGTGCTCATATCCAGCATTGATCCCCCCCCCCCACTTTTTAGGGATGGATACAGTAATTATTGCGCCAGATAAATTATCAGCCAATAATTGGAAATGTAGATCTTGTGTTATTCCGATAAATCATCAGTTGATGATGATAATAACTCATCATCCTTACTCACTACATCTTAGCCTTTCTTACCTTCCAGTGTGCGTAAACTACAGCTTATAAACTTCTTTTTAAAATACAAAACTGTGAAATTATCTGTTATGTTATCGGTATTGTGTATTCCTTTTTTCTTTGCTTTTCACCTAACTCAAAGTTAATAACTTCCTGTTCTAGATGGTGTATTTTCTATGTCTATATCTATATAAGATATCTAAAATATTCTAGTTCAGTTCTACACTAGTATGGTTTCTGGAAAACTCCACTTATTAGCCTCTGCATCACCTGATTGACGAGGTTGCCTCTGTCCTTGCCTACTGTGGCTTTCACTGTCAGTCAATGTAAGAATTATATAACATTCAGATGAAAATGGTGGTACTGCCCCTTTTTAATGTATTTGTCCTTGTTGAGTCTCTGCGACTGAGGCATGCTCGATGAAAAGCGTCATGCAGGCTGCATTTTTATGCAGTATTACTCTACTAAAGCCTCTGCCTGTTAACCCTCCCCCAATGTAATCCTTATGTAATTGGCATCCGCAAGCCATTCCTCTGTAATGTTGTGTTAAACGGCTCTGCGGGGCATTGAAGCTTGTAGAGTTTTTGCCATCTTCAATAGGCCAACTGTAAGTCAGGCAAAGCATTGTATGTATAGCACTTTCTCTCTGGAGGCTCAGGTCTTGTACCTATCAGAGTTGTTTATTATTTATATAGCCAATGCTTTTTTGGAGGATGAGCCTTGATGAGTACTTATGAATAATTTATGTGCGTGCCATGAATTTTGCATGATGCACAGAGGATAAGAGGATAAATCTAGAATATTTTCTTCTCCTCAGTTGATTTTCTCACATATGTTAAAACATGAGCAATAAGTTTACTGGAAATCGGCTGGCAGATATTTGTTACATGACGTGCGCGGAGTGGGAGCCGTCTTACGTAAATATGTCAAACAATTGGAGTAGCTTTTTAGCTGTCGGCAGATGGTAGAATGACTCTGTACCAGTGTGTGGCCTTTGCATGTGTTGTTGGCGTCTTTAATTCAATCGGACGGGATTATGGGCTTCAATGTAAAGCACAGAGCTGTGTGTTGGCCCTGTTTTAATAGTTAGCATAGCTTAGCCCGCAGTGTGGGAACACCGGGTCATGGGTTGATACAGAAATAAACACCACACTGTTCAACTCCTACCCACCAGCTCCTGATTTGCTGACACCCTTCATTCAATCACCGGTGCTTTGGCAGTCTCTCTCAGTGTACGTAAAGCCGGTTTCTGCAGGACAGATGCCTTGTGCAATTTCTACAATGGGGCACTGAGGTTGTTTTTCAGTAGATTAAAAAAAAAAAATAACCATCATATCAAAAGGGGAGACTAGCAGTTAGCCCACGTTTCTTTGTGGAGACTGTGAAATAAACCGCTGGTCGTGGTGGCAGGCGTCTGTGGGTGGGTAGTCTTTCAGTTGGAATATATCAGGCATTCAGAGGGCTTAGAAACGCATCTGAAGCCCTGATTCTATGCGCTCATTCACGACTCTCAATAGTGTAATTCTGGCCTTGGCAATCCTTCAATCTATTCTCCTCTCAGATACTTGTCTTTTCACAAGTCTCAGTAATTGTGCACACCGTGTCTCCATTTGTGGCGAGCTCCTGGTTGTTCATGCTCTGACTGAGAATGCGAGCACCAACATGGCCTCAGAAACTGCGCTTTCCTGTAAAGGGGTGACATTGCGTCTTTCTCAGCACGATCGGTATCATCCGTCTCCTCTTTAATTGTCTCAGACTGAGGACAAGGTGAAAATGTGCCATTTGGTTAATGCTCCAGATTTACCCTAATTACAGGTCAGAAAACCACTATAGTATAATCACTGGTGAGCCACTGTGCTAGTTGTTTGTTTCATCCTCCTCTTTTTACTCCAGGCAATATCTCAGCCACTCCGCCTCTTCCCATCTGTCTGAGATCACCCAGGCTACTTGAGAGTACATTTTATAGTGAGCATAACAAGACAGAGAAACCACTTAACAGGGTTTCTTTTCTGGCCGGAACAGAGAGTAGGGTGCAAACAAATCTGGTGCAATAATGCGAAAACGAGTTTGTACCAACGGCCGTGATTATTCTCGTCATTTATTTATGTGAACTGTCAAAAGTGGTATTTTAAGGCTTCTGTTCAGACCTTTTAGTATGTGTATCAGTGGCAAATATTCACACAAATGGTTCAAAGAGGTGTGATCTGTACTTGATTATTATGTCATGTTACCATAAGTGTGATTTTTAGTAACACTTTTTAAAAATGATTCCGGTAATTGAAGTTTATTTACATATTTACTGACTAGTGGTGTAAAAAAAATATCAAAACACTTTGTGATTTTGTTTCGTGATGTTTTATGGATTCTCAAATTGTTTGATTTTTGTGTTTAAACGCTCAACCGCTAGATGGTAGAGATGGCATTTTATACGCTATTGCTCAGTATATCATGGTGAATTTTCATTATCTGGATAATTGTGAAGATTTTAACATGAGTAAAACCTGTCTAGCTGTCTAGTCTTATATTGATTTATTGATTTTATTGTGAACGAGGGGATTAAACCCACATGTTTACAGCCTGTCACCACAGCTGAAGCCTTTGTATTTCCTGCAAAGGGAGATGCTTATCGGAGGTGCAATGCAATAAAAAATACTTGTTAAGTAAAGTACAGTTTGTTTTTGTGCCATTTTAAGATTTTTAAGCAACTAGTAGGATTATTAGGATGATCATGGCCTAAAGATTTCGTCCCACGCCCACTAGAGCTGCACGACGGCAACTGTGATCGGATTTAATGCTTCACTCGGCACGAGTCAGTGAACTGCGACAGTGACGGTAGCTTTAGTTACCTGGCCGAGAGGTTGGAGGTGTGCGGCGTGCGGCCTGCGGCTCTTCCTCTAACAGCTCACTGTGGCTGCTCCTTCTTGTTCCATTACTGCGAGACATATTTCAAACTGATCCGCTGTCCAAAAAAAACTGCGTGTTTCTCCAGTTAAATGCTTTTAATGTGAAGCTGCAGCAGTTGTCAGCAGTAGCTTAATGCAGCAGGTTTTTTTCCAGGAATAAAAGCCTCTAGGTGTGCAGTAATATGACAGCTCAACTAAAACATCTCGATCACCTGAAGTGGCTGGCTGTTAGTTTAGGGAGCGCTCGACTGAGAGTTTTCTATGAGCAGAGCATTTTAAACGTCAATAATGTAGACGATCAGGTTCATTTAATTGTGGGAAGCAAAAACCAGGATTGCTGTGATAAATACAAATGTATTTTAAATCAATACATTGCAGAATATTGAATCGTGACCCCTGTATTGTGATACTTATTGTATCACCACAGCCCTATTTGTCAGTTATTTACATGTTGTTGGTTTCTGTAATCTTTATTTTTTAATTTGTAATAGTTATGTCAAAAGGAAACCATTTAAGTTTGAAAAAGGAGTTTGAAAGCCAATTATGATGCATACAAGAATCGCTTTTCCCACCTCTGTCTACAGTACAATCCCTTGTAGATCCCAAAGTTACCCTTCCACTCTCCATAACATATCAGATTCTTACAAAATACTGTTTATTTATGTCAGTATCCAGCCTTTAGCGTATGTTAATATCCCTGTCTGTTGTTGTTTGGCTGGTAGTAATGAGGTTGAGTGGAAAAGTTGAGTCCTTGAGCACATTTTTGCAAGTTTTCAGACTCCGCCCATCGTCCCTCCTCTCCTTCGTCTGTGCACGTCGTCAGTTTCATTCATCCCAGCTGTGGTGCAGTTAGCGTGGCTCCTCTGTTAGCCGTCCCCTGCGCGGTGCACAGCTGGGGAGCAACGAGGAGATTGGCAGCCGCTCAAACGCCGTAGTGCTTTCACAAGAACAGACTGCTATCTGCACACACAATCTCTGTTCTCGTCGTAACGGGGGCCCAGTTCGTTAGAAAGTAATGGAGCTCTTGTGGGGATGTTGTGCTTGTGTTGTGCCCCCCCCCTCCCCTGTTCCTCTCCTCTTCCTCCCCGCTACCCCCACCTCTACACACACATCTTTCTCTCATCCTCCAGACAAATCCTCCCCAGGGATCAGATTATTCTGCACGCTCACAAGAGGGACAGGGAGAAAGAAACTGGGAGAGAGAGGGGAAGGGAAGAGGAGGGGGGAGTGGGTTAGAGCTTGATGATGTGATTATGTAAGTGCCAAACCTCTATGGAGATGAGGAAGTGTGCGACTGAATGAGTGAGAAAAATGTGTTCAGGCGGGGGTAGTCACACACCATCTGGGTATTAATTTTGCCCCCCCGCCGTTATTTTTTTTATTTTATTTTTTTGTCAAGGTACAATTTAGGCAATCACACAGATAAGCATGCACAATCCATTGCTCCCTTCAGCAGCCCATGACACCTTTTTAAACACGCAGATTTATCCCTACATATTACATAAATGATGCACATCTCCCCATATAAATCTCTCCTGTAGTCCGGGGATGGTCTCGATCATTACCCCACCAGCACCCTTCCAGCCAGAGACGAGGCTCCGTGCTCTTTGGCACATAAAGAAACCACACACTAGGCCATTGTGGGCCTGCACCAGCAATTATGGTTGTGTTTTCCCTCTTCTCTTCAGAAGCCACTTCCATTTTGACACTGGCAGCGAAGTCACTGACATTCTGGCATCTGCCTCCGGGGGCGAGACTTGAGAGAACCGTTCCCCCTCAGAAAAGAACAGAGAGCCATTTACAAGTGGGCTAATAAAAATTTCCCAGATCTATTTAGCTAGCCGTTAACGTTCGGAAGCTGTCATTTGACTACACGCGCTTTTGCTCGTTGCTGGCTATCGCCCTCCCCCACCCCCACCACCTCAGTTTATGCGGTTTCATGAGCAGATCACATTACAGTATGGTGCTTCCCCCCTCCTCCTCCACTGGCTGACTGTTAGTGTAATTGTTAGCATTCCCGGCCAGATTCCAGATCAGTTCTAGTTTTGGGGTACAGTTTAGGGAGTGCCATTGCTCGTACTGCAAGTCTAAACAAAGCACTTTTTTTGGGGGGGCTTTGTGTGTGTGGCCATTGACTGCCTAGCAAAACCCCACACAAGAGCCGCTCCACCATACGCTGCTATATTTGAAACCATTAGTTGCTAGTGTTACAGTGAGTCACCATTTCCAATTTTCCTGCTTCCCTTTCTTTCCACTTTCCAGTACCGAGTGACCCATTGCATGCTCCCATTTTGCAGAAAAAATGGTCTTCAGTGATTACTTTTATAATGATTTAGTTTGAACCAAATCAAGCCAGCTGGCGTTTGTGTGTGGGCCTTGAAACACAACGGTAAAGATTTGGGTCAGCATGATCTAAAGCTGTAACTGTCATCTTGTGCTTTCCCTACAAATGTGTCTTTGTGTGGTTAAATGTAGCCTAGTGTAAATGGGATTTGATTAGGCCATCGTGTTTTAAACAAAGCTAGCATTGAGCGATGCCGCGTCTCTCACTGTGAATATTGTCTCAACGCTACTGGTGTCTTCACATCTCAGTATCAGTTTAACGTGACACACATAATTATTATTTTTGCTTTTGTCCATTGACCTAGTTGATTATGTCGCTTTCCATTTGCTTCAGCTTTTACTAGAATGTGTGTGTGTGTGTGTGTGTGTGTGTGTGTGTGTGTGTGTGTGTGTGTGTGTGTGTGTGTGTGTGTGTGTGTGTGTGTGTGTGTGTGTGTGTGTGTGTGTGTGTGTGTGTGTGTGTGTGTGTGTGTGTGTGGGGGTCTGACTATGAACGTCTGGTCTAGTGTTTCAGGCAAAAGATTATCATCAGACTTAACAACATGGTCCTTATCGTCCATTAGTTCTTTATTGGGACTTGTCCCTCTCTCCTTCTGTTTGGAATTTGGGGGTCAGCCATGATAGTGAAGTCACAACCCACCTTACTCTGAAGGGTTTAACTTGAGACAACAATTGTAGCACCTAGACTGGCTTTGTTGAAAAATAAGAAATGGTATTGGAACATCTCTAGCTGTGGATAACAACCGTGTAGTAGTTCTGTTTTATACCATTTTCTAGAGTCCACTTGGAGGACGTGTTCCCCTGCAGTGTAGAGGCTGTGTGGACAGTCCTCATGGTCACAATAAATCGGTGGTACACTAAAGTATACCTGACCCTAGCGTGCTGTCACGTACTCGGAGTATAATTAAAATTCTTGCTTATTTTGTACTTTTTTGGCCTCAGCTGTGCTTAGAGCTAAATACCACTGTACTCTCCTTCCATGCTAACTTTGGTATGTTCACATGTCTACAGTTTGTCCCTTAACACGCAAGTTAACTAATGGATCTAACATTAGCCTTCTTGCTATTTTAGCATTCATTTCAAAGTGCAGCTGGGGCTCAATGGGTCAATATTTCTACAGTCATCCTAAAAAATAAGTCCCAAAACTGATGGACGTTTGTCCTCCGACTTCCACGAATGTGAGAAGCTCTTAGAGAGTCGTTTACAGTGCCAGTGTGGCTGAAAACCTGATGCAAGACACCAATATATCAGGAAAATACTTACATCAGAAACTGTCATAACTGAACAAGGTTTGTTATCACATTAGGAACTGCTGCCTGCAGCTTACTGTCTATATGAGGTTTATCAGGAGCTTTCAGTGCTTTCCTCTCATCTGCCACGTTTGTATTGTTTCTGTTGCAGAGGACAAGAGCAGCATATCCGCTATGACCACATCTACCTGCAAGAGCCCAGCAGCCAATCAGAGGTGGAGTATGCAGAGATAAAACGGCCTCGCTTAGAGATGGGATCAGACTCTCTGATGAGGCCTTCGTCCCACCGGCCACAATTGCCTCTGGGAGGGGCTGAGGATATGGCAAAGGTCAGTAGTCACTATAGAATACAGAACATGATACACAGCAGGATGGTCAACAAGCAGATTACATAAACATTGAATGTTTAGCTATTGTGCTAATGGAGGGCTAAATGTATCGCAGTGTTTTTGATGTTTTTTAGAAATTCCTAATGAATATTCAGTGACCACTTTCTCTCTTTCATTACGCCTTTTTATTCTTGAAATCTTTTGTCTTGTGATTAATCCTGCCAGCCCTCCTTCAGAGGCACAAAGGATATTATTAGACACACAGCAGAAGTGGTAGAAGGAGATTCTGAATTGTAGGAGATGGAGCTGTGCGAGCAGCAGTGGGAAGACTAAGGCAGTTGTGAAACAGCAATTAATAAATAATAGAGCTCTGACCTAGATTTCAAAAGAGTGAGGATGAAACTGTGTGAACTGCACATCAATACGACTTGCTTGCAGTGTAGAGCTGCTGATGGGGAGGTGTTCCTGACATTACACAGAGCGCCAGGGGAGGCAGACAGCCAAGGAATGGTAAATAGATACACCAATAACAGAGGGTACAGGAAAAAAAACATTGACTCTTAAGCTAGCAGGGAAATATTCAGGAATGCCAGCAATTCCCCTCAGAGCACAGAGGCCTGCAAACTAAAGCCATTATATAAGTCATGTCAGATGCAATCATTGCATGGAACAAGTGCACAGAATGATAGTGGGGGATATGAGCGCGGATACAACTGAAAACGAGGCAAAGGGCAAGTGTAGGGGAGGCTCAGATAAAGTGCAAACGGGAAAGAGAGGAGCAAGGGACAAAGACCAACAGGAGAAGAGGGAGTAGGCCAATAGAATCAGACAAAGCCGATGCTTGTGTGATGACTCACATGGACAGTAAATCAGAGGGACAAAAGCAAGTTTTTGTTACAGTACGCCATTGTGCAGTCATCCTGATTTTAAAAAAAAAAAAAAAAAAAAGGGAATATATGAGATCCTTTTTTAAACGGGTGCTCTCAAACATTTTCCATGCATGTCAAACTTGCCTTATATGGCCCAAAGAGAGAGCAGTGCTTATTGGTGGTATTTATACAGCTGTGGAAATCCACATGTGACAAAGCTGACTACCCCATTCAGACCAAAAACAGTGATGCTGGTCAATCCACTGTTTGGTGTTCTACCTGAACGGGTCAACACGAGTTAGCTGACCCCCCTTCGGGACTAGCACCAGACCAATAAACAGACTGGGCTGAAGGAATGTAAAGAAACTGCCATACAAATATGTGAAGATTCAAACCGGTGAGATGAAAAATGAATCTTGGTATCAAGGTGCAAAGATCGGAGTTTAACCTTTACTAAGAAAAATAGATTTTTGCTTTTAGGGCTGCACAATTAATCGAGATATTATGGAAATCACAATATGGCGAAGCAGCAATTGTGAATGCAAATGAAGTACTGTAGGTGCTGCAGAGATACCCTGGCCAACAAATCTTGATGTCCAGATTTAATAAAACATGTTTGTTTAGTATATACACCCAAAAAACTTCACATCATCATGATTTTAATAGTTTTTTTTTAATGAAAATGTAATTTGTAATACAAAAAAAAGGATCATTCTCACACTAATTGTGAATTATATGTCAAAATAATAATAATATGATGCTTTTACTATATCGTGTAGCCTTAATTGTTTTGCAGTTTATACCCTACCTATGAAATAATAAAGGATTCTATAATCTGATAAAAAAAATGTGTGATGATAAAAAAGAAGAATCTCAGTCATAATTTGACTTCAAGCTCACACAAACAAAATAGTGAGAAAATCATATTGTAGACCCAAATTGTGCATCGTTACATCCATACTGGGCTTCCAGGTAATTATTGGCTGATCACAGATAAATCGGTGTTGCTATATAAAGCTGAAGGGTCGACTCACCGTTGAATCACTACGCTTTGTGTTGTACACCGAGCAGTGCAGGAGCAACTGCAGGGCCAGGTTATAAACCCTACAGAGTCTCAGAATGACTTCAGATTATGATTGCAGCGGAGAAGGGTAATGGGCGATGGAGGGAAGCATGACGGAGGGCAGCGTGACCCGTCTCCCTCAGCTCGAGTGGAAAGTCTCTGTCCATAAACAGAGTGTTTGTCCTGCACACCTACGATGTGTCACCTTAACAGCCTGCTGCGTGCTGCGTGGGCGCACTGGTGCTGAGGAGTTTTACTCCATTAGAGTTGAAGACATGGACACAATTCGGTCGGTGCCATATAAGTATCGTTGTTCGGAATCCAGCCCTAGTTTTAACTCTGAGATATAATGCACAAATATCAGAGAGTCCAGTTCTTTCCTGGTTGGGGAAACCAGACCTCTTATTAATCATCATTTAGCTGACCGAAGTTTTGCACAATACTAAACATTTTCTCAGTTCACTCCTAAATGGGAAGTGCACGCATGTGGGGGGAGCATTATGATATAAAGAAGGCAAACGGTGAAAGTGAAACTCGGGAGGTTCAGTGTAGTCACAATATGACTCTGTATCTGGGCCGGTGACCTTATTGGCTCAGGATGTTCAGTAATCAGAGACAACACATGCCCAGTAGTCAACACATCATTGGCTCGAACAAGACTGAGTGTCTGCATCCAGAACGTAGTGCTTTGGTTTTTGAACAGCAGCCACATTCATTCACATCATTACTGCCACTTATAGTAGATGTAAATAAACCATAATATAAAGAAAATAGTATATAATTTATTTTTTTTGGGAACATTTTAAATACTATTTTCATCTGACCCACTTGCTTTCTCCTCTTTGCTCACTCACTTAATTATTGTTACAGTGATTACAAGTCTGGGAAAATAATCTATAGTTACATGACGACACCCATTGAGGTCCACGTTTAGTAACCTTTCAAGGCAATGACGTAGAATTGACATAGACAGCAACAAAAGTGTCTTGCATTTTAAAGATTTTTGCTTTTAAATCTCAGCCGTGTTTTGACTATAGAGACCTTTACAATGAGATTCAGCTTTAAAACCTAAGGAAATGTCACCGCAGTCACCTCGGTTGCAGTAGCTTTTTTGCACCTGCTCATGTTAACGCTACACAAGAGAGGGAGAGAGAGGAAGAGAGAGAGAGAGGGGGAGCGCTGGATGTCCAAAGGAGAGGGGCTATTGTGAACTTAGAGCACACACTAGCATGAAAACAGGATGTCTACGGCTTTATTCAACCGTTGTCTGGAATGCATACACTTAAGACTACGTGACTCAGTCGCACAGGCTGTTGCTTACTAAACAGAGCACACTGACACAGACACGCTTCAACACCCAGAGGTAGTTTTTAAAAAAAATAACAACCCGATACACGCACAGCCGGAGACATCACGCAGTGGTATGGTTCTAAATGTAACCGGGGTTGTGGAGGGCATATAAGCTGTAAGCTGCGCCGGGCCGAGGGCTTAGCTTGACCTTTTCACACTATGTCACAGGTGTAGTAGCTGCTGATGTGCTGCCGTACTGTCGACGAGTTCAGAGGACAAAAGACCGGAGGGAAAACCTGACTTGACTTGGAAACTTGGACTGTTTTCCACTTGAAATATATCATATTTGTCATAACATCAAATCCCCCCCGTGGTTAAACACTCTGTAAACATTCGCACATACTGTCCTTGAGTCTGCAGCAGAACAAAGAAAGGAATTAAAGCTTCATATACAAATAATACTGTTGAACACGACGCCCCTCCCAAAACCATTCAATGATGAGATGTTGTGTAATGATATCTGTTTTTTACGTCATCATGATTTTGTCCCTTGAGAGAGATTTCCGGCATGCTGAGCTGTAACACAGGTCAGCAGGGTGTTATCTGCAACCCACGGATGTTGTTGGACACAAAGTCAAACCATCCTAGGAGCTGTTGCATGGTGGATTTCTTTTTTCTTTTCGTGATTAACCGGCTTTGGCAAACTGGGGCTTCATCATCTAGGACATCCCCTCAACATCCTCTGGCACTGACATTTTCAATCACAGCAGGTCTACGGGGCTATAATGCTGCCTCCCTAGTCCAGATCAGCCCACTTACATAACCTTCATTTCAGACGTTTAAAAATAGCCCAGAACAAAAGCCCAAGCTCAATCACACGTCATTTAGGGCTATAAACCCTAGAATGCTCACATACATGCACACATACAGTCACTAAGGAGAGAAATCCTGCCCCATGCAGAACAAGTGGGCCCTCTGTTACCATTTTGCGTGTTGTTGTTACATAAACAGGCACATGTAATGGCAACTTCACTTCCACTCTTGCCTTGCATGTGGACGGATTACTGAGAATTGGCTCAAAGCATGATCTACCAGCCTGTGAAAAGAAAACAAGCGTATTTATGTGGGCTTTTTCAGAGGTGTATGTGGACCAGGACACCAGAGTCCTCATCAGACTGTCTCGGAGACGGCAGGAGATTTAACGAATCCGACAGGCTGAAGAATTCCAGTTTAAAATGAAACGCTATGAACGATAATAGGTGATAATAATATGAATTATAGTATAAACTTCCCGGCATCGGCATAATTTAATTAGAGCTGATGAATTATCGTTGGATATTAATAATCATTTATTTTGAATCGTTATGCAAAACATTGAGAGGCTTTATGTTCTATTAAAGTAAGTTTTTTTTTTTTAATCGACTAGAAAAAGTAATTAAAATATCCATCTCCCTACATCTTCACCTTCAGGAGTGTAAAATCTACAGGTAATGAACTGTGAAATTATCAGTTATCTTATCGGTATTGGCCATGAGAAGCAGGTAATTATTGGTTCTTATAATAATAATATTCACCAGACTTGGTGAATTAATCATGATGTACATGAAGCGTGTGATTTAAACGTCCATTCAAATACTGCCGATTCAATAAAAAATCTAAGTGTAAGTTCAATAAACATTTAATATTCAATATTCTTCTTTCAATGCAATTGTTAACTGCTGTAAACTGTCAACTGCCATAAAAGCTCATAGAGGAAGAAGAAAGGCGCTGATGTTCCCTGTTAGCAGGAAGCCAGTTTCAATATTGGATGACAGACAAAAATCAAGAAAATGGATTTTGTGGTTGAAACGTAGCAGCAATGCAGCTGGAAGCACGGAGAAAGAAGTGAAAAAGAAAGCGAAACGGGGCCAAAAAATACCGTCGGTATCAGGAAGAATATGAATAGAATGGGATTTACCTCAACGAGCCGCAACCCTGCCAAGATTGTTGTTCAATAAATCACAGACGACGCAGCGCTGTGTTTAAATAGCTCTTTCAATATAGCAAAAATGTATTGCGCTGGTCAGGAGGTTCTGGGCTGGAAAAGTATTTCAAAGGGGGGATATAATGGTGAAAAAACGTTGGGAACCTCGAGTTTAAAGGAACCAGACTGTAGAATTGGCACCGCCAACCGTTTATCTGGATTAATATTCACTAATATTGGGTGGAAACATCACATTTTTTTTGCAGTTTTTCTGGAATTTCTACTAAAATATGAGCTAAATTTGGACCAGGGGCGGTGCCACACTGTACTGAAGATGGGTTTATAGTGAGAGTGTGTACTCAGAGCGTAAATACCCTAACATAGGAGTACTGTAATATACCCTGAAGATCACCGGTTTGATGAACAGCGTCTCTCTGCTCTCTCGTCAGTACGGCTGCTCAGTTGATGAGCCTCACTGTGTATTGTTTGACTGACAGATGCACACCATTTCCATTTTTCTGCCAGAAGACATAACTATTAATTACCTCCTGAATTTCATCTACACTCATGTACCACCCTTCAGATTCCAGCCCCCCACAAACGCACACACATCCTAAAAACCAAGTATTTCACATTTCAAACTCAGTCTCTTAAGCAGAGCCAGTTGCCAGTGCTCTTGTGTATAATCCCGGCGAAGGAGGCTGTGACCTCATATTCATTAGTGTGGTCTAGTGACACTGAGACACTACACTGGCTTTCATTACCCAGAGGACTTAATTACTGCCGTGTGTTACCTTCCCGAAGGACACGCAGACTGTTTGGATGATTTCTTGCAGAGTAACCTGCAGACCTTGCAATCAGAGGAAGACAGGGGGGGAATGTGCGAGTTCGCTCCCTCTGAAACGGTCAGGCCACATCACGAAGGTCTTTACGCTCGGTTGGATGTCAGATACTTTACTCTGACCTGCCAGCTGTAATTAATTCATCCAAACATTGTGTCGACTTACCACATGAAATTCCTCTTTGTCCTCATTCTTCCTTCTCCCTTCAGATTTTAATTAAATTAACTGTTCTACTTTTTTGAGCGTAAAATTGAAAATACTGATATTCAAAGCCCGACCACTATTATCGGCCAATGTTAATATATCGGTATCGGTGTGTTATCCAATAAATATATGTAGATATTTGGTTATTTAATGCTGAAAACATGCTTGTAGTTTTTACAATACTGATGTTTATCTATTTATTTATTCTTTATTTAAATTGTCAGTAATTGACTGACACTGAACATCCAGTACTGATATGTATTTATTTTCTCTTGTTCATTTCTAGCATTGGTTGACAGTGTAGCCTATGAGTTAAAGTATTTAACATGTTATACAGTGTTAAATTTAAGTTATTTGTGTAACAAAGCAGCCTTCTGAGTACCTTTGCATCGCCATATCGGTGTATAATTGCTCTATTTTTATTCTGTCATCTCGGAAATTGATGAACTTGGCCTCAAAAATCCCAATCAGTTGGGTTCTAATGATATTACACACGTCTAACTGTGTCACTCTTCTCTCTCTGCTGTGCCTCTGCAGGACCGTGGAAGCTCCATGGGGAAACTGGAGCCCATCTCCCCCGTGAGCCCGGTCCACATGGACCCGGACTTGGATCTGGTGCCGGCTCGCTACTCCAAGGAGGAGCTGATCCAGAACATGGACCGCGTGGACAGGGAGATCACCATGGTGGAGCAGCAGATCTGCAAGCTTCGCAAGAAACAGGTCTGCACACATGGATGTGGTCATAAGTTAGGGGTTGTATTGGCTTCCTTTGTGATTAGAGATTGCAGACTGATGCTATCTCAGGGTTTCCTGCTTAGCTCGTTGATTTTGAGGTGGATTTATGTTACTCCGTAGAGATGTTCCGCTAGTCTTCCTGTAGATGCCTCCGGCTTTGGAATTGATTTATACTTCTGCCGAAGATTTCATACCACCTCCAAAGCACTAGATGCATGCATGGGTGGGAACGTATGCAGCAGAAAAAAGCTACAACAACTACAAACTAGAAATACATATTTGTTTAGCTACTGAAAAGGAGACACATAATGATCTGTACCTACCTCTTGTTTACATTCTTTCATTCACTCTGCTCCACCAAGGATGGGTTTTTGCATTTGATGTGGCCTTAGTACTGCAGCTTGTGTATGACCCACCTTTCTAGCAGTGTTTGTAGAGATGGAAGAGGTTGTTTACCATTATTTTCTGCACAGGCTGTAAGAAGAGATGATGCATGCCAGCGAGGAAAGTTGAGTTGACACCACTTGGTGATGTCATTCATGTGCATACTGCACATACTTGGACCGGGCAGGCTTGCCTAAAAGCACTATGAGGCACCTTTTTAAGAGTTTATTCGTCATGCTTGTAGATGTCTAAGTCTCTGCCAGTGCTGGCATGCTCGCTGAATTTTCTTAGTGGCGGTGTTTGGCTCGTTTTGAAAATGTTCATGTGTGGTTTTCCAATGTGACTTTCCCTGCCAGGCTTCAGTTGGCATCGGCGCAATAAAAGTCTTAAACAGACTTTGCTGTGTTGTAATCGCTGCATTCAAGTTTTCTGTAGCTGTTTTCTTGCTCAATGTGCCACAATTCTGTACACGCACTCCTCCAGGCAGCTGCATTCCCCTTTTCTCTCTTCTCTCTGGCTTTTTATTTAGGAGAAAAGTAGGTTAAAAATATATAAGGCTATAAATAACAGCTTCCCTGGGGGAGGAGGAGGATTATGGTGGAGGTTTTGTGACTGCTAAACCACTCACATCCCTGCCACACAGTCTCCCTTTTGGCCGCCTGCCATGTTTAGTAGAGAAGCTGTACGGTCGAGCTCCTTTCAACTCCAATCCCTCCGCCAACATGCATGTCGCTACGTACTGCGTATTAATTATCATCGTTCAAACATAACATTAGGTCAGTTTATTGATGACCGCTACAGCTGTTGGTCTCGTGACGGCATTAAGACTAATGATATGACTCTTGACCGCTAAATTACACCCTTGACATCGCTCCGCTGGTTTCACAGATTAGGATCCTGCAGGTTCCTATTGAGAGTTATTGATTATGATGAGTTGGATTAACAGCTGCATGTTAAATGCAGTAAAACGCAGTGTAACGTCACAGATTAGCTGGCTAGAAACTCGCTCCTCTTCCTCTGTTTCATGCCTCTCCTGTGGCTGCCTCAACCCGCCCTGTCTTCATCCCCAGAGTCAGAGTCCTGGGACAGAGAGAGCCCCTTCTGCTCCTACACTAGTAGTGTTTAAACTCCCCCTGTCCTTCAAGCTCCCAGTCCGGGTACAGACAGCTAGCAGGGCCGCTAACTGGCTAGTGGCAGCAGCTAGTACAGTTAGCATATGCAGCAGTTCACCGGTAAGAGTCTTCCTGTGTTACAAGAGAAAAGATCTGTGATGCAGCAATCCTCTTTAACTTTCGTCCCGGTTGTTTGTTTTTCTTCTGCAGCTATCCGACTAATGGAAAGTGCGTCGACTAAGACTCTTCTCAGTGACTAATGAGTACCCAGCTGTGGTCAAAAACGGCCTCTAAATAACAAACTAATGAGACAAATGAGTTTGTTTTCTTTTCTTTTTTTTATCCAAGTCAACATGGATTAGCTACAGCTGCAAAAATGTGCCAACAACAACCTTTCACCTGATGAAATCTGTGGTTGCCAGATTATAGATTGCTTCTTATTAATAGAAAAGGCTTGAATCTGCCCGTTTTTGATCACCTAGTCAGACACACACAAGTGCATCATATGGTTGAAATATTGCATCGTAATTCTTTCAGATAATGGACCACTTATAAAGACAGTGGAGCGGTGAGTGAATGAGAGATTTCGGGTGCTATTTTTAATGTTTCTATAGTGTTTGAAAAAGGAATAGGAACCAAAATAAAACTGGATCGGATTCCAATGTTAGTGTTTAAACTTGTGAATGATTGAGAGGCTGAGCTCTGCTGCTTACAAGCATAAATCACAACCTCTCCCCCCTCGCCCTCCCTCAATACACACACAGTGTTTTTATGGATATTTTTTTATAGTCCGGCTCTCTTGAAGCATTAAAACATCTGGACTAATTAAGCGGGGCGGTAAAACTTTATTTAAAGAGTTCTGGCAGAGTTAGTGGATGGGTGGGGGGTTGGTGGGGGAAGGGTTAGGGCTCAGGTTACCGCCAGCCTGTGTCATGTCAGCCAAGCCCAGGACGGCTGGTTTATTTTGTTTTACTCTGTGGTGGGTTTGGAAAGCGAAAGGGGGAGGTCTCTATGGGAATGTCTGTGTTTCCCTTACCAGATGCTTATCCAGGGCTATCATGGCACATGATGATCCATCGTGCTCCACTCTCATGTGGATCCTCTGGAGGCCGCCTGTCCTGTCTCTGAAGCCCCTGACGGGAGATGAGCAGGAGGCGTAGGAGGGCAGTCTTGGGGGGGCTGACTTAACTGTAGATCAGCCTTACGCACGACACTCAGCGACACTTGGCCTCGGCCTCCAGACAGCTAGTTACAGCTGAATACACTCTGTCTCCAGCTTATATCCTGCACATTATACAGACTGTATCCACACATTCAGCCAAATTATGATGTCAAAGATTGAAGTTTTAGTTTTCTAATGTCTAACAAGGTTTTGAGCAGGGACTTATTTTGCTGGTACTTTGGGATAATTATCATGACATGTAGTGTTTGAAGTGATTTAAAATAGAATATTTCTGTGATAGTAACATGAAGTTAAAATGTAGATGGGTTTCTCTTTTTCGCGGGAGCTTAAGAAGTCCAGTTAATTGTTAAATATGAGTGGAAATCGGCTGCCAAATTGTTTTTCACAGCTTTTACTCAAACGTCTAACCTTTGGTCTCACTCTTTATAAAATAATTGACTAAAGGAAGGAAAATAAACGGCCCTTCAAATAAAAGGTTTTTAACCAGAATGATAAATTGCTTCAATTTCAAATACCGATCTCCATTTTCTTTTTATATCCAGATGAAATCCAGATATGATGTAATATCGCTGTTACTTGTAATTTACTCTGCAACGAGCTGTCGTACTTTTAGTTTGAAAGATTGAAACCTCGTTATGGTTGTCATAAAGACTGTCGGAGCCAGCGGAGGTGACGTACTGCGAGTTGAGCTGCTCTCATTGGCTGTGCAGTTTCGACTTGAGACGATTTGAGGAGAGGAATTGTCAATATAGTAACAGAATCTGGATCCATATCTGATCAGCACTGTTTGACAGTTTGATCTGAGTTTGGTGCGTTGAGCTGGACGGACTCACTGAGAATGAGCTGTCAATCACAAGGTAGCCCCGCCCTAAAGCATACCCTGCTTTATAGTCTGTTTTACTCTAAATGGGACCATCAGTTACTAAATGAACATCATGCTGTATGGAAGAAGACTGAAACTAGACACAGCTATATAATAAGCCATACATATGCTAACTGCTACATACAGCAGCCTCCTTTTAGGACTGTTTTCTGTGTCGCACTAGAAAAATTCAATGTTTAAATAATTTAATTGTTTGAATAATTTTTGTCTCATTATCGCCTGCCATCATAACAGGCTGAAGAACTTCCATATGCTGCTTACTGAGTAGTTAGGAGTGGGAGGATTAATGATCCCGACTGATCCATTTAAACCTTGTCAACATCTGGATAGAACGCGCAGGCTGATAGCGGTAACCCTCTAATGCTCCTCGGTTGCATTTACACTTCAGTTTCTGATGTTATCCAACCTGCCAGAGAGGCAAGACGTGTTTTAAGTGTAAGGTTATTTTCTGTATCCTATTTAGCTTCTTTCTGAATGTCAGAAGAGGCGATTCCTCTCTCTCTTTCTGTGCGTACACGGACAGGGAAGCACTGACTGAACTCTGCGTGATTGGCAGTGAAACATAAAGAGTGATGGGCATCAAACAGCCACGTTTAGTTCCTTTACAGCGTTCGCTCTCAGTCCCCAGATTCTTAAAGTTCCCAGCAGATAGCACTTCCTAAATGTCAGGTTTCTGGAGTACAGTAGTTGGCTGCATGCCAGTGTGTGCTAACTCAGAGGAACTCTGCTGTATTTGTCTGGTGTTCATTTCCCACATTTGCCTCTTTGTTTTGTTTTCTTTTGTCTGTCTCTCTCTCTCTCATTGGATGTTCCAGCCACACAGCAGGCCTCAGCTTTGTTTACAGGCTGTTGTAGTAAGTCTTTGATTAACTAGGCCCTGGGGAGTTAATAGCTATTACAGCTAATGGGACAGTTAGTCTGGTCCCTGCTGTAGAGCTGGGGGGGAGGGACGCTTTATCTGACACACACTCTCTAACCTCGCCACAGGAACTGGTGAGCCACAGGTCTTCCTGGAAGATCACAGCCCATTTTGGATTTGCTAAGTGCTAACCATCATCTTTGTTTGTGTGTGTGTGTTACAGCAACAGCTGGAGGAGGAGGCTGCAAAGCCCCATGAGCCTGAGCGGCCCATCTCACCGCCACCCAGCGAGGCCAAGCACCGCAGCCTGGTGCAGATCATCTACGATGAAAACAGGGTCAGTAGAATGTACACACACACACACACACACACACACACACACACACACACACACACACACACACACACACACACACACACACACACAGAGATCAGACGCTTGGATTGGAGTTTGGTTTCACCTGATCACATGTGCTTTTTCATCACCACAAGTGAGTGCGAGAGCTGGGTGCTTTCCTCTCGTGGTTCAGTGTTGTTTCACAGGGCTGATGCAAGATAACAAACTGAACTCAGCCAGGCAGCTACATCCTCTTGAGTATTGCTGTTGCCTGGTTAAGGTTATTTGGTTCTATTGTCGGGGATTGGGCAGCTTGTGTTGGAAATGCAGACAGCGCCTGTAAGGGAAACTGGATCACCCAGCAGGTACACCTCTAAACAAACCACAGAGAGTCCCTAATTTGAGCATGAGTAGAGCCCCATTGTGTCTTCCACTCTGCTTTTCATTACATCTCATAGACAAAAAGATTACTCTTGTAGTATGTGTAATACTGGCTATGTGAAGAGACAGATGTCTGTCTGCGGAGAACATTTTTTCTTGGAAATCTGTCATTTTCATTTACCTTGTTGGATGTAATCCTCAAAAAACCCTCAACAAAAGCAGAGGGTGCCATAAAGTATTTATCTCCTACCTGAGCCCTCCCACTCTTTACTGTCAGGCCAGGCACAACTCTTGCCTAACAGAATGAGCTACTAAAGGTCAACATAGCAGGCATGATGAATCACAGGCGTACAAACACAAGCACACACTTTAAGGACACACTATAAGGTGACACATGCTGAAACAAGTCTATTTTCACCTATGCAAGTAAAGCAGCTTGATATGTCTTTAAAGGAAAGAAAAAACCAGTAGCTGGGAGATCATATAAGGTTCTTTGGAAGTGTTAAGTTAGTCACAGCACTCATTATATGCATCAGTGCTCTGTGCAGAAAATACTGAGTGATTCTCAGTGCTCTCAGTCCCCCTAGTGGTGAAACACACTAGTTTCCCTTTTTACTGGAATAGGCACTTAAAGCAGAGAAGTCCTCTCACACTGTATCACACCACCATTCAGCCTCTCTGAACGAGCCCTCCCTATGGGGAAACTACCAGTCATTTTAAAACTTCACAGTTCGGAGGAAAATGCTCTCGAATGTTTTGAACAGCTTCTCCGACACATTCAGGGCAAATCCTTTTCATAGAATGGTACAGCGGTGAAGTGCAGTTAGAGAGAGAATGTTGGCAAATGAGCGTTCACCCTGCTCAAGTGTCAATGAGCAAGAGACTAAACCCAAAAAGCTTTGGGGCTGTTTTTGTGGCACTCCTAACCTGCACAGATGTCCTCAGATAACCACAGAAACCACCCTGAGAGGCCCTTTTAAGGTGAACATCAGGAAGTGTCCTTCATGACTTTCAGCCTCACCGTCAGCAAGCACCACTAAATCACAGCACTTCCAATGCAACAGCAGGACGTTGCGGGTTGCTCAAGACTCATCTGAAAAGGCTTGAAGTTAAAGGAATGACTCACAGCTTACTCCACAATGTAGCCTGACCTCTGTCACACTTTCCACTTCCCACTGACTGGCAGGATGTACTCTAGCCTACTGCCTTCCCTCCTAACCTCTCTCTTTGTCTCTACACTGAACCCTGTTTTGTAGTTTCACACACTCTAAGCCCATTGTGACACAGTGACACAACAGCATATACTCATCCACTCATATCTGTGTTCTTTCTTTTAGTGTTTTTTCTTTTTAGTCACTATAACGTCTCTTGTTGTTTGGATTTCCTAATCGATGACACTTTGCTTTTACTGTAAGTGTCTCTGATAAAATGATTCAAAGCTGACCTATTATGCTTTGCCTTATCTTTTCCTGTGATATATATACATATAACGGTAAAATGTTGGATCCTTCTTATTAAACATGGCCAAAGTTTCAAATGAGGTAAACTTGTGTAAAAGTAATCCCTGTGAGCAAAATCGCAGGTTTCCAAACGTCTGCTCGCCACTGATTTCTCTATCTGCTGCTTTGCTCAGGACTACTGAGGTGCTTTTCCAGTTGTGAGGGAAAGTTAGAATATGATCCAGTTTCACAAAAATCAGTGAATTGTGTTTTTAGTGAGGCCTCATTTTATTCCCGTCTCATTTGTGGTTTGATAGACGGTAACTTCATCAGATTCAGTGCAACATATCACTGTTGTCCAAGCTAACAGCAGGAGGATGGCTACCAATCAGCACCGGTTGCTGCCCCCTCCGCAGGCTCCCGGAAGTTGGCCAATCAAAACAAAAAGTGAGGGGGGTGGAACTAAAAAAGATGAGATATAACCGCTTGTTTCAGACAGACGGTGAGCTGAAGGGCCAATGTAAGATAAATAAGCATCTTTTTAGAACTGAATCATGCAAAGCTACTCTGAAACTGAGCATAATTGGTCGCATTTAACTCCCATCCGTTAACACTTAGCCACATGTATGCGTCTCTATTAGCCAGATCACAAGTCTGATTGCATCATTCTTGGTTTTCCCTGGCTGCATGCAAATCACGACAAAGGCCTGCTCCACCACAGAGGGTTGGTGGTAATGCACCACAAGTTGTTTGCCAACCCCTTAAAAACACCGGAAGAAGAAAGAACTTGTGCACACAAAAAATAGACAAGATATGAAAAGAGAGAGCAGTTACTGTATTGTTACGTTGCATAAATGGCAAGTTACCTGAGTTTAGCTGCATTTTCATTAAATTTAGCAAAGTGAGCCTCATACAGATCTCTGCTCTCTCACCCACACAGGTAATTCAGTCACTGTTCTGATCTGATAAAAGCTACTGTGACCTCTCACCTGTCCGTATTTGTTTAAAACGCTGCCATTTCTTCCTGTTGCTATATATGTGTATATATGAGAGGAAGAACAGAAGCTAATTTCCGCCGCCATAATGACATGATGACCCTGTAAATGCAGTTCGCTTTGTCTCGTCGTTGCGCTTTGGAGGAGAGAACAGATTACGTATCCCTGAGAGACAGATGCATTCACACCTTTGCAACATCTGGCTTCAATCCTTTCCTGAATGCAATTAAGATTGTCTTTCTGTATCAGATAACTATCCAATAAGGCGCATGAAGTGGTTACGTGTTAAAGGGCGATACTGTTACATGAAAAGTAATGTGATGTCAAACCTGTGGTGTGTCTATAATTGTGAGCATATATGTACAGATTGAATCAGGGCTGTGTATTGGCAGTAATCTGGCAATCACGATACAAGGGTTACGTTTCTATATATATATATATATATATGTGTTACATTTTATGCATATGGTGGTGTGTTCTTTACACAAACTTCCTAAAATGTGAGTACACAAAGAGAACAGTGGGGTCTGCATGTGTATTTATCCCATTTCTTGCAACATCCAACATCATAGCAAGTCCCTGCAGGATTCTGTAGGTAAACATTAAATAAATGAAACATTTTAAGTGTTTAATATATATTTTTAGATCCTCTTAGATCCACATTTTGTTGTATGTATGCCAGTCTTTAATTTCTGAAGTAGTAAATAATAAAAGACAACCACTGCTACAAATCTTAGCATCTTAACTCTTAATTAAAAATCTACAGCGGTTTGAGTCTCGCAAAACATAACGTATCGATATTTTCTTCCACCCCCAGAATGTAAATATGTATTGGTGTGTTTGCGTGTTAAAGGCTATAATTACTCCACATGCCTTTTTATTTTTATTTTTTTGAAGTGGTGTCACTACAGTGTCATCTGTCCCCTCTGGGCTCCGTGTCAGCAGCTTTCACAGACAGAGTTACAGCCCATTGTCAAACCCCGGGGATGGCTCAACTCAAGTTCACTCTTCTCATATTTGGGATATAGCTGTCATGGACACAAACACAAGAGAAGACAGCCCCAACTGAGACTGCGTTATCCTATAGGTCCTCATGTCTATGCTGTATAAGACGGTTCTTCTCTTGTTTCCTCTCCTGCATTCTTCAATAACAGCCCTTCTAGAAACCAGCCGAATATTCTTAAATATCAGAAAATGTTCTTTTATTGAGCCAATTTTATTTGGCTAGCATAAAAATGTAGCCACTGAAAGACTGTAATGGGCCTTAAAACTAGAATAAAAGCAAGTTGTGCTTATTAGACGCAATGAAAACTCAGTTATAACATAAAGATGAAGTATTTTGGGCACTTCATTGAGCTGAATTTGAGATGAATAATTAGCAGAAAATGTACAATAAGACACAATTTCTTCAAACGGCATAATAAAAATAGGTGACTTTGTATTAACTGAAGGCACCAGAAGCATTGTTATTGTTGAAACAATGAAAAACTAAACAGCTGCTTCATTTCCAACACTGGGACATGATGACTTTCTCTTAAACTGAGAAGTTGTGCAAGTGGTCTTACTGGAAAACAATCTGTTTCTTCTGCTGGGATATTATGCAAACCATTGTTGTTACTTGTTAAATCGAGCTCAATATCAGCTATATCAGTTATATCTTATATAATCTGGTTTTCAGAAAAAAATATATCTCACCTTGTCTTAATTTCTAATGCAAAACATGCTTATAATTATTCTTTTTAGACAAAACAATAAGACTAATTTCCCAGAAATGAGGCTTTTATACTTAAGATTCCTTTTTTACAGTGCATTGCCTTCATTGGAGGAACTGGAGCATTTGTAGTGCAGTGAGTTTTCTCATGTTAAAGTCTGGGAACATGTGTTGGTGACTGCAGGCAGCATGTGCAACAGCAGTACAGTAGCTAAGATTTACAGCTTCTAACACTGCCAGAGTAGCAGTCCTGCGTGTTACCACGGGGGGGCATAATTGAATTAATGGAGCCAGCCTCTCTGCCCGGGTCTTGTGATGAGGTTGTGTGTGTGTGTGGTTGAGATGGATCGAGATGGCAGTTACAAGACCAGCAGCTCTCTCTGTGTAATTATCCACACTTTTGGAGAAAAGCAAACACTCTCCACAGCTTCCTTTTGTAGCTCATCCGTTGCTAAATTTGTAATTTCTAGTATTAACTGTGAATATTCCACGTGTTTGGAGGGCCATAGCTTGCAGTCTTGTCTTCACATTTGCAGGAAATGAAGAGAAATGTCTGACCCTCTCTACCCCCCCCGCCCCGAGGACGACAGGCTGGTTTTATTAATTGCTGTTCATTAACTGCTTCTGTAGTGAGCGAGCTCTCTGAGGCGATACTCTGCAACCCGTTAAACCTACTTGCTGGTGAGGAAGCAACAGGAACGAGGAAAAATGCAGATCAATGCAAATCCAACGAAGGAAGAATAGTAGCAGCATGTTCCTGTATTTGCATTTGAAGGATATTTGTAGTATATAAATGTAAATGAACAGCGCTTCCTTATGCTCTAATGTCTTAGAGCCGTGGTTCCCAAACACTTTGATGTCACAATACACGCACATTAGATCAAAGGACACCTAATTGGAGAAGATTTTGTCCTAAGGGATCCCCCTCTTGGGTAATTTTTAGATTTGAAGATATTAAAGTCTTCACAGTTGATCAGTGATCAAATTAGCATCACTGTAAAGTCCAATAAATGATTACTGTTACTACAAGGACTATTTCTGTTCCCACACGTCCTGGAAAACCTGGAAATGTAGAAACAAATGTTCTAGTCACACCTGGAAATTGATTAAAATGACCAAATATCCTTGAAATTATCTATTTTACCCTGGAAAATTTTAAATTGTATTTTAGCCTGTGCTGAGGTCAAATTAATGTTACAGTTAGAGGGAAGCTGTAGTCGATAGACCTTTTTCACAGCAGCCATTTTGACATGAAATAGTTGGGTAAACACAGGTGATACCAAATTGAGGTCACGTTCCCTTCAGGTCAAACAGAGTCGACACTAAATGGAACGAAGCTTTTAATTGGTACCATTGGGTAACACCTGTGTTCACCCTACTGTTACATGTCAAAATGAGTGCTGTGAAAAAGGTCTACTTGGCTAAGTATGCAACAAAAGCGAGCTAACGCAGCGTGTCCGATTTAAAAACAAAAAATAATTATAATCTGTTCTTCCCTTTTTGCCGGGGACAACTCACTCAAGGACCCCCCCCCAGTTGGGTAGGAAACACACAGGGCCACTTTTAAAACTGGAGCCGTGTCATTTGGCTTCGCTCACAGGTGACCCAGTTGGAAGCAGGTGTTGAGTCAGGTTCAAGCCGTGTGTGCGTGAGCTCCTCTGGGGTTCTCTCACATCCGAGTCTGTTAGCGTGAGTTTCATGTAAACTTAGGAGTAGATCCCAAACACCTCCACAGCGAAGACGGAATGAAAGGGACAAGGAAGCAGCATGACATGGGTGGGTGGTGAGGAATAAAGGTTGATGTGTACGCACACACACACACACACACACACAGAGAGAGGCAGGTTCTGTCTCTGTTATCAGCTCTGAAAACTTCTCCCACATCCAACCCTCCCCTCGCCGCCGCCCCTCCTGTCTGCGAATGTGTCGGTCTCACCGCGCGGGGCCACCGAAGGAAATGAAGTGAGATGGAAAGCAACAGAGCATGCAGTGTGTCACCAAGGAGGGTCTGTTTGATCGATGAAGCGGAGAGAGAGAGAGAGAGAGAGAAAGAGTGTACAGAGCGGAATGAGGAAAAAGAGTGGAGCGAACATTTTGAGAGGGGGGGGGGGGGTTGTCTGGGACACTGCTCACACATTTGTCTGCTAGAGCTAAATATAAATGTATGAAGGAGCTGCAGAGAGGTCATCCAGAGGCACAGATGGGAGGTTTTTTTTTTGCCCAGCTTCATGCCCCAACACCTCTCCTCTGTTGCTTTATTGTCGCTGCCAGGATTTCTTTTTTTTTTTTTTTTCGTTTTAAGGCTTATTGTTGTAGGTAGTAAGCTGGAGGTGAGATCTTTTCTGTCTTTCATCAGTTGTCTCTTATGAGATAAGCACCAAAGCCCTTTAGCCCACCTCCTCTTCCTCCTCCTCCTTTCACCAGTTTTTGCTCTTTTTCTCCCACTCAATTTCTATTCCACTCCCACTTGCTTTCCTGCCTGCCTGCTTCTTTCTCTCTACCTCTCTCTCTGCTCAGGGGGAGGTGAGTAATCTTTTTTTTTTTTTTTTTCTGGGAGAGGAGAGAGGGAAGGAGCTGTGGCCCAGCTTGAGTTAAAAGCTCTAATAATAGTCAATGCATCCAGCTCTCCATCCATCCATCCATCCATCCATCCATCCATACATCCAGCTAGCCAGCGAGTGGTGGTGTAGCCCCAGCGACCAAGTGAGCGTGCTCGCTGCGTTGCCGTGGTGATGGCAGAGGTGCAGGCGGCCGGCTAATGTACTACTTTTTGTTTGTGTTCCCTTTTTACCAGAAAAAGGCAGAGGAGGCTCACAGGATACTGGAGGGACTGGGACCCAGAGTAGAACTGGTGAGTAAAGATTTGGATTTTATGTCTTTTATTTGTGTGCCTGTATTTTTCTTTTTCCTGCTCTCATGTCTTTGTGTGTTATTGACATGTGGGACCATTATATTGACAGTCAGGTTAGGGGGATAACAGATGCTTCAGAGAGACGAGGAGGAGGTCTGAATCACAATATGTCCCCTGTTATTAGCAGGGGCGCAAAGTAATGAAGTGGAAATATTTGATTACTGTATTTAAAGCTCCATTAAGCTGTATTGAACATATTGATATTGAGAGTTATATATAAACCCACTGAGAATAGAAAGTCAACCCAGCTGATGCCTTTTTTACTCCACTATATTTTTAATATAGGCACTTTTGCTGACTACCTTTCTACTCGCTCATACTCTATCTGTTCAAGTATCTGTCCATCCATCTTACTCGCACTCACACAGACATTTGATCACCTGGTTCTGTTAAACGAATTACCTATTGAGCCCACGCACAGCGCTACACAAAACAGGTTCTCCTCTGTGGTGGAGGAAGTTCATTTTGAGTTCTTTGGATTGAATTTAAGGATCAAGCACATTTTATTTATCATACAACCCAAGGTTGTGCTACGACAAGTTAGCTGTCCCTTCATGCTTCACACAAAAGATAATTAAACTTAGAATAACATAAATAAAATAAACAGTCTATACAGTTATTTATACACACATATTATACAGTCCAGGAAATAATGCAGTGCATGAACTGAATGTAAACGGCAGTGTCCATCCACTTTGACAGCGTTTGAGCACCAAGCATCGTCAATGTAAACAGAGTCCCCTGCGCTCTGTCTGCCCTTGAACACGGTCCGCCTATCGAGTGCTTAATGGAGCAGGTCTCTGTAAAGATGTGGGCACTACAGTCTCTAATTTACTGCTATTTGGCCAGCCTGAGTCCCATTTGTTCCAGACAGGACATTAGCCAGGAGCAGCCTTAAATCCAAGCTGGGTCAACATTGCTCCTATCGCTACCTTTCCTCTTGGGGCAACAGCACCCGCCAGGTGCATCGTCTTTAATGTTTGCGCTGCTCTATTAATCCAAAACTCAACGCTTCCTTTTCCAATGACCGCAGGCTATTTCTATCATAGATAGTACCTCTGTTCATTCTGTCATGTTTCAATAAAACAGCAATAAAACAGATTAAAACAGAGAAGTTTGATGAAACCTGAATCTCCTGATCCACTCGACTCGAACAGTTTTGGCTCAGCCCTTTTTAAAGTGAAACCCAATTAGCTATCATTCAATAAAAAGCAATAAAGACAAAATAAATACAGAAAATGAAGTGACATTTGAAGGAGCTACACACTGAGTTTGATCAGGTCAGTCAGCTTTCAGTGATTCATGTTATTTGATGAACAATTCAGAAAACATTGAACTCCTACATTTATTTGTTGCGGGGTCAGAATCATATTGACGAGATGAACTCCCGTCATTTGGCCTTTGTGTGTTTTATTTACAATGTGTTGCACAACTGAAAATATGACCGATTGTTTGATCTGTTTTTTCTTCTCACTTTCCAGCCTCTGTACAATCAGCCTTCTGATACCAAGCAGTACCATGAGAACATCAAAATGTGAGTCTGTCACTGCACACAACTACACTTGTACATTAATAGATGTTTTATATCCAGCCATTGAAGAAAGAGTTTAACCATGGATACGGGAGCTCACGTAGGATTGGTTGAAATGAAATCTATCATCAATTGTAAATAACGCATTTCAAGAGTAAAGCAAACTGAAACTGTGGGTTGATGAGGGTGTTGGAATCAAAGGGCAACTGGCCCGAAAAGGTTGCGACGCCTTGTACTACAGGGAGAAAGCTGACCTGTTATTGATTTGTATTTGTTTGTGTACAAATTCAATACGTCTGAATATAAATGGTTCATTCATGCAGTGACGAGAATTCCTGTAGTATTATGTAAGCAGATGTTTTTTTAATTTGTCATTTCACTGCTGCTACCAGTGGAAATTGAAACTTGGTGACCTTAGCAGCTATCAATTCCCTTTAGTGGTTGTAAATTGCCTCCACGAGAGAGACTCGCCACTTGTCTCCACCCCCACACCTCAACTCCCCCTTCCCGCTTGGCAGACTGCAACGAGTGGCATTTCAGAGGGGGATGTGAAATTGTCATTATGTAAACTTACTGGAATAAACGTGTGCAACGGGGGCAGCTCCAGAGAGTAGAATAATAATTCAGTTTGAGTGCAGTAATGGTGGCAGTGAAATCAGCTGGCAGATTAGTCTGTAAAATGTCACAACTCTCTGTGTTTAATCCATTACTAAAGTTTCTGTATTATGTAAGAGCAGTGTTAATTGTGTGCCTTCGTGTTTTGAATTTGATACTTTTGAATTGAGTATAAAAATATAGTTTTGATTGAAACTTCCAAAAAATTGTGAGGACCTTGAATATGTTATTAAAGCTTCTTAAAGATGTCCATTTCTCTACATTCCCGCTTTGTGCTTCCGCCGTCATTTCCCTTTCAGTCAATAACTATACTGCTGGATGCTACTAACTCCTATACACTGGTCCTACAGTTGAGTGTAGTTCATTTGCCAAAAGAGACAACACACACAATAAAGGTTAAAGAATTTGACTGATAGCAGTATTTTATTGTTTAATTGCGATAATGTTGTTATGAATTCTTCCGCAGGGTTCCCATGTATCGTTGAAAATCTGGGAATTTAGTTTTCCAGTCATGGAAACACCTGGAACTTCATTAAAATGCCCAAATATCCTCAAAATTACTCATGTTGTCCTGCAACATTTTAATAGTATTTCATGCTCACTTAGATTATGTAAACCTGTGCACACTACATCTGCATACATACAGCCTATTATTGATCAAATTAACATGATTGTTAATTGTACTTGCAATGACCACGTTACCTCTCCCTTTAAATGGTTAAAAGGTTAGAAGATGAAGTTTCTGTCAAATGAATTTAATTCTACTTGATTGGAACTGTTATTTATGCTCCGCTGAGGCTGCAGCAGAAAAATAATCTGTGGTGAGAACAGCCAAGTGCCATGAAAGTGAGCTAATGCAAAGTCCTGTGAGCGCTGACCACCGTTGTGAGCAGGTGCTGTCCTGTACTGTCAAGGAAAACTCCTGGAAAATGATTTCTTAAAGAGAGTGGGAACCTTGTTTTGGCCACGATAATAACATGTAGTGAAAACCTGGTATTGTGATCAGCTGCTGTCTGTTAGCTTCCAAAACTACTGAGCTAACAAGACAGGCAGATTTTTATATTCTTGCCACATCTGAAGCAGGATTTAGGTCAAAATATGTTTACCATAGACAGATGTAAAGCTGCTAAAAGCTTCAGATCATTTGTGCTCAAACTAAAGGTGCAAAAGAAAGGGAGCTATTACCACTGAAAGTCACTATTGATTTCATTTTTTTGCCTCTGATATTCTGACATGAAATATTAACAGCCTTCCTCAGCGTCCCGGGGTCGCGTTAGGTGAATGATTAATAAATCATGACGATTTCATCAGTTAGTGGATATCATCAAGGGGCAGCAGAGAGTACACAACTTTACGTGGCCCTGCCGTGTCTTATCAGTAAGCCTTTATGTGCATCTGTAATCTTTTAAGGACCATAATTCATTGAGGCACATCAAAGGGCTGTAGGAGGGTTATAATAGCTCCACCATTGGCACTGTGGGTTTGGGCACATTGGCATACCACAAGATGTGTCTGACCTCTGAGCCACACACTGCTCTGTCTTCACTCCTTTTGATCCCTGCACCGTTTGATCAGCATTAGTGCCTCAAAGGAATTAACTGACGAACTCTCCTCTCTCTCTCTCTCTCTCTCTCTCTCTCTCTCTCTCTCTCTCTCTCCCTCCGTGTGTGTGTTATTAAATACCGCTGTGTTGCTTTGACCCAGCACAATTGACTTCTTTGTTTTGCTAACCGGTTTGATAGCGTTGGCTCTCATTCCCGCTGGGATAGATGAGTACCAGTATCTCTTTGCAGCCCCCCGATCCCAGTTCATCTCCTGCACACACAGCCGATGATACATTTGTCAATATGCTGTGCATATGCAGACTGCTATGAAGACAAAATCTAACTTTGAAGCCTTAAAAAGCTTTTCCTCCACTGGAGAACATCTAACAAGTGTGCGTATAATGAATCTTTGAGCCATCATGTTTTGGAGGTATTACGCTAAATTACAGTGTTCTCCGATATCTCAGAAATGGCACAGGCTTAGAGAAGGACAAAGAAAACCTTTCGAAGGGGTTCAAGGCTGCTAATCTCTGTTTGCCATCTGGTGTCCAAAGGACAATGCCATCTCTGTCTTTAAAGGGCTTCATCTATCAGTCCTGTTGAGGGCAGCACAATTAATCGAAAAATATTATCGAAATTGCAATATGGTGCAGTATGCAAATCGCAAGAGCTGTAAGGTAAAATGAGAATAAAAAGCATTATAATGAAGCACTGTAGAAGAAAACATGTTTGTTTGGTACTGTCACATTTCACGCATAATTTAAATAGATTTATTAGTGAAAATGACATTTGTAACTCACCTGGAAATCCATTTTATGTTTTTTTTAAATAAAATAAATAAAATAAAAAGGTCACAAAGCAACACAGAATGTGTCCTAATATTTCTTGTTGCCAGGTAAATGGTAACAGAGATCAGATCAATGATCAATCCTGGGCTTGATTTTAATTTTAGTGTTATGTATCTGGGAAAATTTGCCAACTCGGCTCCAAAAGCAGGACAGATATTTACTACAAATATTATGAGCAGATAGCAAAACAGCAATAACCAGGAAGTGGCTGAGTAAAGAGTCTCCAACAGTCCTTGAATAGATAGAAATAGTTAAAATTGTTGTTATGGAACCTTTTTCCTTGAGACACGCCATCAAAAAGTGTGAAAAATACTGTACATCTTAAGTGATTGTTACTTTATATTTGTTTGTAATAAGGCCAACAGAATGGACTGTAGTTATGGATGAGTAAAAGACCTCACTACTAAAAGAACGTAAAGCCACGGATGTAAATTATAAATCATAATAATGATAATAAACTTTATTTATAAATCAGTAAAAATGAAATACTAACAATAAAACAGATGAAACACATTAACCCAGCCTCTCTATACAATGTATGTCAAACATTTAACCTGACCTACAAACCCTGTTTTTGTCAAAAAAGTAACACACAGTTTACATTTTAAAAGAAAAATGATGATTCTTACACGCAGTATTTGTCAAAATATTCGCATTATGATGATTTTACGTACCTCACTATCGGCAGCATCCAGCTGGATTTGGCAGTATTTGTCTTTCCTGTTGCAACGGCTTGGCTCAATGTGTGTTTGTTTGTGTGGGAGTGTTTATGTAGGTTGGGGGTTAAGGCTGTTTAGATTTAACTGGGGTTTGTTATTGCAGCTAACATGCTGGGGAAATGAAGAATAGCGCCATCCCTCCAGACCCCTAAATGTTACCATCCCCGTCTTCCAGCTTTCACAAAACTCCATACACCACCAGTGGTCCTTGTCTTCTGTCCTTGCTTGTGACCCGTAGGACCCTGGCGGCTCAGCTAAAGTGACTAATGTAAAATAAGATTACATTAATCAGCGGGGGGGAACGTGACCTTACAACTGACAGATTAAGTGTCAGGAATAAAATTCTGTCTCACAGCAAAGAAAGAGACAAACTGAGTGGCTGCCTAAGGAGATTACTGGCCCTGACCTTTATTTGAAGCACTGTGGCTGGCTGTTCCCAGAGCAGACAAGTTTTATAAGTTTGGCTCACCTCGCTGTCCTTTCCACCCAGAAGCTAGTTTGAGTTTATCGAGCGGTGCCATACAAGGACAGCCATTGTTTGTGTCTGTTTGTGTGGCTTTTGTTTGTTTGTTGGCTAAAGAAGTGAGGCAGAGAAAGCACAGAAGAAAGAAAATGTGTAACCCGAGGATCTGGAGATCATATACTCTGATTTATTACGTGACAAATGTAATGAAAGCCAAAGCCCTGTCTGAATTGAGTGTTTTATTCTATCCCCTCTGTTTTCTCCATCCCTCCCTTTCTTCATCCCTCTTAGAAACCAGGCGATGAGGAAGAAGCTCATCTTGTACTTCAAGAGGAGAAATCATGCTCGTAAGCAGTGGGTAAGTAGAGTACTCAACGTTTCTGACTCTCTGCTGGGACCCATGACGGATGACTGGTGTGAAACTGGGCCAGCTGCTCCTTGAAGTGAGTGGCCATTTTAGGCCAGCCGAAGAGGGAACAGAGCGTGATCTCTTGTCAAACTGCTTTTGAAAAAGAAAAAAGAAAAAAAATTCTCTCGCACTGTCATCTGAAAGAAAAAAACCTTTATTTTCTTATATTCTTCTGTTGAATTCAGTGTCAGCCAAGCACTTATAATGAGCATTGTACAGGGTTAGTCTGCGCTCTTGCCTGCCAGTGATTGAGCGAGACTGAGCCAAAGAGCATGACTATAAATAAAGCAGGGTTCAATGGGGTGAGCTCTGATGCTAGAGCCAGGCAGACATCTTGAAAATCAACCGGCTTGACAGAAAATCGTTATTGCAAATCAAGTCTGCAGTTTTACAATGAAATCTGCATCTATCCACAAGTAGGAAATATGATGGGAATAATCATATAAATAAATATAAATAGCTTTTTTTAAAAAACATTTTTATAACTGCTTCCAAGTTTGGAGACGGTGCCAGTAAACGACGGTCTCGCAGCTCTGCTTTTATTACGCACCGCGAGTTTACGCGAGGCCAAAAAGAGCAGTTCAAATGCAGCACCTGTATCAAAGCCCGAGAGTCCGCTCTGTCCCTGTCTCAAGTGGGGAGGAGGTAGGTCCTCGTGGGCAGAGCGTGGGGAGACATCACCTTGTGCTTTACGAGCCCACCGAGGGCCGTGTCTGCACCAGGTTTAACGGCCCGCTTTACAGCCTGCCTGTGAGGAGGCTGGGAAAACAGTGCCAGAGCCGTGGCTCAAGGCCAGACTTCCCCTGTACAATACCAACGTATTGCTTCCCCCCCCCTCCCCCTCTGAGCACATAGAGGTGACGGAGGGACACGGCAGAAAGAAAGAGAGAGAGCTAAAGAAGATTACTGGAAAAAGGATCTTTCAGTGTTGAGGCAGCCTAAAATATCACTCTGCACATTAAGGGAAGTCTTGTTTTAGCTGTTAAATCTTCTGTAATTATACTTCCTCTGACTTAATGGTCCATTAGTTTTGTGTCTCAAGATCAAAGTGGAGAGAGAGTGTTGATGTTTAAGTGGATTGAGAATCTTTTCTTTGTCTTGTTAAATGTCCTTTTGGATCTACGTCCTTCAATTACATTTTATCGTGTTCATGTATCACATTGTATGTAATGTGATTTTGTTCTGTTCACTTGACATCTATTGCAGTGGTTTCCAGCCTGTTTCCTTAAGGGACCCCCTTTTTCTATCAATGAGTATCTGACTCAGACATATTTAATATGTATTTCATATTGTATTCAGTGTATAACAGTAACAGCAGAGAACAGCTGATAAACTGCACAATGAACTCAAACAGTGAACACAATAACGGCAGGAAGGTCGTGTAAAACGAGCGATTTGGATGAATTTTGAGCAGATTATTTCATACATACTTAATAGGCTTCTTTTCTGACAGAAGAATGAGAAGAAAACTCTGAATCTATTAGCTCTCTGGTTGTTTGAACTTTATTAATGCAGGACGAGGCTGTTTATTAGAGAGTGAAGGCTCTGTGAATACAGCTTGTGTTCAAAAGTCTTCAAAGTTTAGATCTTAAAATAATAATCTAAACTTAAAAGAATAACGATTTGAATAGACAAAATGCTGAGATATAGGTCTACTGTGTATATTTGTAAAGTCTTCTTACACCCCTTAAAATCTAGACGGCCTCATTCCCCCCACTGTGGAGCTTTGATAACCCCAAGAGGGGGTCCTGAACCCCAGGTTGGGAACCACTGATCTACTGCATGTCTATCTGTCCTGGGAGAGGGTTTCCTTCTCTGTGGCTCTCCCTGAGGTTTCTTCCATGTTTTTCCTTCCTGAATCAGAGACTAGTCTAAAGACCGAGGGTGTTGAATGTTGTAAAGCGCTCTGAGGCACAGTGTGATTTTGTATTTTGGCCTATATGAATAAAATCTGACTCGTCTTTCTGTGACGCTCCAGGAACAGAAATTTTGCCAGCGCTATGACCAGCTGATGGAAGCCTGGGAGAAGAAGGTGGAGCGCATCGAAAACAACCCGCGGCGCCGAGCCAAGGAGAGCAAGGTGCGGGAGTACTACGAGAAACAGTTCCCAGAGATCCGCAAGCAAAGAGAGCTGCAGGAGCGCATGCAGAGGTAAGATCACAGGGGTTTTCTTCTCCCTCTTCTGGGATTGTGCAGTGAAAAAAGCACTCCTGTTCATTTCTGGAACTGACTTTGATTTGTCGCCTGCTGTTCCTGTAGAGAATTACTGTGGGTTTGTTTCATTGTGCAGTGCAGGTGGCACAGTTACAGTAATATGTGGGTAGTTTTGATTGACACGTCTTGTGTTCTTTTTCCTTTTGTAGCCGCGTTGGGCAGCGAGGAGGAGGGCTGGCCTCGTCTGCAGCTCGCAGTGAGCATGAGGTCTCCGAGATCATCGACGGGATATCGGAGCACGAGGTAAGCTCTTCTGTTAAAGACATGTCGCTCTCCTGCAGCACCCGTCGTCACATTATCGCACTGCTGAAGTTCAAATTGCTACGGCCGCCAAACAACATCTGTCTCACACAGGAGTGAAAGCCAGAGTCTCTGCGGTGGTGGATGAGCTTTTACATTTTAAAAAACCAATGCTCACTCAATTTATTTATGACATGCAAATATACGTATACGAGATGTTACATCTTGAGGGGTTATGCTTTCGATAAATTCAGACATGCATTTATGTGTGTTTTTAATTCTACTGTAAAGCATGTTTTTAAGAGCAAGAGTACATAAGAGAAATTATATAGGTCAGGTATAAAACTTTTGCCTTCCTCATGCATATAACATATATAACGTATACATAATAATATTTATGAATATTTCACTTGCAGCACATGGTAATAAAGATACTAGGAACGGCATCATAAAAACAGCCTGCAGGAATGTGACTCAAGCCTTCTTAAATCACTGCGACATAGTTATGTTTCAGAGGCATATGGCACCCAATATTGGCATATAATACAGCTGCTATACAGATGGTATGGTATGCCACTGGAATATCTGTGGCAGTTAAGTTACCAGGTCTTGCCAAAGCTAAATACTAGCCCTTTAAGGCCACCACAGCCTAGCGGCGAGCACAGAGGCACAGCTGCTTTCAATTGAAACGCTCCCAAAACTTTCTGGCGGTTTTTACTGCCTGTCTCTCTCCTTTTTTTTAAATCCCCCCCTGGTTTCTTTTCCCTTCATTTATAACATGCGCAGTTGACACATAGATGTTGGTGCAGCAGTAATTATTGTTCCTGTACCTGTCCGCTGTATAACAGTTCTATGACAAATATGAGGCAGAGGATGTAAAATGTCAGCATGGGCAACAAGATCACAACCATGTAATAGCCGGCAGATTTTGGGGAAATATTTCGGTGTTAGTCTTGTCTAAGAAAGCCCTCGGAGTCAAATTATGTAAATAAAATTGGCTTGCATTGACCCTTAGATAGCGCTTTTCCACACACATGTGCTAGCTTGGCTCGACTCGGTTTAACTCGGCGCACCAGCTCAGCGCTCTCTGTTAGGACAGGGCTACCCGCTTGAAGGTGTGACTTAACAGAACGAGAGAGCCTCGATTGACGTGAGAACTCAAGATTGAATGAGATTAATTAAGAAAAGTAAGCTCTGCTCCGGTTTGTTATTTAAACTTTTTAAGCTATTAATATGAAGTAAAACCTGGAAGCAGTAACTTCGACTCTTATACAACTAAAAGCAAAGATGAAGCCGTGAAATAAAGCAGATATCTGACAGTACAATCAGGGACGTGGGAGAGAAACTTCAAACCACAGAGATTCCGTTAGAAGCTGCAAAAGTACTGAGAGCTGAACACATGTACAGACAGCAGTTGATTGCCTTTAATCGATAGAGACAGCTGAAGATGGACAGAAAAGGGGAGAGAGAGGGGTTGTCTGCGGCAATGGTAATGGGAATGCAAATCAGCGTCGGCATGGTTTCACTCAGCACAACCAAAAGTATTAATGTATGTAAGACAAACCGGCCAAATTCATGCTCGTTGTGCTGACAAGGTTCACACTTAAAACCAAATGTTGTTGCCTGATTCGGCTTACATGGTAAAAAAAAAAATTAAAAATATAAATTCAGCCGTACTTTCTGCTGCAGTATGCATACTGAATGCAAACAGGCTGACCGACCTCACAGATAAATGTTGCTTATCGTAGATTTGCTCGGCCTTGTGCAATGCGAGGCGCCGCTCTCGGCGTTGAGGAGGACCGTGCTCCAAGTAGACATTTCAGTGATATCCACTAGTCACACATTAGACCCGTTCCTTTCATGTCAGCCAGGTCCCATTAAGCTGAGCGCTGTGTCCGATTGGGTTGTCTTGTCTCATCTCGAGAAACTCTTTCTGTCTTCCTGCCTCCTCAAGATAGCACAGCGCTTTCTTCATCACTCTCCTCCCCTTCTCCTAACCTCAGACATTATCTAATTTTTAAGATTTCTTCTTTGTTAGCCTTCAAATTAGAGACTGACGGCAGATATGTCTGTTTTAGAAGAGTTAAATTTGACATGGAAGAAGCCTCAGGCCGCTGAGACAACAACACAACCTTACACTTCCTCTCCTGTCTGCTGAACTCTTCCACACTTCAAAACAGCATTACCACAATAGGTTTCGTATAGTGCGTGTCAATTTAAGCCCCACAGTGTCAGATGGTTTCCCTCTCGAGACCAACCCACTCACTCCAGGATGTTGGTTTGTGTGTGTGTGTGTGTGTGTGTGTGTGTGTGTGTGGTGGCAGAACACAGAGAAGCAAATGCGACAGCTGGCGGTCATCCCTCCGATGCTGTTTGACGCTGAGCAGCAGCGCATCAAGTTCATCAACATGAACGGATTGATGGATGACCCCATGAAGGTGTACAAGGACCGGCAGGTCATGAACATGTGGAGCGACCAGGAGAAAGACACTTTCAGAGAGAAGTAAGCTAAACACAGCCGTGGTGAGAGACATCATTTGTCCTCCTTTGAATAGACAAATATCTCCTTTTCATCCTTATTTCCTAGCAGCTGGATTGGGTTTTCTTTGGCCAAAATTACACACATTTTAACTCTGTACATTGTTTATTTGGATCGAATCCCATATCAGCTTCCAGCTCTGTTCTCTGTTCGCATAAAGCACTTAAGAGCCTCTTTTTAAGCACCAAAGTGAAGCAATTCTTTACTTCCTGTGAAATATGTGTGACCGATAAAGGGTCCATAAGTTGTTGGTAAGGAAGTGAATCTTCCCCTTTCGTGAGAATCGAGAGGCGGTGCTTCAAGCTGCCAAAATCTAATCAAACCCACACAGTAAAATCAGTGACTTTAAAGTCTACCCACATGCAAAAGGAAGAGCTTCAGTTTCTTCTAATAACTCATCCAGAAGATACAGTAAGACATTTGATCACTAGTGATTGTTTAATATCATATTTACTACTTAGGGAGAGATTTAGCGTATCTTCTGAGATCTTCTGTTTTTACTCAGTAGTACATTTTCTCTGTCTGTGTCAGCACAGACGTCACCTCCTCAGTCATTCTCTTTGTGTTATTCTGTGATCCACTTCAGCAAATGTCAGTGATTTTGAAACATTTAAGTAGGAGGTTGTAAGAGTGTGTTTGTTCTGCTCCCACAGGTTCATCCAGCACCCCAAAAACTTTGGTCTGATTGCGTCTTTTCTGGAGAGAAAGGTATTTTCTTCATTCCCTTTTCTGTCATTTTCCGAGTGATACAGTCTTCTCAGGAAATGATTGTTGGAAAAAAAAAAATGACATTACTTTCATGTTTCAGACGGTGGCAGAGTGTGTGCTCTTTTACTACCTGACCAAAAAGAATGAAAACTATAAGAACATAGTGCGGAGGAACTACAGACGCCGAGGAAGAAGCCAGGTATTGTCACCTTTTCAAGGTTCAAAAAGATGTTTTACTTTACATCAAAGCCCAATCACGCAACGGGCCGACAGTCTGAAGGACACCGCTGTCTCTTTTTAAGAAAAACCTGCACATGCAGACGCAGAGAGTGAAATCTCCTTTTCTTATTACTAGACAAACAGCTGCCTGTCACTTAGCTTACTTATCTAATGACAGAAACTGAAAACAGTGTTTCTATCTCAGTCATTACACTCCGGGCTCCTCTCCACCGTCAGACAAGTTTGACAGGAACAACCGCTACCAACCTTCCCCTGTTTGTCACGTGTACAATGGATGCTACTTAAGAAAGGCTGATTATATCCAGGTGGAACGAAGAGAAGAAGTTTTTCAATGTGGAGCAGATAAACGCGAGGTATGTGGCGCGCAACAACAGCACGAAGAAGGATTTAAGCTATTGAAAATGGGGCGTTGTATTGCGAAACGAGTCCAGTGTTCAAGAGGATCTATTCATAAGTTTGTTTTCATTCGTGTATAATCACCTGTTTTAGTTACCTTGAGTTGACTGAGCTGTTTTGATCAGCAGAGGCCGCCATGTTTCTGCGGTATCCCACAACGGACAAAACAAACACTTGTCTAATCATTGTGATTAGAGATTTAGGGACGGCTGTTTACATGGGATGGGATCTAATATGGTCTCCCGTTTACAAGATCTGATGCATTTAATCGGAACAGCTGGGTGACTTTTGTAAAACAGGAAGTTGGTGTGGTCGGATCCACTGTTGTTGTTTGGGGATTTTAGGCGGTCTTCAAAGTTTTTAAGTTCATTCACATTTTTTGGTGGACTTGAATAGGCTAGGCATCCAATAATGTTCAGGTGACAGAGTAAGGGGGCATGTTGAGCCTAATGAGTGTTTGCCTGTGTTTACCCTACTATTTCATGTCTAAGTGGGTGCTGTGAAATCGACTGTGGCGAGAATAGCCAAGCGTGCCACGAAAGCGAGCTAACACAGAGTATCCATTTAATGACGGCCACCTTGATTGTAAAGAAAATGTCTTTCTGAAACCCTGCCCTCTGCAACCGATTGATCGTTTTGGGCCTGTTTATTCTGATTGAGGTGTTTATATGGAGCATTTTTATCCTGTTGGGCTTTTAAACAGATTATAATCTGAATATTAGGCTCCATGTTAACATAGCTACTGGATCTGGATACAGCCTCTCGTGTTTTTCTTCAGTTTCACAGCCACTGATGTTTCTCCTAATCTGCAGTTTCACCATGACATGCCACTGAATCCTACTCACTGGTCCTCTAACACGTGTCCTGTGTGAGCCTTAATCTCGCTACTTGCTCTGGAGCTACAGGGGTGTCTTTGCAGACCAGTGAGGTAGTCTGCGCCAGAGAACCCCCCCCATCATGTAGAGAAACGTCAAAGGTCACACAGCTGTTCTGATAAATTGCCACAATTTGCTCAACCTCATCCCGTCAGCACTGTTTCCATACTGAGTTGTTTTTTTGTTTTTTTTAACATTCCTATTGCTAATGAGCTCCCAGTTATTACTTCGCCTCACATCAGGTGCTGGCTGTTAAACCTCACGGTGGCAGGCGCTAAGGAAATGGCACATTAATTTACTGGCGACCTTTTCCTGTGGGTACGAGCGCAGTGTCTCCTCATCCCTCCTGAAGAAACCTCTGCTCATTACCTGGGGGGCTGAGTAGCAGCTAGCGCTAATAGCTCACAGTCACAGAGGGAGGTAGCTCCAGAGGAGGAACAGAAAGTGCAGTGCTATATGTCACAATGACTGCAAATGCTAATAGAGATTATGTTTGGGTGGCGGAGAGATGGTGAGTGTAAGTAATAGCTTAATGCAAATGTTAATGTGTTTCCAGCCTTGCTGAGTCCGTTTTTCCCCCCCCACAGTGGTGTAGTGGAGTGGCCACTCTGTTGTCCTCTTTAAATACACTTTCTGTAGGGCTGCGCCTGGATGCAGCACTAACAGATGTCTGATGATGTGTCTGAGCCAGGGAGATCATTAAGTCCTCCTGAGTTATGGCCTTTTAAATTGAGTTCATTTCACAGGGAGGGAGAGGACATTAGTGATATTGTGAAAATGGAGAAAAAGGTAGCTCCTGTAAATGAAAGGTGCATTTAAATCTCCTCCCTTGCTATCTTGCTCTGCTCACACTCTCTTTCTCTGCGCCCTTTTTATGTTCCCTTTGCCAGGAGCCACATGTAACCCGTCTGTTTATATGTCGTAAAGAGATCAGCTAAAGGTTTACGTTCTGTGGATGAGCATTAGCCCAAAGGCAGCAACTGCAAATATGATCAAATAGAGAAAAAGTTCTTATCAGTAAAAGTATTTTTGCTTTGTCAGTTATGAGCTGTGTTTATGGTTTTTGGTCAGACTGCACGTCCGTACTAATCTGAACTCTAACCCTAAAAGCCCAGACAGGCAGGAAATTGGTAAGGAAGCGGTTCTGGGTGCTTAAAGAGGATATTTTGGAACTTTCGTATCCTGTTTTGTTTTGCATATGTAGAAAACGAATAGGATTTTTTTCGTAGGTTAGTATCCATCCTATATTTTAAACAACTGATACCAAGTCCTTTTTAGAAATGTCAAAGATAGGAATTATTTGATCTCTTTCCTCTTGCAAACACCATAGTGCAACTTCTGTCTCATCTTAAAAAAAACCCCTGAGTTAGACATGATACCGTCTGCAGCTGTCTGCCCAAAGTGCATTTATGTTTGAATAATGTGTCAGATAACAGATCTGCCACAGGAAGTGCCTCCTCACTCACTGTTTGCAAACAAGCAGAAGATGTCCGTGGTTAGATGAGAGCGATTAGATTGCGGGTCTGTAGCTATAGAGAATTATTATAGGAGTCTGCTGAAACTGAAAGTCTCTTTTACCTACTTTACATACTGTGAGTCTTTTTACACCATCAGTTTGGAAGGTATAATGCAGTATTATTTAGAACTGTTACCAACCTTTACCCATCTGCTTTCTTTAGTCTGTAGTAATTTAACTTCTATGCTTGGGTAATTGTTCTTTGTCCACACATTGAAGTGTATACAGGTCACAGGAGAGGTCAGGCTGTTTGCCAGTAAGTCTGATGGAGTGGAACAGTTCTCCAAATCCATGGTTCTCAATTTTTGAGCCACAGTTCAATGCATATCTTGTTTGTTTGTTTGTTTGTTTGTTTGTTTTGGGGTGGGGAGAAATCAGCTTTAATTAAATGAGCTAAAATTTGGAATATCAAGAACCCTATTAAATAGATTCACTTTAATTTAACTTCACATAAAAATCAATGAATAATCTTTGCTTATGTGATTTTGTATGTTTTTCTGACATGTCATCAACCTGCCAGTGACTGCAGATGAAAATGAGCCTATGTGGCTAAATCTGGTGCATTTACATAATGGAATTAAGTCCTCCATGTTAATGAGTGTGCATTGTCTCTCCTTGAATAAATAAACTTCAAACTAAGTAAACCAAATAAAAATAAACAAACACACAAATGTCAGTGAAGCTCCGTCGACTCTGAACTAATTCCTGATTAACGTACACACATGAAGAATGCACATCTTATCGGAGCTCAATTATTTTGGTCATATGCTCAAATTGTGTAGCGTTATTTTCTAAAGGTTCAAGGTTACTTTAGTTGTACCCAAAGATGGATTTGTTTGGCAGTAAAAGACGAGGCATTCCTCTTGAGAAAAATATAAAAACTCAGACAATAGACAAACATAATACAAGCATGATAAAGATAAAATATAAAAGTGCTCCAGGCTCTTACAAAGAGAGCTTAATAATATACCAAAATAAATAACCACTATGAATAATTAAGGTAAAAATGCAGATACAAAATAGAAAAACTTGATCTGAATGAAGAAAAGCTATTTTTATATCTCTTTGTTGTACATTTTGGGACTATAAACCTCTGTCCTGAAGGAAGAAGCTGAAATTCACCGCTGTGTGAAAAGGGTGGGAGTCATCATTTAAAATCTAGCTGTAGTTATCCACTGTAACTGTCTGGAGTACAGGGATTCTAGGTTAAACTGTTACCCACCAATTGGGCTACTAGACCATTTCTGAACTCAGTATGGCTGCTTACCCACACTCAGATAAACACTTTTGTATCATTAGTTACTACTTTGGTCTGAATCTGTAGTGAGAGGCTGATTTAACGCCTCTAATCAACACATTCAGACGATGCCTTCATCGTTAGGGATGTCCTGATCAAGTTTTTTTTGGCCCCTAATCTGAGTCATTTAATATTGAGTATCTCTCTATACCGAGTCCAGATCTGATAGTTGTATTTCCTTAGATAATACAGGCGTGTGTTGCACACTTGAAGTACAGGAAAGATGCAGCGGAGAACGCTGACAATGGTTGCACCATGCAAGAAACCTCTGAGTTAAACCAGCTGAAGTATAAGGGATCGGATCGGGTCAGTAAAGCTCAATATAGCTGGTACTGTCTTTCCACAGACGACCCCGACCCCGTCAACGTCCGCACACAGTTTGACACTAATCACAGACCTTTGGCACGATACGCTGTGTCTGTTTGAGGTCAAACTCATGGTCTCGATTTTCTGTTCCGTGCTCGGCAGTATGTTTGTGTATATTTACAAAACACAGCTAGTACCGTGACACGGGAAGAAGGAACCGCGACTGGAAACCGTTGACGTTTGTGTGGCGGTTTTTGGTCTCCGTTTCAGACCCGTAACACCCCCTATGAATTGGTCTGCTACCTGCAATTATCTTTGTAACACGGAGTGCATTTTTGTTTCTGTCTCCCTCGTCGCAGCACGGCCAGCAGCAGCAGCAGCAGCAGCAGCAGCAACAAGTGCACCGGGGCAGCCAGGAGGACAAGGAGAAGGAGGAGAAAGAGAAGGAGGGGGAGCGGGATGAAGAAAAAAATGAAGCTGAAGACAAGGAAGATGGAATGAAGTGAGTCGCTTCTTTTAATACTTAACTAAACCTTCCAGTCGTGAGTCATCTGATTTCTGAGCTGTGTGTGCTGCGAGGATGACCTGACTTTACTGACAGAGAGGAAAAGATGCAGCCGGGTGAAAAACATTTCCACCTGGACCTGCACAGCTGCAACGATCTTCTCACTTTTCCCCATTTCTCCAACACACAATTTTAGAATAGTTCCAGGTCAGGCTTCAGAAAACTGAGTAGGTTTTGGCTGCGTGGAGCGGATCTGGAAATCCTATCATTCTGTAACCCTTGAGCTCTTACTCCCTTACCTCCAGCCAGACTTTCCACCTACGGCAAATTCAAGAGTCCATTCGTTCTCCCTATTAAAACAGCTGTTTTCCTGTTTATGCTTCTCCCCTTCCCCATAGCATGCCAAGTGTCATTTTTTAAATTCTGTGCTTATTTTGTTAGTCTGGGTGTATGTGGGGAAAAATAGGCTGCACGATTAACTTAGCTGTCAGTTTGAACTGTCAGTGTCAGGAGTGTGTGTGTGTGTGTGTGTGTGGGCGGGTGTGTGTGTGGGCGGGTGTGTTGGTGGGTGGATGCAGCAGTGGTGGAGGACGAGGAGGAGGAGGTGTTTTCAGGCACAGTGCCAGCAAAGGATGCAAAACAACAGATGGAATATCACTGCTTTCTGGTGCCGGAAAATTAATAGACGAATACAGCAGTCTGTGTCTGTATTCATGCATTATATTGTGATGTCAGCTGAGGCTGTACACTACAGTGGTTTCAAGTAATAGCGGGTCATATTTATTAGCAGTTGTGTCCGACTGGAAGATGATGATGAAGCATTGCGTACTGTCTCTGCCAGGCCAGGGGACTCCGTGACTCCCAGCACACCCTGCTGCCCGCCTGTCCCTGGCACAGCTGGCTCGCCTATATTTAGGGTGCAACCAACTCCCCTCAGCAAGATTAATGGAGCTGTGGGAAGATGAATGGAGGTGCAGCGGGTTCAAACTCAGTGGCTGTCTCCTGGCATGCCATTGTGCTGACACTCGATAAATTATCTTGGTGAAAAAAGAAGGAAAAAGAGAAGTGTCTGTATACACGTGCACATTCGGTCTTCCAAGTGTGTGTTTCAGTCTGCAGCATTGTCCAGTCGTCTGTCTTCATGCAGACGGTCAAGTCTGTGTCCAGGTTTGTGGCAGTGTAGAAGCCAAGCAGCTTGAGGGACGTGATGGTGATGGATGCAAGTTTGAATTCATTTTTTGGGACTGACTCAATAGCAGCATGGCCCATATTGTCTTCTCAGAAAAGATTCTATCCCTATTATTTCACTAGTGAGATCTCTATACACTTGTTTGTTGCTCTGTACTTCAGCACATTGGGTTGAAATGAAACAATGACTGAGGTTCAGGTGTCAACTTTTGGATTTAAATGAATATTGTGTACATTTACGTCAGCCTACAACAGTTCAGGAATTATATCAAACCAAAACTATAATATCCTATTAGCTGTGTTCTTGCTTGGTTTAGTGTGTGTACCCAGGCTTCCAGTCCGTACTGCAAAATAGTGACACCAAGAAGCTCCCTTCGGTTTGAGGCCATTTTCAGGAAAAGCGAGAAAGAGTGCAGTGGTGGTTGAATGAGCTAGAGAGTTAATGAAGAGTGGGAGCGGTGGTGACAACCCTTGGCTAATTGCAGAAACGCCTGATTTTGGTCTAAATACGATCATCAACATGTTCTGCTGATGATCTGTGCCATCTTCAGTTCTTGCTTGTATCAGGTGCTTTTTGCGTTCAGTCTGATGTTCAGCAGTGAAATACAGTTTGATTGAGAAAGTTCACGTGTTTGGCAATAAAACACAATAAAAACAGCACATCTCTGTTGTCTAAAGGATTATTACGTGTCCTACAACGCTGCCTCTGTATCGTGCTTTGACTCGGTGACCCATTACATGTCTCGTGCTGACTGTGTTGACATTTCTCAAACACAGGGATGACACCTCTGGAGAAGATGCAGAGGACAAAGAGCCCACTGTGGCTTTCAAGGGTCGCCGAACAGCCAACAGCCAGGGCCACCGCAAGGGCCGCATCACCCGCTCTATGACCAGTGAAGTGGAGGAGACCACCACACCGCCACTCAACAATGAGCTCGGTCAGTCTCAGCTGCACTGCACCAAATTAGCACCAGTTGGCTCTTCTCTTTTTAATGGTGTTTTCCTCTTTTCCCCTTTTCTATCACTGACTAAACTGCCGACCCCTATCTAAATCACATACTGTATTTATAATTCATATTATATTCAATGCAGAACACCTTAGAAACACAAATGAACACACTATCTGAAGGAAGTTTGTATAAATGAGATTTTATTTCCTGTGAATATTAATCAGAGATGAGTTTTCTTGATATTTTTAGAAACTTTTTATTCAATTCTCTGTCTGTATTATATAATTTTATTTAATTTCTAACAATCTGACCGACTTAAAAGGTTTCTTTCTTGACAAATTCAGTGTTTTCTTTAGCTTTTCTGTTAGCTCTTTGGTTGTGCTTACCTTTCTAATGCAGGACTCTGATATATTGGCCTACTGTGTATATAGCACACTGACATCAGATTACACTATATTTCATATTCATCATAATAAGGACACTTCTAAAACCAGCAGTGTAGGACAAAATGCTTTGCACTTGTCAGGATCAATTAATTGATATAGTATTTCCCTACCATCATGTAGGATTGACTCTGTCGCCTTTGGTCTAGTTGTGGCCTCCTGTGCCACACCACAAGAGTGCACTGTTGTTCCTTTTGTCTTCGTTCACATTCAGTTAAACTTTTGTTTAGAGATTGCCACTCATAAAGAATCAAAACAGAGAAAAATAGTGGCTGCGTGAGAGATATGTAGTTTAAATCCCATCCGTTGGCAAAAGACAGAAGTATTATTTAAGGACAAAATACCCAGTGTGTCAGCAGTGTCCCACCGCTTAGCTCTTTGTTTCCTCGCAGATGGTAAGTCAGCCGTGCACACACTGTGCTGCAGGCTATCAGGGAATTTTGATGTATCAGCAGTTGTGTGTGTGTATGCTGCAGTCGCTCCTGCAGCACAGGTTTAGTCACAGGGAATCCCCAGGTGATTCGGGCTGTAGGGGCTCTCATCAGCAGCTCCCCCACCCCTGCCGCCGCCCCGTCCGCCACGGTTGGTCCGGTGCTAGCCAGCACAGTGTGTCCTTCGCGGGTCCACGCAGAGGACACACAAGCACAGGCTCCCGCTCCGCCGTATGCCAGGCAGGGCCAGGGTCGACCTGGCTTATGGCCTGCGCAGGGAAAGAAGCCAGTTGTTATGTCTATAATCATTAACTGACTTCTCTCCTTGGATTTCCTGCTTCCTCCATCTAAAACAAACAGTCTCTAGCGACCCACGCTGCAGTGCCTCACTGGCAAGCAGCACAAGCTACCCTGCCCCCCACCCGTATATTCTTTTTTTTTTTCTTCTCTAATTTCTCTCTGCTTCCTTTCCTCTTGTCAGTCACTCCCCAACTGACTTTGTGACAACTGCCCACTCCCCCCCCCCCCACCACACACACACACACTCCTCCCGCCTTCTCTAACTTGGTGCTTCTCTTTTTTTTTGTGTGTGTAACAGCCAATCTGGAGATGAATGAGAGCTCTCGCTGGACTGAAGAAGAGATGGAAACTGCCAAAAAAGGTAATACAGAGTCAAACTTTCTTCTCCCCGTGAAGTGTAACTTCATTGCAATTACCGTGCGTTATAACAGAAGTGCCAAAAGAAAGTGCACCGGTAGCCGCTCAAGCACTGTTTTTTTTTTTTTTGAAAGCATAGACAAGTGATGTGGCTGCAACTTCCTGTTAGTCAGGCAGCTATCGCCACGTGCTGCTAGGTTGTGTCTATGCGTGTATGTGTCAGTCTGCCTCAACTGGGTCTGTTGCTCTTTGGAGCCCCCTCCCCCCCCGCGTCTCTCTGGGTCAAGGCAGCCTGTCTCTTTATCAGTCGGGCTGTAAAGTCTGCCTCTTATCAGCCAGCCCCTGCAAATGCAGCAGTCATTAACTCAGCCTGTTTATTGTCTCTGACTGAAGATTACCCAGAAGCCTATGGCTGATTCACAGAGGTCACTGACATTCTGCCCATTTTCCTAGCGCCAGCGCCCTGTGTGAGTGTGTTTGACGGTGTTTGCTGCGTGCTGTCCATGAGTCTCAGTTACTGCTGTAATGAGGCGCTCGCCCTGTGTGGTTTCTAATGTTTTGTTGGATAGGGATTCCCCACTGACGGACAGGTCTGATTCTCATCTGTTATTGTATTTGGCGATGGGTGCTGCAGGAAGTAATGCTCATAAATGTCTTCACCTCTGACTCCTTAAATCACAAAGAGTCTGTCTGAGCTGTGTATCCGCATGCATCTTTTTATAGATGTTTTTTTAAAATGTTGGTCTTAGGAGGCTAAGCACCGTCTTTGTTATGTCAAGTGCTGTTTTCTGTACATGACTCAACACAATTTCACTGCAAAGCGGCTGCTTTGTGGCCATTTGTAGATGATGTGTCATCTTGCTTTGTGAGATTCTCAGTTCTGCTTCTGACTAATCTAACCTGTCCTCCTTTGCAATCAACAGTAGATGAAGGGCTGCTTGCAAGCAGCTATCAGCAGTTTGAACGTGATATTAAAACCGCATTTGGTCTTGAGGACTTATGGCATCCGTCTCGTGCCGTGTGTGTGTGTGTGTGTGTGTGTGTGTGTGTGTGTGTGTGTGTGTGCATTTTGGGGTTTGTGTATGCATTTGTGTGTTAAGGGGTTATTTTGCGATAACTGGCGCTAGCCTGGCTGGAACACGGTTCTGTGTAGTAATCCTGGTTAATGTCTTCAGTTCCATTCTCCTGCAGTGGAATTAGTGGGGCTCTCCATCCCAGAGGATTAGCTTGGCAGCTCGGTGGGAGCAGGGCTTCTATGAAGGGCTTATGTAACCACAACCACAGAGCCCCAGCCGAAGGGCCGAAGAGGAGGAGCTGTTGTTGCCGTTTTTCATCAGTTCTAACAACCACCCCCACACCTGCCAAAAGGGATTCCCCTTCCAAGAACTCGCACTCCAAGATCATACCCTTCCCCTCTCCGTTTCCTCATAGCATTGTAGATGCTTGTCAAGGTGCTCTCCCTTGCAGGTGCTTGACATGTATATGTTTTAAAGAGGCTTAGGTCTCCCAATGCTAATGTGTTTATCCCCTCGAGCTAAACAGATCTAAATAATAGCATTTATAGTGCCTGGCAGGACATCGGCATTCCAGCATTGGCAGCGCCAGCGAGCGTTGCCTTCGAGGATGGCATGGCCACACTCGGAGATAGATCATCTTGTCTTCACTGCTCATAAAGACTGCTGCCTCGAACAAGGGCCGGCCAATCTTTATAAAGCCTCCCTCTTAAACCCACCAGCTCTGCCTGTGTGTGTGTGTGTGTGTGTGCGCGCAAGATAAGTGTAGCAAAGGTTGTGTCTGTGCGCTCTTGGTCCAAGCTGTGTGTGTTTGCATGTACTCCCTTCTTGGCTGGCGTTTATGTAAGTGCACTAATCTGGCAGGCTTTGCTTGGGTGCAGGCAGGCAGGCAGCTGGATAATGGCCCCTGCTCTGCTTGCTGGAAGAACCCATTTAAAGGAGCAGCAGGTAGAGAATGCCATATTATTCTTTTCTTTTTTTCCCCCTGTCTTTCTCCTCCACTGTTGCTCCGTCTCCATCTCTCGTTCTGTCTCTCTCTCTTTCTCTCTCGGATGGGAGATGGCAACGGCCCAGATTGGCAAGAGCCGTGGAAGATTTGGCAAGTGCCTCTTTCCCCCACTCACTTTGCCTCTCCCCCTCACTCTGTGTTGTTATAGACTGGAGAGAGGTCACATTCAAGATGAAAAGCAGGTCAGTCAGGAAAAATGTGAAAGCCTTTATGCTTTCTCATGGTATCAACATCAACTCCCCTCTCTCTCCCCCTCCTCCCCGTCCCTCCCCCCCTTGTCTCTTTGCTTACTCTCCACTTCTGTATCCTTTCCCTTTCTCCATTGTCTCTTTGGCTCAGTGGCTTTGCTCTCTCTCTATCTCTTTCCTCTCTCTCCAGGCTGCTTGCGCGCTCTCTCTCTCTCTCTGCTCTCTCTCTCTCTGCTCTCTCTCTGCTCTCTTTCTCTGCTCTCTGTTTACTCTTGGACTGCCTGAGTGTGTGTTTGCGTCTGTGTGCTAGAGTATTAACAAGAGAGACAGAGAGAGAGAGAGCGAGAGAGAGAGAGGGTTCGAGTGAGTGTGTACTCACTCATGCGTGTGTGTGTGTGTGTGTGTGTGCGTGTGCGTGCGCCGCGGTGCCTGCTGGCAGACTGAGGTAGGGGGAGGGACGGACCGACGGAGAGAGGGAGGGAGGGAAAAAAAAGAGAGATAGAGGAGAGATCAGATGAGGGGAGAGCGAGGCAGAGCACATAGCACCGCCCCACAGTCCCACTTTCCTGTGGAAGTCTTCCCAGACGACCGCCATTGGGGAGAGACACGGCAGAGAAGAACACTTACCCAGAGCGCAGGGAGGACAGAGTGAGAGGAAAAGGAGGGGAGAGGCCAGGGAGCATGTGCTGTTTTGGAGCATGTCAACCTGACACCGGCTCAAGTATCAAGCCAGCTGGCAGGAAGAGCGCCGAGACTGAGCTGTTTTCATCTCCTCTGCTCTGGATCGGAAGGCCCAGCCCTGAAGAGCTTCCCGGCGGGCCCTCCAGAGATCAGACCGTCTGATAGCGTTATCCAGCGCAGGGCCACGAGACGACGGCTGGACTGACAGGCATGTGACAGACAGGAACAACCACTTTCTGACTGCACCAGGTGTTGATTGGACTTTCTCTGGGAGGAGCTAATGGGAATACAGTGTCCTGATTGGGTGTGAGGCTACCACCTGCTTCAGTATTGCTGCTGCTGATTGGATGTTTGCTCCATGTGTGTTGCTCCAGCAACTAAGGCCTTTAGTCAACCAGAGCTGCTTGGGATTGTGTTTGTGCGCTTGCATATGGAGGAAAAACTGTAGCTAGCTGAAGTGACCTTTGACTTTAAGTGAATTAATTGCATTGTTGTTGCTTCAGGTCCACTCGATGCAGCAAAGTGTCTCTCCTACTTGATTAAATGTGTGTGATATTGTGCCACTATTCGTGTCTTTGTTTGTGTGAGCACGTGTAAGTTTGTGTGTACTCTGGCAGGTTGGAGGGTGTCTGACTTGTAGGGCAGCCCTCCCCCCTCCTCCTCCCCCTCCTCCCCTCTTGTGAGGCGGCTGTAAAAGGTTAATAGGTGTCGGTCACGTGTCTCAGTCCTCTCGGAGCGAGTCAGGCCGACCGCTCTTTTCTTCCTCGGAGAAGCTTTCCTAGCAATGCCTTTAGTGGCAGCGATGAATATTTCAGCTGAAAAACCTCTTCCACTTGAACACTTGACAGGTTGTAGGTGCGCAGCAGCTTTTAGACACCGGCAGCTCAGACTTGAAGATCACCTTTGCTTGTTCCTTTTTATACTGGCATTAATAAATTGTCAGTGTGACAGTGAATATTACACGTCTTCTCACGTTTGCTGGGTGATGCAAATGTTTTGTGGCTATTTTGGTTAAGTTTTGTTAATAAATGTACGTATCAGTTGTTAAGTGTGAGTTTCACCTATGTCTGTGCAGAGATAAATATAAAGGATACAGCTTTGCAATGCATGAATTGAACTTGAGAAGAGTTGCCGTGCAGGCAGTTTTCTGGATACTTTATCATATTTGCAGTGACGTTTGTGTTTTATGCATCTTCATATCTTGATTAAGAGTATCCCTGTGCACATTAATAAATACTTTTGAATAAAGTCCCAGAAGTTAAACTTGCAAACATCTATTAGCCCAGCTTTTATTGCAGCTTTCATTCTATAAAGCGTTGGTATCACAGTCAGTCTGTCTGATTAATATGAGCTGAAATGACGGGGCTGTAAACAGCTGTCCTTTCCTCTCCTTTGGCTCAGACTTCTGCCTGTTGTCCTACTGCCTCCATTAAGCGATGAGATGCAGAGACCTCTGAACCCATGTCCAAGGTTATCCCAGGAGGTGTTGGCTCTTTGCCCGTTAAAAACACCACCCCCCTGACAACCCTTTGAGAGGCTGTCCTGTTGCCAGGACCTGTCAGGCTGGCACAGGAAACAAGTGGGTGGTGTAAGCTAAGCCTCTTACAACACACACTGTTAATGAGCTGCCTTTAGCTAACAGCAGACTTCTGGGGCGGGAGGGTGGGGGGGCGGGGGACGACACTGGAGCAAATTCTACGCTATCTGTCTTTCTCACTCACTTCCACTTGCACACCGACTGCTCTCTACATCTCTTCTTTTAGCACACATGCACCGAGCGGTCGTGCGCGTGTGTGTGTTACATGACAGGTTGATCTATCACAGCTCTGGCCCAGCGGGTGCCTGTAGACTCTTGTGTAAGGCACAATCATGTGGTTGACTGGGTAAAGGACCAGGGTTTCTTGGAAATGGGTCACATCAAAGTCAGTCAGAATATGACACGGAGCGACCCCAATGGAGAGAGTTAGTGATGTCATTGGTATGACTGACGATCAGCCACACACACCGCTCCTCTTCCTCTTATTCTTTAACTCCGTGTCTCTACCTAGGAAGCACATAGCACCAGGACTGTGAACTACGCTCTCAGGCTGTCAGCTGTATAGAAACTTACATTTATGGCTATTGATTTACCACAGAGAGACTTCCATACTGTGCACTTAAAGAGATTGTGGTTGGAGATACTGTTCTCAGTATATAAACCAAAATAATCAATAAATGTGCAATCTTTACAACAAGTGCACTTTGCACAGCTGCAGAGAGAATACCATTTGATATGGAGCCCGAGACGCAGTCGTTCGAGGCCACATGTCACCCATGTCGGTCTGTCTTTGTTCCTGTCCTAATCCCTCTGCCTGTCCATCTGTTAATTCCAGGCCTTCTCCAGTATGGTAGGAATTGGTCCGCCATCGCCAAGATGGTGGGATCCAAAACCGTGTCACAGTGCAAGAACTTCTACTTCAACTACAAGAAGAGGCAGAAACTGGATGAGATTCTGCAGCAGCATAAAATGAAATCGGTAAGCAGCGCGAAGGTTAGCGAGACATATTTGCTTCACGTTGTGCTGACAAAGTAAAAGTCTATTCTTTCATTCTTTGTTCACCGAGCGCTTTTTATTTAGTGTGCGTTTGTTTTGACCCAGGAGAAGGAGCGAAAGGCCCGTCGTAGGGGCAAAACCCTGCAGAATGAGGAGACCAGTGCCCAGTATCCAGCAGAGGAGGAGGAGATGGAGGTATCAGGAGCTAGTGGCAATGAAGAGGAGGCCCCTGAAGATGGAGAAGGTACGCCAAACCCAGGAGCTTCATACATTATGCTAATAGCCAAAACATTTATTTTATAGCATAATCAATCTTTTACTGTGGATCAGTTTTTTGGACATTTCTACCTTTATGAAGCTTATCATGGTTTTTGTTTTGAGTTTCGGAGAGCTGTTAATTCAGCTCTATGTCTGTGTTGGTGTACGGTGCTGTGTTATATTGAGTGTTTTATAATACTCTTAACAAACCTAACTGCACCAGTTGGTGCCATTTGGTAATTCGTCGTTGGAAAATCTTTGGAAAAGGGCAGGAACTTTCAACAAATGCTTGGCAGAACCATCACCGCCTCAGGCAGACTTCAACAAATCAGATCAATGAACCATAATCAAGCTCTTACTGAAACCAGTTGGAAGAAGTGCAAAAACATCTTTTCCATGGAGAAAATACCTCAGTTTGCTCTTTGCTCTCAGAAATACTCTCCACTCCTGATGTAACTGATGCTAGCAGCATCTACGCTAACCCCTTTAGCACCCGCCATTGTTGTTTTTCAAGCAAACAGTCAGTTCTCACACACACCTAGCGTTAAACCACGCCCGTAGCTCCTGCCGCAGCTGCCAGTAGTTCCTCGTAGGATGCTGATTGGTCTGAACCAATGGTGGTTGGACACAGGTGCATAGCTTGAAGTCTGGCAAGATGAATTCTGGCATGTTCTCTCAAGTCTAGCTGCTGTGCAAGGTTAATTCTTAACCTCTTATATTTGTAGTTGGGGTTAGAAATACCACTGCTAGCTACGACTTCAATAATACACACACACAGTTGAATTAATACCTCTTTGACGGTGTTAAATGTAGAATATGTGGCAGAGCTGTTGTATTTGATTGCATTAGATTGTACAGGTGTGCCTAATAAAGTGGCCACTGAGTGTATATAATGTAAAATAACAGTGAAACTCGTGTTCTGCAATGACAAACCTAAAAGTATCCTGAAAATCCTGCTGTAGTTTGTTGATAGAAGTATACTATGTGGACTGTACTTCCACAATGGAGCCCGAAGCCCCGGGGGATTTCGTCCATCATCCCAATTGGTTTTGTGTTCCTCCTTATTGTACAGTGAAACCTGATTAGGCAGAAGACTGGCACTGTGAAGAATCTGGTTTAGCGGACAGAGATGGGGAAAAGATGGAAGAAAAGAGGACAAGGAGATATAACATGATTTACAGTATAAGCCCGGTCTTGTCTTCTGATCTACGTTTCCTTTTGTCCTGCCAGGTGGAGCCAACAACAGCTCTGACACAGAGAGCCTGCCCTCGCCACACTCATCAGAGGACAGCAAGGCTAAGGAGGAAAGCTCGGGCAGGTCAAAGGCCAGCTCCAACTCCGGGGACAAGGAGGCGTCCGGGTCCGACATGGGCCAGGCAGGGGACGAGAAACCTCCTGTCAAGGAAGATGCGGACTCAGGCATCAAGCAGGAGATAAAGACTGAGACAGGGGAGCCCAGCAAGGAGCATCCATCGCCGCCCAGCGACGCCGCAGATAAAAAGCCTCCGACAGCAGAGACGGAGGAAGTGAAAATCTCCGTCAAGAGCTCCAAGAAGGACCACGGGGCCAAAACTGGCTCCCATGGGGACAGCGACTCTAGTGCCACTTGCAGCGCTGACGAAGTGGAGGAGACAGACAACACAGATAAGAGCAGGTAAGAACTGTCTCCATACTATGTGTTTCCTGTTTATGTCTCACTGATGACATCGTTGGGCCTGCTTGAGATCATGGTGTCAAAAGGCTTCTGGTTTTGGACCGGTGGTTTTACTAGGTGTCCTACTTCTCTGGTCTTACCACAGCAGACATCAGAAAATACAGCAGCGAGGGTTTTGAAGTGTTATTAGTTGCCTAGCTACACTGTACAGCAGTGAGGCCATATTTGGCCACCCACTAATGTGTACACCACAGGTTGCTCTTTTCTATCAACCAGAGATTTTATTTGTACTTTGTATGAATGAGAGTACATTTTTACTGCACATTTTTATATATATATATATATATATATATGGTGTGTGTGTGTGTGTGTATGTGTGTGTGTGTGTGTGTGTGTGTGAATGAGGCCACAAGAAATGGGTGTCAAAGTGCGTGGGAGGAGTGATTAGTCCTGTTTGCACGGTATTTGTTCAATTTTTTCCATGACAGCAGACTACATGTACTGGCAGAGCCAAGGGAAACGCTGCCCTCTCTGCCAAAGCAAACAAAGGGAGCGAGCGAGTGTGTGTGTGTGTGTGTGTGTGTGTGTGTGTGCGTGCATGTGTACACACTTGTGTGTTGTTGTGTATCAAAGTGTGTGTCTGTCTGTGATTCAGAGTATGTTGTGTGCTTTCGACAGATGTGCGAGACATGGATATGGATTGTTACTTGCAATTTATTTCCACAGTTTCAGGCTCTGTCAACATGCGCACACACACACACACACACACACACACACACACACACATAATGTATTCCTGCTGTTCCTCATCATTTGAATACTTAAATACTTTGTTTAGTGAGTGAGGATTTGTAATTGAGCTTGTGTCTCTTGGGGGAGTAAGACGTCTCTTTTTTTCCTAGTTTTTTTTTTTTTTTAAAAGATCCCCTCCAGATATGTATTAAGACATATACACTATAAATGTTCCTTTTAAAAAGTATTCCTTTCCACATTTGAATCCTTAAAAAGACATCTACCCCTTCTATCTCCATTAAGTGTTCCTAATCTACGAATATGCAAATGTTAATTTAAGTTTTCCTCCTACTTCACTGTAAAGTACGGATGCACAATAATTATGGCAAATGTATATTTTTATGTATTATTCCACAAATTAAAAGACCAGTATGTAGGATTTAGTGGCATCTAGCTATGTAGTTGCAGATAGCAACTTTCTTGTTTCAACCTCCTCTTGCAAGCACAAAGGAGAAACTACGGTGGCTGTGTAACACGTACAAAATGCATTGATTTGTCCCTTCTGGGCTACTGTAGAAACATGGCAGACTTGATGGAAGCGCCTGTGGTGTCGCAGATAAAACAGTCTCATTCTAAAGTAACAAAAACATGACAATTCTTATATTCAGGTGGTTATACACTAATAAAAATATACCTGTACTTTTCCACCAGTTGATCCTCCTCAATGTTACACACTGGACCTGTAAATTATAGCCGATAAATGAAGATATTAATAATAATAATTTTTGACTTCTTATGCAAAAAATCAGTTTTCCTGTGAGCTCAGAGAAACTTTCCACTTCAGCAGATGAATGTGAAAACATCTTTCTAAAGCAAACTGCACTGACATCATTGAACCATCACTCTGTAGGAACAAGAATCATTGTTGAGCGGAGGGGGGGCTTTAATGTTTGTGATTGAGAGAGAAGGCTCTAACTTATTTCTGTCTCTGTGTGTTCGTAGAATAACTTCTCCACGGCCCAGCCTACTGAACTACACTCCCGACGGGGTCATATCCTCCCCCCTGCAGAAGCCCATGGACCTGAAACAGCTCAAACAGAGGGCTGCTGCCATTCCACCTATTGTGAGTCGCTAGCTGAACTTTCTCATTGTGTGTTTTCTTCCTCGTACATCACACAAGCGAGGTGAAGAGCATCTCAGCTGTTCTAGCTTTGATCCAGGTAGCGTTTAGTAAAACTGATTTCCCCCAGCTCTTACACAAACACCCTTCCATTGCAGTGGTATCAATACTACCCGTGTATCTCTGCTTACAGAGATAACAGTATAGCAGGTGAAATTGTAAAGTCATATTTGTATAAGATTAGCTGGCCAGATGGAGGATGATGGGACAGATTGCTTTGTGGAGAAGAAATTAGATCCTAAGCATTAGGGAAACTTTAGCTTTCCAAGAAATTAGAGCTGCTTATTAGCTATCATGTTTATCAGATACTGTATGTGGCTAACCATATGTCAAACACCAGGTAGGAGTGGGCTTGTGTTATGTGTGTGGTGTGATTATAACCTTTTTTTTTTTTTTTTTTTACTTCTCATCCTCTGTGTGCGTAGATGCCAGAAGCCTCCATGCATGGCAGTCAGCGGAGTGGGGGCGGCAAGGCAGTGCTGCCCCCCCACGCCCTGGCACTGTACCAGCAGCAGATCACCATGGCTCACGGGGAGTCCTCTCAGGAGGTCAAACAGCAGCAGCAGCAACTCTCAGGCCAGCCGGGCAAACAGCAGCCTTACAACCTGCAGGCAGAGAGAGACAGGGAGGCTCTTCATAGCAGCAGCCCTCGCATTCGCCCGCGCAGCCCCTCCACCAGCGACAAGGATGGTACGCACACCTCCATCACGACAAAAAACTACCTTTTGTTGCTTATAGAGTCGAGGACTGATACACGGCATCAATACTTCACCATCAGATAGTATTTGGAGTAGATTAGGATGTTTTGTGAGCTGCTAAAGTCACAATATCCAGTATTTGTCTCATATTAATCCCCCCTTCTGTCTTTTTCCCCCCCTCATCATTTGCCATCATTTTCCTTTTTGTATGATCTCTAGTATTCTGCTGGCTCTATGTACAGTATGTATAACATGGTACACTCCTTTAGTTGTCAATTTTAAAACGTCTAGGATTTATGGGAACGAGATTAGCCCTGCAAATTGGGGAATAACGAAATGATAACAAGAAAATGGAGGTTAATGAAAGTGCTGCACATTTACGCAGTTTTTAGCAGCATTTGTTCTAGTTTTACTTAGTTGGTCCTTGCTACGTGCTCTAACCTTGAAGTCTGTGTTCTCTAGTGCTTAGGGTGTTCAAGTGTTTCTGGGACACTCGTGGAGAGGGAACTGATAAATGATCTGGTATTGCTACTGACCCAGAAGGGAATATAGTCTAGTTCAGTGCACTTACTGTGAGCTTGTGGAATGTGAATCTCTGAGAGCACAGTGTGTGTAAGACTTTTACCAACAGTCCACACAAAGGCAGGATCTGGACACAGCGGCTAAAGCAGTGGTTCCCAACCCTATTCCTTAAGGGACCCCTGACTGAGTGACATATATTTTATGGATATTTCATGTTCTACTCAATGCAGAACAGCAAGAGTACAGAAAAACTGGACAATTAACCCAAATGGTGAACACAATAACTGCAGGAAGTTTGTGTAAAACGAGTAGATTGAGTAGTTTATTTCCTGTCATTATTACATCAGAGATGAGCTCTCTTGATAATTTCAGGGATCTTTTTTTAATACAATTTCCTGTCTGTATATGTCTTCAAAAGGTTAAATCTTAAATAATAATCTTTAGAGATAAAAATTTAATTTCACAGAAATGAATGAAAATGCTGAGCTACAGGCTTCTTTTTTTTTTAATATACCCCAAGAAGGCCACCCTCCCGTGAAGCTTTGCCGACCTCTAGTAGAGGTCCCGACCCCCAGGTTGGGAACCACTGCTCTAAAGTACTGCAGCCACTTTTTTTTTACTTTTTCAGAGGGGCTTAAAAATCTCCTTTATACAGCGGCTGACACAGAGGCCAGACGGCGTATACAAAAGTGTTTATGTAGTTAGTGCATGTTTTTGTGTGAGAGGAAAATTCTGTGAGGATGCGATGATCTGTGGTGTGCTTGTGTCCCTTCAGAGCTGGAAGGCAACGAGAGGTGGTTACTGACCCTCCTGCAGGGATTAAGTAGGTTCACCCCTTGCCCCCCACACCATTCCCTTTTTTTTAATTACAACTTAACCCCAATGCAGGGTAATCACCTCCTCTGCTGGCTTATACTGTCTGTACTTTACAATAAATATTAGCAGTGGTTTGTTGTGTATGTTGGCGTGTTAATTCAGTGGTGATATCACCCCGGTTTGGGTAGTGGCGTGAGGTTGGGGGGTCTGTGTGCTTGTGGACGACAGTGATAACAGCGGCGGCTGAGGGAACAGCTTCTTGGATTAGTTGGAGGTCTGGCTGAGTGCCGGGCTTTTGGTCCTGACTCTGTTTGTGTGGTGTTGTTGTTGCAGAAAAGTCCCGAGCTTTCTCTCCGCACGGTGAAGCCAAGAAGCAGGCGCTGGGCCCAGATGACCTCAGGACCTCCAACTTGGGTCGGCAAGTCCTCTCCCCCTACCCCATGTCCCCGCGAGACATGACCAAGATCAGTCACGACCAGCACCTGCTCCACTTCAGCTGTAAGTCCTCTTCTCATTAAGAACTCGACTTTGTGATACTAAAATGCTTCTTTTAAAATAGGTAAAATCTCATAATCTCTCCTGCCTTCCAGCGTTCCAGCAAGCAGGCCACCCCTCTCTCTCCGGCCTGCCACAGGACAGTGGTAGGCTAGCAGCAGTGAGGCCCCTCACAATGCCGGAGCCACCGCCACTCATTTCCTCCACCAAGCCAGGAGGCTCCATCACACAGGTAGAGTGCCACACCAATGAAACACTAGAGCTTCTACATAGTCAGAGTTGGCCCTCAGAGTTCATGAAACTTTGTTTTTATTGGTTGGAAGATTGCAAAGCATTAAGGGTACACAGAGCCAGTATACATCAAATTTTAGTTTCATGTCTAAATAGTGATGATCCAAAAAAAGAGCAAACAGAATATAAGGGCAGTCCGAACAGATGTCATGGGGAAGGGCACGACAGACGACAGAGTAGCGAACAAGGGATCAAGGTCATGTCTGTCCATCCGCTTCCACACAGTTCACATTGGCCTCAGTTCAAACCTATACTACATGCAACTAATCCTTACATCTATCGATATGCATTTCCCACAGTTCACCATTTTATGGGGTTGAACAGATGGAAGGAAGGAAAAAAGAATGAAAAAAAAAAGTGGGGAAAGATTGTTGAGGATATGCACAAGTAGGAAACTATCCTCATTTAAACCCCTGCTGTATTAAGGTATAATAGTTTCATCCAGTTATTAGCAGATTTATCCAAAGTTTCAAAGAGAAAGTCAACCTTTACAATCCCTATCCACTCTAATTCTGCCGGGGGATCTTTAAACATCCATGTTCCTAGTTAGGGCTTTTCCCCTGGGTGTAATATTAATATAATGTACATAATGTAAGGAAATATTACATAACAACATTCAATGAGTTCAGTGCAATATATTTAGGTCATATTTCATTACATTAAGAACATGGGAATCATAGAATTTGAAGTTGTATTATTTATATATATATAATAAAGTATGATATAAATCTATATATATATATATATCTATATATATATATATATATATATATATATAGCTATAACTTAAGCACTCATCTTCTCTGCATAAAATATTAAGACGTGGATAGAAAAACTAAAATCTGTTCTTTTACACATGAGCAATGAATGTGTCTATACGTTTCTTCAGGGTACCCCAGTGCAGTTGCACAGCCCTGCTCACGGGTTGGACCATGGGAAGATGCCCCCCACACAGATGGGCTTGTCTTGGAAGGGTGAGTAAAATTGTTGTGCCTTTCTCCACTTCTATCAAGCCCATACCATGTCTCTGTTCATCTCTTACATTTCCCCAAACTGTGTGCGCTCTACGGCAGGATCTTACCCCGTGGTGAAGCAGGAACAGCTGTCCCCTCGCAGCTCCTCCTCCCAAGCTGACAACCTGTCAACCCAGGGGCAGCCTCATGAAAGCGCTGCCGGACGTGGTGGGTGGCTCACCTTTTCCCCTCCTTACTTAAGTTTCACATACAGTAAACTTCTACTGCTGTTTTGCTTCTTGCTTTCTTCCTCGTCCTGTGAGGTGGGTGAAGAATTTGTGTTGCGTCACAGAACTATTTGAAACCGCGTTTTTTGACGTCAATCAAGAAAGCCGTACACCCTGGAATAACTAAGTCAAATCATGAGTTTTTCCACATGTTGTGTCATGCTGAAAAGATTTACCTCCTCAGCATGACAGTGACCTGAGGCACGCAGCACGGACCACACTGGAGTCACTTCGGGATAAGTCTCTGAGTGTACTTGAGTGGCCCGGGCTAGACTTAAATCTGAATTGAAAATCGGTGGGGAGATGAGTTCACTGAAGCTCGTCTAATCTGACAGAGGCTGAGAGGATGTGAGGAATGGGAGAAACGGCCCAAATCCATGTGTGCAAAGCTGGTAGATGCAGAAACTCAAAGGAGATTCAAAGCTGTAATTACTGCCAGTGGTGCCTCGACGCTTTAGTTTTTCCTTTTTAACTTAATAAAGCTGTGCATTCGCTCTTACATCAGTAGATACAGCGTTTAGACTGAACACTAGAGTTATAAATAATACTGTCAGGGTTCCCTCGTGTCCTGGAAAACCTGGATAGCCTGCGCGTCCGACACTTCAAAGCAGGTTTACCAGACGTGGAACGGAGGTGCAGCGATGTTTTTAGCGTCATTTTCCCAACCTTTTTCCACCTCACAGGACTTTTTGCAAACTTTTATCCCCCAAACAAGATGTTTACATTGTGTATCTACTAATACTGCTTTTCTTTCTCACTATCTTTACAGCGTCTATTCCAGCTGTTCAGGGAGGCAGCATCACTAAGGGCATCCCAGGGACCAGAATGCATCCAGATTCCTCAGTCTCTTACAGAGGGGGCTCCATTACTCAGGTGAGCCCTCTAAAACACTCTCAGGCTGCTAGTTTGATGAGTTAAAACTGGTGTTATCCACAGATACTACAGTGTTTTCTACTCTGAGGGTAGACAAACCTCTCATTTGTGCATTGTGTTTATCTCTGTGTTGGGTGCGGCAGTGTGAATATTCTGCTGACAGTGTTCAAGTTTGAGTCGTGCATTACGACAGACAAGACCGGCAAACAGTCCTCTTCCCCTTTTTTTTATTTAGAGAACCTCCGAACAACCTCGGAAGTTGGTTTAAATAAGTCACTTTAGAAATGAGCCGCCTTAAATTAGCTGTTATCTATGTCTAGAGACTTATCATGAGTTAGATCATGTTTGGTGCAGTGTTTCCCCTCTCGTCACTGTACAGGAGCCGCACACTCTGGTTCATGTGCTGTCAATGGTGAACTGAAACTGACGCAGTGTTAAACTGTGTTAAGGGTCAGGATAGTAGCAGCTTATGTGACCGTTATACAGACAGCCCAAACCATTATCTGATGCAATTTAAAGGTGGTGAGTGACTTTCACCAGTGCTGTCTCTCTGCTGTGATGTACTCTAAATCCTCAAATAAGCTGCTGTTATGTAGAAAGTCACACAACCGTTTGGCAACTACTTTCTCAAGAACCTTAGTGAGAAAGAGGGAGGTTAGAAATAGGTCTATAGTTGGCTAAATCCCCTGGTTAAAGAGGTTTAATTACAGCTACTTTTAAAGGACTGTGGTACATAGCCTGATAATAAAGACAGACTGATCATATCTAGTAATGAAGTGCTAAGAGTGAGACTTCTTTATGCAGCCTAGCTCAGATGGGGTCTAAGAGGCTGGTTGATGGCTTTGATGAAGAAATAATTGAAAGTGAATTAAAGAAAAGCAGTTTAAATATATATCTTGGTTTACTGCTGTTAAGATTACTGTGTTTGAAGAGACATCAGTACCTGTTGAGGGCAGGCGGTGATTAATTTAGTCTCTAATAGTAATAATTTTATCATTAAAGAAGCTCATGAAGTTGTTGCTAATGTAGGCTATAAGAAACACACTACGTAAACACCTGGAAATTCATTAAAATGACTAAATAACCTGGAAATGATCTGTGTCAGTTTTAGCCCCTTGCTCAGATTATGTAAACCTGGGTGTGTATTTGTAGTTTGAAACACGACTCTTGGTCGGATCAACCGCTTGACACTTCAAAGCAGGTCTACCAGATGCAAAGTAGAACTGAACTGCAGCGATCTTTTCAGCGTCTCGTCTATTTTTTTTTCCAGAGCTGCGAGCAAAAAATCTCTCATGTCCATGAAAACAGTCTATTAATGATCACATATCTGGTTGCTGTGGTTCATAAATACATGCACAGATGTGTTAACACTTTAACTTTCTGGAAGATTAATTTTCTGTAAAGTAAAATAAACTCTACTTGACTTGAACTGTTAAGTAAGCAGTAAATTTGCCCGAAAACCACATCTTACATGACCGTTTGTAAACAAGAGATGCCCTGTATTGATAAGAAAAACTCCTGGAAAATGTCCTGGAAAGGTCCTGGAAAATGATTTGTTAAATAGAGTGGGAATCCTGATATTGTTTAAAGCCACTACTAGTAGCCTTCCTGTTATAGGGCTGCACAATGAATCGAAATATTATCAAAATACCGCCATGTACAATATCCAAATTTCATAAGATGGCAGTTTTTTAATAACTCTTGTTCTCTAAATGTAAGAAAACACTTTTGTTTTGTACATGACCTAAAAAAAAATCACATAATCATGATTTTGAGCAAAAGTGATCGCAATATCTTTGAAAACTGGTCTCAATAGTTTGAATTTTTTTACCATATTGTGCCGGCCTATCACTTTGATTTGCGTACTTAATAATGAAAGACGGCGCTGCTTAGACGTCATGAGGCGAGCCAAGTGCTGTGGCTGCTGGATTTCCCCCCGCTGCTGTGACATAATCACAGCTCTGAGCGGCCCTGTCGCCTTAGCAACAGGTACACACTGTACCGCGTCTGTTCCCTCTGTCATTTATCTATTTACTCTAGACTCTGGCTAAAGGCGGTCATTGATATCCCCGCTGTAATATCACATCCAACTGGCGTACGAGAGAAAACAAGTATTGAGGGGGCTGTTATCCACTGTGGTAGATTACTGAGGAAAAGGTCAAAGCGATAAAGAATAATGAGCTGCGTTGTGGAGGGACAGCTACTTTGTTTGTTGAGCTGCGCGTGTGCGTGTGCGTGTGTGTGTGTGTAAAAGCACCGACTTTCTTAAGGAGTAGATGCTTCGGTCAGTGCCATCTGATCCTTACAACCCCCAACCTCCATCAAAGTCTTCTTAGAAACGCTGCAACTGGCGGCCCAGAAATGTGATCCATGTCTCCTACTCAGCTGTCCACCCCCACTCACAAGTAGAAATATTACTCACACTCTGCATATGAGTGATGTGACTCAAGGTTTTAACAAAGCTGCCCGTTGTCAGGCTGTCGCACCTCCGCTTCATCCGGGGATTGTGTATTTATACAGTTTTGTGTGTGTTTGTTTGTTATTTATTTGGTTCCCCATCATCTGTCACCATTGTTACAAGCGCTCTTTCTGGGGGCGCAAGCAATCCGAGAGACAGAATACACATTCAGCGTGTAACACAATCTACAATGTGCACTACAGTCAAATCAAACAGCTCGCTGCTGCTCCAATTACGTCCAATTCAGCAATCCTGAAAAAGAAAAAGAAATTGTATTCCCAGTCGCTCGCACTATCTGTGCCGTAATGGTGTCTCATTAACAGGCCTTCTAAGCTGTTTTCTACTCTACTTTTATTATTTCTAACATTAGTTATTATTCTATTGAGCAATAATTAAATAACTGTTTTTATAACACTGTTTTTTTTTTTATCTTATCCACTGTCAGGTTTCATGATAGTGCTTATCCCTAATGAAGGCTATTTAGATTATATAGCAGAACTGGCTATTGAGTGTAATCTAGTGCTGGGCGAAGTACTGTACAGCTACGTAGTCTGGCGCTTCCTGAGAAGTTAAAATTGGTTTCCTAAGAATAAAGCTTGATTCAGTTTAATTTGGCATTTGGGATGTAAAGGTGGTTCTGAAAACTGTCTAGTTTATACAGAAAGGAGGGTTTTAAATGGCCATCTCTTGCCAGTTATCTGTCGTATATAAGTCGTGATCAGACTTTTCCTGAAGATCAGCTCAGTGTTTCTGTCCACTGAAACACCACATGGCTTTTAATTTGAAAGTGTTGTCTTGATCTTGTAATGCATAACGGGGGCGAAGATGAGCGTATCAAAATGAGGATTTTTATTTGCTTTCTATCTGCTACATCAGTGATTCCCAGCCTGGGGTCCTGGACCCACACTAGGGTTCCCAAAGCTTCACAGGGGGTCACAAGGCCTTCTTGATTTTAATCTATATCTATATGTTAATCTAAATTCTCAGAGGCTTCACTCTCTGCTGAACAACCTCATCCTGCATTAGAATAGTATGAAGATAAAACAACTCACAGAGACTTCTGAGAAAAAATTTCTTTTTAATTACGAATTAATGACGAATTCTGGTTCACCGACTCAACCCTCTCTGTCTCCACCACAGGGGACGCCGGCTGACGTGCTGTATAAGGGAACCATAACCCGTCTGATCACAGAGGACAGCGCCAGCCGGGCTGAGAGGGAGCGGGACGAGGCCCTGTCCAAAGGCCACGTGGTCTATGAGGGTATCGGCGCGCACATTCTCACATATGACCGTGAGTTCAGCAGCCTGGCCGCAGTATCATTTATGCCACGGCCAAATATTAAGTTCATTTAGACTAAGATCTGTCCCTAAACTGAGGGGGTATTGTGTCAACAGGCTCGGCTTCTCAGACCCCTAAAGACGAGGGCCGAGGCTCCGGGCAGCCTGGGGAAATCCTGGGCCTGAAACGTCCTTATGACATCATGGAGGGAGGCATCTCTAGAGGACTTCCTATGAGGGATTCACTGTCTGCCGCCAACTGTGAAGGTAAGAGACAACCCCACTTAACCCTCTGTCACTCTCGTAAAGGAGCACTACTGGCCCTTGTTTAATCGCATTCACTTCTCATTCCTTATTGATCTTACATCTCACTTCTCCTCCCCCCCCTCTCCACCTCCACCTCTACCTCAGGCCTGATTGGTCGAGCTATGCCTCATGACAGAGACAGTCCACACCACACGCCCTACAAGGATGCTCACATCCGTGGTTCCATCTCACAAGGTAGGAAGACGCGAGCTTGTGATTTTATGTTCAAAATGTATGTTTTAAATCTTCTGCCAGGAGACATTGTTTGACCCCTCACAGCTGAAGTATTCATATCGGCACAATGGGAGCTAAGAAAAGTCTTGAAGATTTTGCAGCAGATTAAATTTTTGAACTGAATTTAAATGTATCTGCTTGCAAGAAGACGGAGTTTAATGAAATCTGTCGTCTCTCATTCTCTATTGTTAGCGCTCACTCAGCAGAGCTGCAGAAAGAGAGAGTTTTTTTGTCCTTTTTAAAGAAACAGATTGTGCCGGTTTACCAGAAGTCACCCGCTGGCAGAAGTACATTCATTTTGATATTCATATCTATCAGATAGCAGTAAAGTCAGGCAACCATCTTGTTTCATCTTGCCAAGATGACTGCTGCTTGTTCAGATGAGCTGATATGTCTTGTTTCTTCATTTCTCAGCTTCCCGCCGGTCTAAATTATGACAATAAAAAAAGAGTTCCTGGGAAATTTAGAGACTAGTTTTCCACTGGAAACACCTGGAAAGTGATTATAAATTACAGAATATCCTGAAATAATCTTTGTTGTCCTGGAAAATGTTTAATTTCAGCTCCCAATTCAGATCCCCAACATAAACCTGGGTGTGTATTTAGTTTGAAACTCGGTTGTTGGTAGGATAAACTGAGCAGTATGACTCCTCAAAACTGGTTTCTCAGACACAAAGCGAAACAGAAAATTGCGCCTGTGTGATATGGAAATAGATAAGGTACATTTTAATTTACAGTGTCATTATTGTAGGCCTAAAGTGATTATAAAATGTGTTAACTGGTGCTTTTTCCCTCTATATACTATGATCAGTGGTGAGAATTTAGCATTCCCCCCATTCAACTCAAATAAGTTTTGCGACAGATTTTTATTTTGTATATTTGGCCAAAAATTGCTCTTTTAAAAGTATAGTTTGCTGATTCCTGGTCTAGCACACCAGAAACGGAGCAGAAGGGATTTGAGGTGATTTAATTAGGTGTTGATTTCCAGTTCATTTATTATTGTTAGAGACAAAATGGAAAGTGTAATCAATTTGCCAGAGACTGCAGCGGAAACATCATCTGCGATGAGCATACAGCAACAGCGAGCAAACGTTGAGTGTCCCCTAACCGCTTACCATCTGTATCAATAAAGAATGAGTCAATAATGGGACTACCGGTAAATGATACGACCGTTTGTGAGCATGTGTTGTTCTGGATTGTCAATAAAACTGGAATTTCTTAAAAACCGTGGGAACCCTGAATATGCTGCCACTTTCTGTTTGAAGATTAAGATTATTATTCTTATGATTTCAGGTATACCTCGCCATCTGGACCATCAGGACGGCTACCTGAGGAGGGAGGCTAAGCAGATGAAGAGAGAGGGCTCTCCGCCCCGTGGGCCCGGTTCTCTCTCTGACCCAATGAAGGTGCCAACGGTGAAAGAGGCCGGGCGCTCCATCCACCTCATTCCCAGTAACGAGCTCAGACAGCCTGGCAAGGAGGGCATCATAGCACAGGTATACACACGCTAACAACACATGTGGACGCTCTTCAACAGTTAGACGGGTTTCAGACCAGATTAGACACAGCTACACTTCACTGATTAACTCCTGTCGCGTTTCTCTTCAGGGAACACCCATGAAGCAGGAGGCGGCTGGTTCAGGGAAACGTCACGATGTCCGCTCCATCATAGCCAGTTCGCCGCGTTCCTACCACAACGCACCCTCCCACCTGGAGATGCGCTCCGAGAGGGGCCGCTACGAAGAGGCACCAAAAGGGCGTCCCAGCGCTGTGGTCAGTACGGCGAGCCCCATAGCCCGCTCTTCTCCCCTCACACTGGGGTCGGAGCAGGGAGGCAAGGCCCATCACAGTCCAGTGGGCTACGATGACAAAGGCGGAATGAGAAACCCTTACCCTGGGCCCTCGCATCGTGGCTCCCCTCTGTCCAGGGAGGCAAGCCAAAGGCAGCATGATGGTGGGTGTATCTCTCAGAGAAAAAGGTTGATTCTTGCTGTAGACTCAGTATAATGCATTATGTGGACCCCAGGAAGAGTAGCTACTGTTGTTGTTGTTACTGTGACTAATGGGGATCTGAGTAAACAACATACTCATTTTCATTTCTTTTGTTTTGTTGTTTTTACTCCAGGTTCCAGTAAGAATCCGACCCAGGAGCGTAAATCCACACCGACCCCCAGGGAAATGAGCGCTACCAAATCACCGCTCCCGGGTGTTCCAGATCAACAGACCTACGAGCGCCTGCTGCAGGGTCTGGGAGCTGCAGACGTGTACCGTCAAATCCCCTTAGCCTTCGATCCGGCAGCACTGCCCCGTGGCATCCCCATTGACCCAGGTACAGAAAAAAATATCCGAAAATGTGTCCTTTGTGTTCTGAAACTACTTTATTGTAATTGAGATGTTCTTGAAGGCATACTCTCTCAGGTGTTTTCACTTAGATCTCGGCTAAATTGAATTTGGGAAGAGCTTTTTTGCTCTGAGTTATGCAAGGTAAAAAAAATCCATGTTCTAATAATAATCATAAAGGCCTTTCTCTAAGTTGTCCCTGCTTGAAAAACAAAAAATGCAGCCTTGCTTATTATTGAGACCTTTGTGTTGGTGCAGTGAGTGTCCAGAAGGACAAAGAGTAGTCTGGCAAATAAAAAAAAAACTGGCTCAACTTTTTGCTGCAGCACAGTGTATTGTGATCCGGCTGTCCACTGACCAATCAAATACATAAAAGAGTGCATACCAGATGGACTACCAGTGTCTGATTATCCTTCAGACTGGACTTCTTGGTTTTTATTTAGCCGGTTTGCAGTGTTTTATCAGAGAGCTTATCAGACTGAACACAGGTGAAACAACAAAGTGCTGAGAAAAAAAGTTAGAGCAAACGTGTGCCCTGTAATCATTTCGTTATCTAACCCGACATGAATGACAGAAATCTCCTGACAGACTTTTTCTCCTACTCTCCATACACAGCCTACTACCTGCCTCGCCACCTAACCCCCAACCCGGCGTACCCTCATCCCTACCCCTACCTCATCCGTGGCTTTCCCGACACCGCGGCCCTGGAGAACCGCCAGACGCTGCTCAACGACTACATCACCTCCCAGCAGATGCACCAGTGGCCTGCAGCCGCCGCCATGGCCGCCCAGCGCTCAGACCTGCTGAGGGGCCTTGCTCCACGAGACCAGCCCCTTCCTCTTCAGTACTCTCCAGCCCCACGCGGTGAGGCTAACTCACTTTGACAACACTCACATTTTGTGTTCACAGGTTGTGTTCACATTGGCTTTTTTTAAGATGTCTGTTTTCAACACAACAGTTGTAAACTTCGCCAGCAGCGTGCTGTACCTGCAGACGGAGGTTGCTGAGAGCAGCAGCGTTCACGTTGCCTGGATTTCATTCAATAAGCTGAAACAAGAAGACTTGCAGTGCTTTTTCGTGGCCTACCTAACATTGTACCACACTGCAACTCAGTTGGATTATGCATTCACAAGGATTTCTGTCTTACATTTAAGGTTTCCACCGAAGATATATTGAATACATTTGTTGGTATATTTTTTTTTTTACTTGTATCTGATTTTTATCGTGAGCTGATCTTTGGTGTTTTTTTTGTCTGTCACATGCAGGATGTGGGCAATCAGCTGGTTAAGCAGCAGTTAAGTTAAAGACTATATACCAAATTAACTTGCCATTTGATGTCACACTAGAGCGCAAGTGTCTCAGACCAGAACAGGACAGAAATAAAAATAAAGCCCCCTTTGTCTTTCCAGTTTTTCCAACAACCACCAGTGCTGGTTTGGACAGAATAAACCTTTAATTTGTCGATTTGTACGTAAAAGTATTCGGCTGCAATCGCCATAGCTTAAGCTGACTGAGCCCGTCAAAGTACATCCACTAAAAGTGTTTGTTTTTGCCACTGACAGGCTTAGATTGTTATTCTAACAATACAGAGATAGAAACAGCTGTAATGTCACTCTCCACCAGACTCCATAGACAAGAACACTAACTAACTTCATTCAGAGTGAAAAATAAAACTCCCAAAACCATCTTTGTTAGTGTTTCCAACAATCACCAACTCTGGTTTGGTGGAAATAAATCCTTAATTCACCGACGTAGATGATAAAAACAGCAGTTTCAGTCGGAGCAGACCGGCTATGGAAACAAACCACAGAGAGGCTGCGATACAACACAGGCAGAGGGAGAGAGACACCATGACTCCACTATACCTTTACATAGATAACAGCTGTTTGCTATAAGGTTAATGTTTACTCATATATATATATATATATTTACCTTTTAAGGTTATTATTTGCTACTGGATACAATACAATAATGTAGCACTTAATCCATTTAACCTGCGCCAGCATTTATCATCCATTTGTCCTTAAATGAACCAAAGTAATGGAGAGAAGTTGAAATGAAGTTGCTGAAAGGTCTTTGTCAGTGAGGGGAGAAGTGAGGGAGTGAGTGAGTTTTCAATATAATGTGAAGTACTAAACAACAACAAACCAGAAGTGTTTTCAGGAACACATCTTGCATCATTCATAAGTGACTTCTCAAAATGCTAAAATCTAATCAGATCTAACAGTAACCTCTCATTTTAGTGCTTTGTAATCATTTACTTCTTTTTTTACTTTGTGGTAATACTTCTGCCTCGTAGTCAGTTCATTTTATTAGCATTTATTTCAAGGATACAAACCATGTTCAGTGTTTTCTAACATAACATTACCACATTAAAAACCGTTGCAGTTGAGTTGAATGATATCTCGCACTCTTAGTCTTTATTTACCTTTTTATCCTCGATACCACAACATGCACCAGCTATTAGGGTTTTCTTTACACTCCTCTTCTTTCTGTCCCCTAGGGATCATCGATCTTTCTCAGGTGCCACACTTACCTGTCCTGGTCCCTCCCTCTGCAGGGGCAGCTGGCTCCCCAATGGATCGCATCACCTACATCCCCGGGGGAAGCACCAACTTCCCTGGCAGGCCTTACACCACCTCCCCCATCTCACCCGGTACAATTCAGTTCACACAAGCTGACTGCACCTAGAGATTGAATATGTCGCGCTCGTGCTGTGTTTGTAATCGTTTCCTGTCTGTACCTTTGCTCCAACAGTTGGCTCCTCGCACATGAACAAGATGCAAGGCACTTCTTCATCCTCGGAGCGAGAAAGAGACCGTGAGCGTGACAGAGAGAGGGAGAGGGACCGCGAGAGAGACCGAGAGCGGGAGCGTGACCGAGAGCGGGAGCGGGAGAGGGAGCGTGAACGGGATCGGGAGAGAGATCGCGAGAGAGAACGGGAGAGAGACCGGGACAGAGAGAGAGACCGAGATCGAGAGCGCGACCGAGAGAAGGGCGGGTCTGTGGAACATGCCCCCATCTGGCGACCAGGTGCGGATTGTGTTTTTCAGTTTTATCTCTCCCGAGTTAAAAGTAACACACTGGCAGCTCAAACGAGGACAGAAATGAAATGAATCTGTTTGTGGCTCTCAGGTACAGAGCACAGCTTGGCGAGCAGTAGCAGCAGCGGCGGTGTGAGACCTTCTTCCCAACCATACAGCCACCAGCACTCCCCAGTGTCCCCTCGCACCCAGGAGAACGTGCAGCAGAGGCCGAGCGTCCTGCACAACACTGGGGGCAAGAGTCTTTCTGTCAGCGAACACTCCAGCTCATCGGTGTTTCGGTAAACTGCATTTCACTTCTGCTTTTACGGGGATCATTTCAAGAGTAAGGCCGTGCCTTATGACCAAAATCTCACATCCCGATATAGATAATTTCATATCCAGATGTGGAACATGTAACGAAACAGCACATTTCTGAAAAACTATTTTATAAGAAACAGGGAATTGCACGATTAGTAGTTAGTGGAGTAGAGAAAAACTAGTTTGTTAAACTATCATTATTTTATTATCGTACACAGCAGCTGTGGCCAGATATAAACCAGTGGGGGGAGGGGAGATGGCAGCTTGTAAGACGAGCGTGGTTTGTCTGTGTTTTGATCTTGTAGAAAATGAAAATGAGGTTGCGTCCAAAAAAAACTGGCACATAACCGCTCGACCGAAGCGTTTGCGTAACCACATGGTGGACATGTGGCTTGAAGCTAAATGTTAGTCACCCTCAGCAAAACATGATGACATTGTTTACTGTCCCAACCCGCAGGCGCTGTTAGTAATTATCTTTTGATTTAATAAAGTTGTCAAATGACTGTTGAAATACAGACAATATTGTTTCGCACAATGAGTAAGAATTTCTACTTTTACTAGTGTTTTCTCACTTTTAGTCAAATAGTTTGAATTTAAATTTCCGTTAAACTGACAGGGAAATTAGTCACTGGGAAAGTCCCTAATATAAAAAGAAAACTAATTCTTATTACCTTTTAAATTACAAATACTACATTTTTGATTGTTTTTCTACGTGCAAATACTTACCTACATACATAATACAGATGGAGAATTGTATAAAAAGTTCCCTAAACAGGAAATAATCCGCTCAAAATTCATCCAAATCACCCATATTACACAAACTTCCTGCCGTTACTGAGCTCCCTCTTTGGGTTCATTGTACAATTTTGAATGTAATATGAAACATCCATAAAATATGTCACTGAGTCAGTTTACTAAATGATAGAAAAAAGGAACAACTGCAATAAAGAGTGACACAACAAAATAAACAATAGAGCTTAATACGAGATGTTTTTTCACACAATATATAACGTCGTATCGCACAGCCCTGTTCCAGAGCGAAGTCCCCACAGCGAGGAGGACATTTTGATTGTCTTGTTGACTAAGTGTGTTTTTGTTTTCCTGCCAGGTCCATGCCTTCAGGACCGGCCCGCTACCAAGGTCACCCCGGCCACCTCCAAAGGACAGGTGTGCCCCCTGAGGCCTACCCGACTTCCATGGACTCAGGTGTGGCCAAAGAGCAGAGTCGCGACGGAGGCAAAAACAGGGGAGGTCTGCCCAAGCACGTGCAGGACCAACACGGCAAATCTGACCCCAAGCTGTCCAGCGCCAGCCCAGGAGGAATGTACCCGGGTTCCTATGCCTCAGGCCGGCCGCAACACCTGCTGCCTCCCCAGTCGGATAACCCCCCCGGCCGCGGAGAAAGCGGTACACCTAGTAGGGAAAAGACTCAAAACAAACCGATGTCCATTCAGGAACAAGAGCTCCGAGCACTCGGTAAGACCACCATGACTGCGGCCAACTTCATAAACGCGATTATTATGCGTCAAATTTCTTGTGAAACGGGGATGGCAGAGACGGGCTCGCTTGTTGCCAGCAGCGCCACTGATGGTAAGACGCTCTGGATCCCAGGGTCCCCCCTCATCACCCAGACCCTCCCCCGTCAGTCTGTGGCCTATTGCACGCTGTGGTGGTTGGCATTATCAAATCAGCCCAATTCATTTACATTTTTTTTTCCTTCAATGCTATACTTTTTTGCTTTATTTTTTTCCAGTTTTATTATTAGTTTCACTTTACAAACTTAAAGACCACCAAGGGTGCCCTCTGGAAACATCTAGCCCGTCCTAATTGGACCTGACTGGCTGAGATTAAATGAGAAAGAGGTGGTTTACAACCTTAAATATAGAGCATTGATAAAAGATAACTTTCCATGAAGAAGATCCTAGGTGTCCTTTAAGGTGTCATTTGAAAGGTCGCTACAGCTGGTGGGACGTTAAGGCAAAACATCCTTTTTTGCTGCTTATTTTCATTTTCTTTTTCTTTTTTTTTTTTGTAGAGGATGTGACTTGAATTTAAAATGTGGCACCCCCTCCTCCCTCCCATTCGGCCGCTCACTTTAAACAGAATATTTCACCACATGCAAGCAGGCATGACGAGAATATTTTAGACGCTTGAAAAGGCATTTCACCGCGGGAGGCTTTTTATATATCCCATGTTAAATAAGATGGCCTGTAATTCAAACACTCTGACTTTTCTACATGCAGTGGCTCAACTTCCCTGCTTATATATTAGAAACACACTGCTGTGCTGGGGGCCTACTGCTTCGGACAGTGAGCAACCCAGATAACTAAACATCATTAAGAGCTTTACCAACCACCAAACTTTGCTCCCTGGGGGTCCCAGAGAGCATCGGTGTTGCACAGGTGGAGGGCAGGAAAAGGGGGAAGAATGTGGAAAAGACTTCAGCCATCCAGAGGGGGAGGAGGGTACTGCAGCTTCCGCCTCCCCCCCCCAAAAAAAAGAAATCTCTGCATGTTCCTATTTATGGCTCACTGTAATTTATGCTGATTCCTTTCTTTTATTTTGTTTCCCACACATGCCAAACGCTCAACACATCTCTCTCAATCAAGCCTCTGGGAGTTTGTCCGTCATTTGGAATGTGATTTTTTTTATTTTATTTTTTGTTCTGTTGGGGTTTTGTTTTTGTTTGGTTTTTTTTCTTGCTTGTAGAGCCAATGTGTCACATCTATATATATTACAAGCCTATACGGCAAAAGTGACAACTGCATGCTTAAGTTTTAAAACTCCTGTACGTACTGAAGTCAACAGGAAGCATGATTCTAAAGACAGGCGAGGGTTTTTCTAGGAAGACTTATTAATAAGACTTTATCACCTTGCTATCGGCATGCATTCACTATCTATTGTAGGCTGTTGCCCCAGAGTCTCTGCTGTGGTTGCTAGCTAACAACAAAAACCACAGCATCCTGTCCCGCTGGGGGACTCCTCCTCTCTGGGAGTCCATACAGTCAAATCCTGCCCCCTGTGTTCAACTTACATCATCTCCTGCTGAGATGAATATTGTTAAGAAAACAAGTAGTGAGACTTGGCGCACAAGGGAAAAAAACATCTTAAAATAGGCTCCCACGATGGTTCAACAAGAATTTCACACATTTATTTTTCACAGCCTTCAGTAAATGCTTTCTTCTTGTCTGTAAGGCAGTTTATAAAATTACTTCTTCATTTGTGAATCACTGGAGCAAAACCAGTCAGTTTTAGCATCATTTCTGGTCAGCGCTATGCTCACTACGTCTGTATGCAAAGAGTACATTATAAATAAGCAAATGAACTGAAGTAGCTTGTCTCTCTCTCTCACTCACACACACACACACACACGCACTGTCACTTAGTATGTTTGTAGGAAAGCTTGCCCTTTTGAGCTTTCACATGCAGATGCTACATGAAATGTTTAAGTCCCGATGGATGGATGGACGGACATTTCTGGATGACGCATGTTTTCATTAGCACATTTTAGAGATTGTGTCGCTGCGGAGTAAAAAAAAACAAAACAAAACTAACTTTTATCTGTGTGTGCATGTAATTTCTGTGTGTGCGTGCGTGCGTGGGTGTGCATGTGTGTCTGGATTTGAATCTCAGCTCAACAGAAGATGGAGTCACACGGTCTGTACCGTCCTCCGTCTGAGGAGAGACTGTCTCCGGGCCAGCAGCCCCCGTCCCCCTGTGTTAAAGGCAGCCAGAGGGTGGTCACCCTGGCGCAGCACATCAGTGTAAGTCCACCGCAGCACAATAACAAACAATGCATGCACATGTGACTATAAGTGGTTGAACAGAGTTTTTATTTCTGCCCGTGGAAATGTCTTCACATAAACAGGAGGTGATAACTAAAGACTACACCAGGCAGACTCAGCAGCAGCAGCAAAGCTACCACGGCTCTCCTGTCCTGGACCTGACCCGTCCGCCCAGTGCCTCCCAGCCCCCGCCAACCTCACAGGAGTCTGGCCAAGGGCCCCGATATTCGGAGGGCCTTGGTGGAGAACGTAACAGAGACCGGTAGGAATCGAACAACAGAAGTATCTGTTATATGTGTTGGGTGTCCAGAGCATGTGAGCGGAGCTCTCGGGGGCCACTTTGTTCAAAATATGGCTCCTTACTCGACTCAGAGTTCACCCCGCTCGCTCAGAAAAAGGTATAAAGAGGCTGCGTTGTATTTTAGTTTTATCTTTAACCCTGTATGAGCTTTATGATTAACAGTGTTCCTGCACGTCCTGGAAAACCTGGACATTTAAGAGACTAGTTTTTTTGTCATAGAAACACCTGGAAATTGATTAAAATGACCAAATATGCTGGAAAAATATAAACCTAGTCTCATTTTTCACCTTTCACTTTCTAGAAGTTGAGTCTTCTGTAAATGAAGTAAATTCTACTTGATTTGAACGAGAGGAATTAGATGAAAACTGTAGGAAACTAGTCAATTCGCTGTGCAGATCAGCTGTGGTCAGAACAGCCACGCACAACGAAAAGTGTCCAATAAATTACAGTTTGTGAGCAAGTGCTGTCCTATATTGTCAAGTGTCACACAGAGGCAGCGGGAGAGAGGACACTCCCTGCACATCATCACAAGATTGTCCTTTTTAATTGTGTTGTTGCAGAGGAAGCGACACCCTGCATTAACACATAATTCACGAGATCATCATAGAGATCAGCTGGATGTGGGATTTAGAGAAGTAGAGTAACTCGCTCTGCTCACATGCTCTGGCACTGTCTGCTGATTTCTGATGACTCACTGATTCGGATTGACGTGCTTGTTAACGTTTCTGCCTTTGTATTCTCTGCAGGTCTCCACCTCAGCCTAAGACATCACCTGTCAGCGTTTCAAACGATGGCATCGAACCGGTGTCTCCTGCCGGGGCCAACTCTGAACCTGAAGTCCAGGGAGGGGCCTCCTACCCCAACGAGCAGGGAGAGCAAGGGTAAGGGCCAGAGAATATGTTTTTATTGCTTGTATTAACTGAAGTGGGTCCAGTCAAGCTTGCCACGTGTAATGATCTTTCCTATAGTTTAGTGTTTAATGATGCAAAAAGAGGGAGAGGGAAAAAAATCACAAAATGTAGGATGAAAGGCAATTTTTATTACAAGTGAAACTGAAAAATATGTTTTCTAAAACAAAAAACAACAACAGTACACCTGTACTCCTGGAATCAAAGTACAGACAGACAGAGAGTCCTTCCTTTACAGTTAGATAAAATTCCCTTTTTATTTGACCTTTTATTTAAGTAGAAAGTAAAACATACATACAGCTAATGTGAGAAACGATACAGTTAAACAGTTAAAACCGCACAATATATACAGTCAGTACACAACAGAGATAAAAGCACTGTGTTGCAGGGAGGTGGGTTTAGAAGCAAGGTGCAGTGATCAGAAACTAACGTATGTACTGGGTTATTAAAGGAGGAAAATGGAATAAGGGTGCAGTTGTAGCGACATTCACAGCTGCTTCCAGTCACTGTGGGCGGCTGACTGAAAACAGTGATGGCGGAAGGCGGTAGGAGGACCATAGGAGCGTCCAAACTGATGAATTAGTTCGAAGATGAATTGGTTACTGTTGGAAATGCTGAGTAGAGATATGATCTGTCGCCAGTGACGGTCAGTTGAGTGGAGAATACAGCGGATGGTGGTGCGGTAGATGACGTCCAGTTTGATGAAGAGATATGGAGGCAAACCACCGTGATGCAGGGTTGTCACTGTGACCATCTATAGAGGAAACTGATTCTTGCCTTCACTCTGGAGAGCAGTGTGTTTGAAAGGAGAGAGAAGTATGGAGCCAGATATAAAGACATCATATTGTCCTATTATTTAGTCCTTTTTAGTCATTTTCTTGGACAGATTCTGTCTTCACAGCTGAGTTTAGTTTGCTTTTGTGTCGATGAAAACCCCAGTTGGCTTCATCAGAAGTTTAACCTGTGGGATCACTGAAAGAATTAAATTGCAAATCTGATAGAAGCAGCTATAATTTGACTATTTGGTAAAACTTTATCTGGACAGTTTACAGGGACATTTCAGCTGTTTCACTTTAGATGTTTAGCAGAGTATCTAAAGAGTATATGTGACATGTTCTTGAACACACCCTAACCAAACCGTAACCACAGTGGCGTAGTATCAGAAACAGCTGTTGAAATATTAGTAGAATAATGTTTACAGATTTGGGAGTGTGTGTCAGACGGCATTAAGGCTTCACATAAAGCTTTCACAACAGCGAGAGGAGCAGCGAACTTTGAGTTCAGTTTCTCTTAACTGGAAGCGTCGGTGTGAGAGAGAGAGAGAGAGAGGGGAAGAAACCAGAGTGTTAAGAAAGCTTTGCTGAAAGGGGAAGGTTGAAAGTTTAACATGTGTACTTCTACTTCAGACTAATAATAATTTCTGGACTGTCAGCACGACTTTCTGTGATGAGATTTCTTGTTTGCGAGTGGCAGAAGAGGTTTTTGCGTAGCGGTTCCTCCCCAGAAGACTCGTCTCTCTCGCTCTCTGTCGGGTTCGTATGGAGATTAAAACACCTTAAAACCTCCCCCAGCTACCAGTTTATTTTATCTTACTGCTCATTATTGAGAGAAACCATTTTGTTTGTGGCCTCAGCGTCCACGAGCAACGACTCTGGCCACCAGCGTTTTGTTGTTTTGGTCGAGTTTAGTGTGCGATTGTTTGTGTACTTGAGGTAAAACTGTATGTTGTGTTTTCTTTTTACAAGCAAACTACAGAATTCATTTCTTTTATGTTGAGTTTTAAACGCAAACTCAAGATTTACCTTTAATGGATTTTATTTACGTATTATGTTTACTACGATTTATGTTTTTATTATTATTATCAATCATTTCATTCAGTTTTATTATTTGGTATTTCCTTTTCTTATTCTTAGTTTTCTGTTTTAATCTGTAAAGCACTTTGTTAGATTTTGCTTGTATGAAGTGATATATTTTTATTACAAATAATAATTGATTGATTGGATTTAAAGGTACGGTACACCAATTGTTTACTTTGTATTTCATATATTCTAAATAATAAGAAATTACAATTTCAATTATTTTGAAGCATTTTACCTTTTTTTCAAGATTTTATATCTTGAGGGTTATATTTTGACTTAAAGGTGCAGTACGTTCATGTTTGTTAACTCAGAGAAAGAAAAGCTACAGGGGATCCTGGAAAACCTGGAAATTTAGAGACAATCTTTCCAGACATGCTGTATTTTAGCCCTTTGTTTATTTAGTTTGAAACTTGACTCGAGCCACGAGCAGTATTCCCATGAAAGCCCTTTGTGAAAATGTCTTGTGGTTAATAAATACTTGCACAGCGACGTGAATTCTTCATGCAACAAACACTTTGTACTTAATAATCAAAAGCTTTGAATGCAACGTCTACCTGTAAATGATATAACCGTTTGTCAGCTAAGTGTTGTCCTGTAAGAAAACTCCTGGAAAATGATTTCTTGGGAAGAGTTTCAGGGTTAATATTGAAGGAACTTTCTTCTTAAGAGCCCACACTTGTACAGATTGTAGGAGCGCCGCACATTGTCTACAGATAATCACATTTTGCATTGAAACATCCAACCTACACTCAGTAATTTATGCATTTTAAATATATTAATATCACTTCCTGGCTCTCCTTTCCCTTCTTGCAGGATGGGCTCCCGTTCTCCTCCCAACACCTCCCAGCCTCCGGCTTTCTTCAGCAAGTTGACCGAGAGCACGTCTGCCATTGTGAAGTCAAAGAAACAGGAGATGATCAAGAAGATGACGGTGGTGGGAAACGAGGGTGATTTCAGTAAGTCTGACCTCAGCGCAGCCACCGAGTTCACGACTCAGAATAGTTTCCTTACCTCACGTGTGATTTAATAAAGAGACTTTTAAAAAGAAACCCTGTTCCCACTTTCAGATGCCGGACAGCCTGGAACAGAGATCTTCAATATGCCGGCGTCTACAACTGCAGGTAATCTTTTTAAACCTCATCCATTATTAAAGTGCTTTAAAGTGAGTCCCTGTGACGCACCTTCTGTTTGTTGGAGATGTTTTAGTGACGCTCAATAGCAGGAGCAGCATTGTGACAGCGGCTTTATGGAAGGAAATACAGTTTACACTCTGCAACTGTCGCTTTAGTTCACGATATATTATAATAAGAGTTGTTATATAACTTTGTTCCCACGCTTCCTGGGATACCAGGACATTAACACCTGGAAATGGATTAAAATGACCAAATATCCTGGAAAAAATAAAATCCTTTATTTATGCTGGCACAACATTTCATTTTCCATCATGTTTAATCTATTATAATGGTGATGTTGGTTTTACTATATATTAGTGGTATTTTATGCTTTTAATTTAGTATCTTTTAATTGTTTAAAACTACTATTGTAGTTTTCTTCTTATTCTTTTCTTATTCTTTTTTACCTCATTTCTGTGTGATTTCATTTCTGATTTTATTTTGCCTTATTGCCACCTGGAATGTTTTTAATCCTTTGTGCTGAAAAGTGCGGGATAAATAAAGATTATTATTATTATTATTATTAGGGACCGAGCCAGTATGAACTGGAAGGTCCATATTGTTTTTCCTATGTTTATTAGGGACCGAGCCAGTATGAACTGGAAGGTCTCTATTGTTTTTCCTTCGTTTATTATTATTATTATTATTTTTAGCGGCTTTGCTCGCATTTTTCACCCCCTTAACGATTAAAATATTCGCATTTTATTTGGCACATTTGTCAAGCCTCATTTAAATTGGAGATTCTATGCGTCACATGCAGGTCAGCCACTAGGAAGGCCACTAGGTGGCGCTATTTGTAGGCAAATTTCGTTATGCTAATAACTCCCGCATAGTTTGTCTCACATTCAAAAACCTTATATCCACGCGTTCGGTGAACTGAGCTGAACCTCCCCATATAGGCCACGCCCACTTCCGCCTAGATTTTTTTTTTTCTAGAGCGCAAAATGTCCATAAATGTCTGTTCCGGGGAATCTCCTACACACTTTGTCCGATGCGCACGAAACTTTGCACGTTTCATCTGTGGACCGTCCTGACAACAAAAGTAATTTGAAGAATTTTGATATTATAAAACATAAGGAAGTTATACAATTAGCACTTCCTGTTGATTTTTCGTCAAAAAAGGAAGTGGGGTATTTCTCCACATTGGTATGTCCGATTTACACCAACCTTGGGTCCATAGTTCCCCATGTCTTCCTTAAGCATCGTGCACAATTTCAGGTCATCACCACAAGGTGGCGCTCTTTAAAATGAAGGAGTTTATAGCTCTACAACGGTATGCGTGATTAAGATGAAACTTGGTACGCTGCTTCCCCATGGTTCCCTGAGGCTCACTTAAAAGGACAAAAAAATACGCCACTAGGTGGTGCTCTTTTGGCATGATAAATCACTGTAATAGTTATGAATATGAAATTCACAGGGTACGTGTAGAGTGGTGCCTGAAGCTCACATACCAAAAATCCTGTTTGTCCTGCTTGTAGCGCCCTACAGGATAAAAAACATCAGCCCCGGCGCCACGTTTCACCGACATGTACGAAACTCAATAGGCATGTATAATGTGCCGGGCGTACAAAAAGCCTCTTGGACCCATACCTCAAATCCCACAGGAAGTCGGCTATTTTCATTTAAAATTTGCACTTTTGGCGGCCATTTTGTGGTCATTTTGACTCTTTGGGCTTGTTTTAGAACTAACTGCTCCTAGGGAATTTATCAGATCTGCTTCAAAATTGGTCAGTACAGTCAAAACATGGTGCTGAATGAACGCATTATATTTTGTGACTGTACGTTGAAGGGCGTGTCCGTGGCGTGCCCTCAAAGTTGGCCATTTAGAACAAATGTCACACTGTGATGTCATTTTGGCCTTTCAGGGCTTCTATTTGAATGATTTCCTCTGACACGTTCTAACGGATCTTCTTCAAAATTGGGCAGTACAGTCACAACATGGTGCTGAATGAACGCATTTAATTTTTTGACTGTACGTTGAAGGGCGTGTCCGTGGCCTGCCGTCAAAGTTGGCCATTTTGAAGCCCGTGGTCCTGTATTTGAACAAACAAACTCCATGAGACATTATCAGATCTGCTTCAAAACTTGACAGTACTCTTGAATAATCTTGCTGATTACAAGTTGTGCTATTTATGACTGTACGTTGAAGGGCCTGTCCCTGGTGTCTTGTCAAAGTTGCACATTTTGAATTCTGTGGTCTTTTTTTTCAGTGTTGAACCACAAACACCCCTCCGCTCCCACTAGCCACATCTACAAACCATATTTCCTAGGGAGTATTGTTCGTGGAGCATAGTGTGAAACCGCTGGAAGTCACTTATTAAATTGCGAGATAAATAGGGGACTTATCAAATCGACTTCAAAATTGGGCAGTCTTATAAAAACAAAGTGTACATGAAGAATTGAGCTATTTGTGGCTGTACGTCAAACTGCGTGCCACTGACCCCTTGTCAAATTCTGATGATTTTCCATTAAGCGGTACTCGTAACTTCAGTGTGCAATGTCCAATTTCCAATAAACTTCATATATTCTGTAACAGTCTCGCCCTGAACACGTCCTCATAACATCAGCCTACGTATTACAGTCCGGCCCTGAACTTGTCTACGTGACAAGATTCAGATAAAGTGAAAGAACAGCATACTGGCACCAGGAAGGAAGCGCTGCGTGGCGATACGGAGCTGATTTGGAGCAGATTTACGTGACGTATTCGCGTTGCGGTACGCGCTGGTAACGACAGCACGTGCGTGGCCTCGGCGCACCCCGACCGCACGTGACGCGTTTGCGGCGCCCCGACGAGCGCCGGGTGCGAGGTCCCGCCCAACGCTGCTTGCAGCTTTAATTATTATTATTTCTAGTAAACTTCAACTGCGTTTTTCAGCCCCGTGCATTGACGAACTCTCAATTTTATTTGGCAGATTTGTCAAGCCTCATTAAACTTAGAGATTCCATGCGTCACATGCAGATCAGCCAGTAGGTAGGCCACTAGGTGGCGCTATTTCGGCCGATTTTGAAAGGCTAATAACTCCCGCATAGTTTGTCTCACATTCAAAAACCTTATATCCACGCGTTCGGTGAATGGAGCTGAACCTCCCCATATAGGCCACGCCCACTTCCGCCTAGATTTTTTTTTTTTTAGAGCGCAAAATGTCCATAAATCACTTTTTGGTGTTCATCCTACACACTTTGTCCGATTCGCACGAAACTTTGCACATAGCATCTGTGGACCGTCCTGACAACAAAAGTAATTTGAAGAATTGTGATATTTTAAAAAATAAGGAAGTTATAAAATTAGCACTTCCTGTTGATTTTTCTTCAAAAAAGGAAGTGGGGTATTTCTCCACGTTGGTATGTCTGATTTACACCAACCTTGGGTCCATAGTTCCCCATGTCTTCCTTAGGCATCGTGCACAATTTCAGGTCATCACCACAAGGTGGCGCTCTTTAAAATGAAGGAGTTTATAGCTCTACAACGGTATGTGTGATTAAGATGAAACTTGGTACGCTGCTTCCCCATGGCTCCCTGAGGCTCCCCTAAAAGGAAAAATCACGCCACTAGGTGGCACTCTGGTGGCAGGGTAAATCACTGTGCGGATACTGTAATAGTTATGAATATGAAATTCACAGAGCACGTGTAGAGTGGTGCCTGAAGCTGACATACCAAAAATCGGGTTTCTCGTGCTTGTAGCGCCCCCTACAGGTTAAAAAAACATCAGCCCCGGCGCCACGTTTCACCGATATGTACGAAACTCAATAGGCATGTATAATGTGCCGGGCGTACAAAAAGCCTCTTGGACCCATACCTCAAATCCCACAGGAAGTCGGCTATTTTCATTGAAAATTTGCACTTTTGGCAGCCATTTTGTGGTCATTTTGACTCTTTGGGCTTGTTTTAGAACTAACTGCTCCTAGGGAATTTATCAAATCTGCTTCAAAATTGGTCAGTACAGTCAAAACATGGTGCTGAATGAACGCATTATATGTGCTGACTGTACGTTGCAGGGCATGTCCGTGGCGTGCCCTCAAAGTTGGCCATTTAGAACAAATGTCACACTGTGATGTCATTTTGGCATTTCAGGGCTTCTATTTGAATGATATCCTCCTACAGATTCTATTGGATCTTCTTCAAAATTGGGCAGTTCAGTCACAACATGGGGCTGAATGAACGCATTATATTTGGTGACTGTACGTTGAAGGGCGTGTCCGTGGCGTGCCGTCAAAGGTGGCCATTTTGAAGCCCGTGGTCCTGTATTTGAACAAACAAACTCCTTGAGACTTTATCAGATCTGCTTCAAAACTTGACAGTACTCTTGAATAATCTTGCTGATTACAAGTTGTGCTATTTATGACTGTACGTTGAAGGGCGTGTCCCAGGTGTCTCGTCAAAGTTGGACATTTTGAATTCTGTGGTCTTTTTTTTCAAAGTGATGAAACACAAACACCCCTCCGCTCCCACTAGCCACATCTAAAAACCATATTTCCTAGGGAGTATTGTTCGTGGAGCATAGTGGGAAACCGCTGGAAGTCAGTTATTAAATTGCAAGATAAATAGGGGACTTATCAAATCGACTTCATAATTGGACAGTCTTATAAAAACAAAGTGTACATGAAGAATTGAGCTATTTGTGGCTGTACGTCAAACTGCGTGCCACTGACCCCTTGTCGAATTCAGATGATTTTCCATTAAGCGGTACTCATAACTTCAGTGTGCAATGTCCAATTTCCAATAAACTTCATATATTCTGTAACAGTCTCGCCCTGAACGCGTCCTCATAACATCAGCCTACGTATTACAGTCCCGCCCTGAACTTGTCTACGTGACAAGATTCAGATAAAGTGAAAGCACAGCATACTGGCAACAGGAAGGAAGCGCTGCGTGGCGATACGGAGCTGATTTGGAGCTGATTTACGTGACGGATTCGCGTTGCGGTCCGCGCTTGTTACGACGGCACGTGGCGTGGCCTCGGCGCACCCCGAACGCACGTGACGCGTTTGCGGCCCGCCCCGACGAGCGCCGGGTGCGAGGTCCCGCCCAACGCTGCTTGCAGCTTTAATTATTATTATTATTATTATTATTATATCAAAGATAGAGGAAAACTGTAGTCAATTCAGAAAGCAGGCTAACATAGATGACCACCTATGGCTGATTCCCTTTGTGAGCAACTGTTGTCCTGTATTGTCTAAGAAAAACTGGAAAATGATTTCTTAAAAAGACTGTGAACCCTAAATAAATCAGTCCCATGACCCATTGACCTCTGAGCATAACAACATGGGCTGTAACCGATGAGTTGTTTCACTGTAGAGCAGGAACAAACTGCACAGTGTGAGTTAGGTGGGATCTGAGCTCCTGTGAAAGATCTCATGTTAACTACTCTACTGGACCCTTGCTTGCTTTACGTTGGTGGACAGTGGTTTGCAGAAGGCGTTGGACCTCGTAATGAGCAGTGAAGTCTATGGCACTACCTCCTCTAACGCTCCTTCCTCTCACAGGACCCGTGAATGTCCGCAGCCACCCGGCTCCAGAGACACCTGGTAACTCAATAGGCCTGGAGGCCATCATCAGAAAGGCCTTAATGGGCAATTACGACGAACAGTCCGAGGAACGCTCTCAGTCCGCTAACCCGATGGGCTCCGGCGTCTCCGGTATGACTGTGGACGGACGCGCTGAGGACTTCTTCTCACAAGGTACGGTTGTGAGCAAGTGCTGTCCTGAATTCCTGGAAAATGTCCTGGAAAAGTCCTGGAAAATGATTCTATAAAGAGAGTGAACCTTGAGGAATCATGTTTAATAAAAATGATCTTTAATATTGAGGGAAATAATCAGGATTCTAATTTTTGCTGGGTCAGGACAAAGGTTTAAGCTCCGCCTCCTCTGTTTGCAGGTGGGGGGAAGTCCTCAAAGAGCAGCGGGCGCTCTAACGGACGGAAGGCCAAATCTCCGGGACCAGGCCAGTCAGGGGGGGAGAGACCGTCCTCTGTGTCCTCAGTCCACTCCGAGGGAGACTGCAACAGACGGACTCCTCTTACCAACCGCGTCTGGGAGGACCGGCCTTCCTCCACAGGTACAGAACACCTTGTCCCTCCTCCCGGGAGGTTTTATAAGTGAACAGGATGCACGTTTTTACTTTAGTTTCATGATGACGAATTAAAAGGTGTTAAAACATGAGACTGATGTAGACGGAAGAGCTGATATCAGAGTTTAAAGGGGGGGGGGAGGATCAGATAATAACTCCTCTGTCTCTCCGCAGGTTCAACTCCAACTCCCTTCCCGTGTAACCCGCTGATAATGCGGTTCCCCAGCGGGACGGTGTCCGCCCCCTCCCCGTCCTCCGGCCAGCCGGGGGGCCAGGGCCCGGGTTTGGGACCCGGACAGGGCCGGTCCTGGGAGGAGGAGCCTAAACCTCTGCTCATGTCTCAGTACGAGACCCTCTCTGACAGCGAGTGACCCCCCCCCCACACACACACACACACCACAACCCTCGTTAACCACAGGAACAGCTAACAGTCCACCAACTCTGTGCTGCTGCAGCCACACACACACACACACACACACACACACCTGCTGAACCTACCTGCACCATTCCACTCTGCATTTCCTCCATCGGTCGTCAAGCAAGGGGTCGCATCCTCCGTTTCACACGCCAGAGATGCCGCGCAGCGACGAGCTGGAACCCCGCTGCTGCTCCGTGTGTGTGTGTGTGTGCGTTTGTGTGTGTGTGTGTGTGTGTGCGTGTGTGTGTGTTTGCACTTACCGTGTTATGCATTCACTCCAGGACTACTCGAAAGGACAAATCACTTCTTTTTCGTTCATTTTTTTTTTTTTTTTTCCTTTTACTACTTTTTCCTCACTGGCCTTATCAATATAGACACAATGACCTGCTCCTTTCTGGGGGTGCACCGCTCTAATGTGCTGACACTTGTGTGGAAGGGAGGTTTCGGTCAGGAGCCTGGCGGCGGCGGCGGCGGCGGCGGCGGTGGCGGCGGCTCTGAGTGACAGATTGTGACCTGAGAGCACAGCGAGGACCCTCTCACGTTTCTTCCCGGTGAACTCCAGGTGCAGGCGGCCTGTGCAGCTGCTACCACTACAGGAACACGTGCGAGGGGGACGGGGAGGAGAGTCGACATCTTGTTCGTTCTTTTTCTTTCGCTCCTTTCTTTTTTTTTTTTTTTTTTTAAATTCAGTCCAGTCCTGTGTTTGGAACGTGAGCTGAGACCTTTAGTACATTTTGATGGTGAACTTTTTGATGGTGTCATTTGTCGTCTATTATCTGCAATGATGTATCTTTTTTTTTGGGGGAGCCGGGGGTCCTGGGGGTGTGGGGAGCAGAGGTTGTGGGGAGGGTCATATCATTGGTTTACAGGGTAAACATGCTGTTCATTGCTGATGTCATATATTAGGGAGGGTCCTGAGGAACGGCGAAGGCCTGTTGACTTCAGGTGTCTGGGGGGGCTGGGGGGCGGGGGTGAAACAAGTGACACTTTCTCACTGTTTTTATATTAACCATGTCTGTGTTTGTTGAAACAGTTTTTGGATATTAAGCACTTAGTCGTCAGTCTGTTCACGATGGCATTTTTAAGGATCTGCGTGTCCTGGGGTGGGTGGGTGGGGGTGGGTGGGTGAGGGCAAGTGAAATGAATAACAGACAGCACCGCGGAGGTATAGTTTTTATCTGTTCTAGTCTCGCCGCCGATATTCTTTCCCGCACTCACGGCGACAATCACGTTTCAGTGAACGAGGGCGACGACGGCCGCCGCGAGCAGGCGCAGACCCAAAACCTCAAAGCTGCTTCAGCTCCTCAGCATCACTCGGAGTTCGCTCACGTCGAAGGGGTGACAACAACAACAACAACAACAAAAACAAAAAGCCATCTTTCTATGACCCACCCCCCCAACCTTTGGTCCACGACGGCGGGCTCAGCCTCAGCCGGCGACCACTAGAACCCCGTCTAGGAGCTGTTGACCTTTCACTGCGTTAGAGGAGGCAGATTTTGTACAGTTATGAGATATTCCTAGTGTTAAGTGCCATTTATTTTACATTCTACAGTACTGAAGTTACCAAGTGACGCACAATTCCTTTCTTTTAGCACCCCCCCTCCCCTTCAACCCCTCCCCCAATGACAGGGTTTAAACTGTCCACGCAGGGAAATCTGAAAACAAACAAAAAACAAAGTGAAAACGTCCTCTTTTTTAAAAAAAAAAACAAACTAAAAGTTCGGTGTGCATTTTTCTTTTCTTCAGAATCCATCACAGCCTTAGTTTTCTAACTGTCCAGACCACCAAACCAGTTCCCCCCCCACGGGCCCGCGTCAGACCTCCGATACGAGACCTTCGACATACAAGTGTACTTCATTGCACCCCCCCCCCTCTGTGTTTGTAGCGGGTGGAGGGGAACGGCGTTCAGAAGCACTCTGCTAGTTTTATGTAACATTAGTTGACATGTTCTCTCGTTCTCCTGCAGTATTTCTAAAGGTCACCCCCCCCCCCCGGTCTTTCCGGCTCGTGGCTTCGTGCGACCGGGGGAACGGATTCTGTCCCCCAGACGTGGCGAGCATCGTTTAGTTGCGGAGGGGGGGGGTAACCTCTCTCCGGTCTCTGGTTCGTTCTGTCACTGCGGACTCTCACACAACACGACTGTTATAGGACTACCTCCTCTCCCTCCTCCGGGTCATCGAGCACGCCATGCCCCCCCCCGCTGAAAGCTCAACCATGTTTGTAGTCCGACTGACGGGAAGGGGTTTGTAATGTCATCGAGGGAGGGGGGGAGGGCGAGGACGTATCATTTATCCGCTGATGAAATTGAAAGAATGTGACGGTAAACAGACTAAAGCCATATCCAGCTGTTCCCTAAAACCGATGACGGACTAATGTTTTTAAAAGTATACTGAAAATGAATTTTAACATGCATCCTTCTTTCTTTTTTTTTTTTTTGTTTATCGTTTTCAATCATGTCACAAAAAATCAAAAATAGTCGTTCAGATAAGTTGATCGCTGATGTGTTCACTGTCCGCGGGGGGGGGGATCGACATAAACAGTACATTGTTCAACCATTTTGTGCATAATGATTTTTTTTTTTTTTTATTATAACCCACTGTATAATAGCAAGGATTGTATATAAAACTGAAGAGATGTAAATATTTATGTGGCTTGCTTCAAGGTTGGTATTACGAGAAAAAAAAAATTAAAAAAAAGAAATATTCACATGGTTTAAATTCTACATGCCCACCAGCAAGCTTTGTGGATAGCAGTGTAAAGATGAAAAACAAAAAGAGACACTGCCTTAATGTTTAAATAAAAAGCTTATTGCCATTCATGGTCTCAGAGTCCGCTTATTTCTGTGTGTGCATTAAGTAATGGAGGTCGAGCACCACCAGGGGGCAGTATACGCATATTTTTAAAGGATGAAAACACTGAATCCTGGAGGAGATTCTTCATAAATTGAACAAAATAAGATTATATCAATGTCTTAAAGTCTTGAATCCAAAAATATGAATGTTCTAAAATGTCTCAAATACGATGGAGGCTGTTTTTCAAGTCATGGAAACACCTGGAAATTGATTAAAGTGAACAAATATCCTGGAAATGTTTGTATTTTAGCCCCTCACTCAGATTGTCTATGTACACATAGGTGTGTTTTTTGTTTTAAACTCTGTTAGTAGGATTTAAAAAAAAAAAGGGTTACTGGATGCAAAGTGGAACAATTGTCTAAAATATCTCCACACAAACAGCCTATCAATGATCACGTTTCTTGTTGCTGTTGATATACATACACAGGGATGTTACATTAATGATTTAACTTTCTAGAAGTTTAATTTCCTGTAAAGATTTTATAAATTAAACTTGATTTGAACTGTAAGTGATGAGCTAAATTAATGTCGTCAGTTTCCCCGAAACCACAGCTTATATTTGTGAGTGAGAGCAGTCCTGGATTGTCCAAAAAAAACTCCTGGAAAGGTCCTGGAGAATGATTTATTCATCTCTTGTACTGTGTTTGTTGTCGTGCAACCTTATATATGGAACTCTACTTGGCAAACAACCTGATTCTGAATGTGTTTTGGGGAAATATTAGTATTGATCATGCTGGAATAACTCCAAAACCAACGAGACATGGAGCCAATACTGATTTCCCTTCATATGCTTCATGCTTTTTTTAACCCATTTTGGACATAAAATAGGTGTTAAATTGCCTTTATAATGAATATAAATCCTTAAATTGAACCTGCAGAAATAGAATAGATCAGCGGTGTTAATGCTGCTGTTACTCAGCAGTGGCTGTTGTATAAATGTGCTGCTCAGCTGCCACTGTGATCTCCTGTACCGTCGCTCAGCTCGTACGAAGGTCAAACTGTGTCTGTTATGATCCCGTCCTTACGTAACTCCCATGAGCTCTTCAAGGTGGCGGTAGTTGGGGGTCGGTGTTACGAAATTAAAACTGGAATTAGTCTCAATTTACAACAAATGACAAAGTCCTATAAGTAATGATGTGGAAGCTGCTTGGACTCGCTGTTTGCTGTCTTTGGGCAGAATCGTGCTGAATGGAGACGGTTAAACGGTTTCGTGTAAACTCAACTCGCCGATTGGTTGTTTTTGGGCGCGTAAAACCGTCTCCGAGGACTCAAGATAAAACCTGATTTATGTTGCGGGGACTTATTTTTGTTCCTTCTGTGCTGCTTTACATCCATAACTCACCGCTGAGAGTTCATATTCAGTCCTGTGATTTATAAGTTTTATTGTTTTTTCACACCTTTTTAGTTTCGGATTTAATGACAGGAGTTTAAACAAAACTTTTTCTATCATTTTGTAAACTGTCGACTGTGGTTTTAGTGACATATTTTACTTTTTATGATGCAAATTCCAAAGATTCACTGCAGGATTTATAATATTTCCTCTTTATATATATATGTGCATATAAATAACTGTAAATATTGATTTATTTTAATTAGTTTTTATGTTATTCTATGAATTTAATGATCTTTTTCTGTGTGTTTTACATGAAGGAACTACAAACTTTTACTTCACATTTCCTTGATTCCTTGATTTGGATGAACTTTGAACAGCTTATTTCCTGTTTAGGAACTTTTTATCCAATTCTCTGTCTGTATTTTGTATTTTCTTTTATAATTTTTAACAATCATACACTTAATGTGCTATTTTTTAGACAAATTCAGGTTCAGGCACTTGTTCTATTAGATTTAATTTACTTTAAATGTACTTTTCATCACAGAAGTGAAGTTTTCTCGCACACTTTAAAACCAAGAAGGTCTCGCGACCACGGGACCAGGACAGACAGAGTGGTGCTCCTGACTTTGCAGCAGTTAATTGCACCATACGTTCAAATTTTGTCTAAAATTTTCACATTTTGGACAATAAAGTTGTTGTAAAGGGACAAAAGTACATTTTTTTAGTCAGTGTGAAGGATTTAGTGGCATTAGTGGCAGATTGCAACTTCCTCGCTTCACCCTCTGCTTCCAAGTGCAGAGGAGAAACTACGGTGGCCACAAAACGTGCAATAACCTCCCCTATCTAGAGCCGGTGTTTAGTTTGTCTCTTCTGGGTTACTGTAGAAACATGGTGGTATAAAAGGTTCATTATAAGGTAACAAAAACACAACGATTTCTATATTCAGGTGATTATAAGCTAATTCAATTATATGTGAATATTAATGTTACACGCTCGACCTTTAAAGTGTGTTTTTTGGGAATTGTATTTCTAATTCAGCAAAAACTACAAAACAAAACAGACATTGAACCAAAACCAAATTTCCTTCACATCCTTTGTACTTTGTTGCCAGTATGGCTGTAAAATGAGTCTTAAATTACCTTAATAATGGTCTTAAAAAGTCTTAAATTAAACAACAAACATACTCGATACAACAGAATTAGGGTTTGGGAATTGCTTTTCTTTTTTTTATTCAATTAGGATATACATCTTTTTAAATTATTTCCTTTGATCAGAACAGAAACGCTGATTGACGTACAAAAATATAAAGAATTATGAAGTGCCTCGATGCCACATATACAACAGGAAAATATTTTACAGTAACAAAATCAAGTGTTAGGAAACACAAAAAAACGTATCTCACATAAAAACCATCGAACTCGACTTCCCCCCCCTGCGCCGACTTTTTCTCTGACATTTCACAGACCATCAACACGTAGCGAAACTCTCCGTCACCTTACCAGGAACAATTCATCCACCTCTTCTGTCATTATTCCCTTTTTTTAAAGAGCAGATCGGACTTCTTGCTCTTTGTATAAACTTTCTGTTCCCTCGTTAAAAAAACCCCCAGTACCCATCTTACAGTACGGATGCACCGCCTCAGCTTTGTGCCGTCGTCGCTCCCACCTCTTTTTATTACCTGGAGGGTATTTCACACTATAAAAAAACCAAAAACTTAACAAGACCGCAAGCTCAAGACTGAAACTGAAAGTCGGGAATACACATTTTGCAATGAAATAAAACTCATACCTAAGAAAATTTGAGGTAAAGTCGGAAGTTTCAATATTTGCCATGGTTCAAATAATCTAAATATATATATATTTATATATAAGACAGACACAAAAAGAAGTCGCTCAATTAAAAAAGAAATCTATTTTACATCTTCAACAGGGAAATCTGATGTTTTTGAGCTACTTTGGATCAGAAAAATGGATCAATAATAATTTGTTGATATCTGAAAACGCTCGCCGGATATTCGTAAGTTCAATAAAGTTTATTACACGTCCTGAAATTTAAAGGTGCTGCACATGAATTAGCTCTTATGTAGAGTTTGGTTGGTCCTATGTTCCCCACGTCTAGGGTTAGGTGTTTAGGGAACTTATCCTAAGCCCCACCCCTTTTTGCTCTGAGCTCCAATCACAGTTGAGGATTGATTGATTGATAGATAGAAGAAAACGTCTCAGATTACTGAACTTCATGCTAATATTATCAGATTAAATTCCCACATAACGCTGCCTCCTTTCTGCATTTCAAAGCTAACTAACGAGTTTCTTTACGCATAAACTTTTACGAATTTACGAATAGCCGGCCCCACCGAGGGTCCAGAGTGAGGTTGGAAACAGTTTTATCTGTTTGTGTTTGACTTCCACAGAGAAGTAGACTACTTCATTACAGTAACACTTCCCCCGATTGTCTAATAATAAACATACACGTTCATCTTGTAGCTGTACATGGTGTGGTCCTACTGTCCTGATGACTCTCTAAACTCTTAATAAATAACAATTAAGGTTCTTTTTTTACCCCCCGAAACTTCATTAATTGAGTGTTTTGCTCTGCACCTCCAAACAAGAACTTATTTATCTTAACTCAAAGTATTCAAATATCCCTTTCGTTACTGCGCCGTCGTCCGTCTTTCGATCGGACTCATTAATTCTTTGGTTCTTCGTTCTGGGTGATTGAACGCAGTAAATGAACAGTAAAGCGAGCGTCCGGTCCTGTCAGCGTGTGGAGTTACTACAAAGAGTACAATCTATATCTTTGGTCCATTTTTTTCACATGCAGCACTGAAATTCCCACAGAGAGGACTGTGATATATATATATATATATATATATATATATATATTGTTATATATATATACATAGAAAACAAGTGCAATAAAGCCGTATCAGGAGAAAGCTTTGCATTGGTGTGACAGGGTTTTCTCTACGCACACATGGACTGTTAACCTTCGCCGAGGTTACAGTCCGACCCGAAGCAGAGCAACGGGGCCACCAATTTGTCAGCTCTTGCATTAAATAAGACATTGAACCATTGAAGTGGAGCTTTAAACTGCCAGAGGACCGACTCCCTTTTTCTTAAAGACTGCATCAGTAGAAAGTCTAAACATCACTAAAGGCTTCCCAGAGTTCCCTCCATGGCGAGTAAAGATGAACAGGGTTTTTTTTTCCCCTCGTCCTCCGCGGACACAATCACCGAGTAGCTCCTCCCCCTACAGGTCCTCGGTGTAGATGATACAGGGACTAGTGTCCTCGCTCGACTCCAGCTGCACCGTGGAGACGAACCAGCGGCGGGAGCCCGCGGCGTTGTAGTTGAGCGTGGTGCGGTAAGTGTTCTTGGCGTGCTTCGGGTAGATGATGGTGGTGCTCCGATAGCTGATGGGCTTCTGCCGCGGCTCCAGGTACACCTGCGACTTGTAGCTCCTCCAGGTGCAGTCCCGAACCGCCACCACCGTCTCGCTGAAGGAGGTGGCCGTGGGAACGGGGGCGCAGTAGACCTGGTCCCGGTAATGCTTGTCGGAGTCGTACTTGACCTGCGAGTTGCACCTGGAAAGGAGAATCTTTTTAGAAAACACATCTAAAGTTGACCACTAGGTGGCAGTGGAGACAAGAATATTGATCAAATGAGCTCCATATTGCAGCTACACTGCGCCTTTATTGTTTTATTATATAGTTTTTAATTTAGATTCAACGAATGTGCTACATTAAGTTCGGCGAATTCCTCTTCAATCAAAGGTGTTTTTAATTATTTAATAATTAGTAGCGTGATTAGGCTACTCGTAAAAATTTACTTGTTTCAACTAGTTTTTCCACCTTATTTATATCAACACAACTCATCAAAATAACATAGAAGGGTTTTTTATCTAAATCAATAAATCAGAATTATATCTTGCAACCACACATTTATTTAAATGGTGACATTAGATATTTAGAATGTTAAATTTGTATTTATTTAATGATAAACAGGAAGAAAATACACAAAGAAAACAAGTAAAACAAACAAAAACTACAAAAGATGACGTGCAGAACGTGATGTAAATATATGAAAAACACAAAGTCATAATAAATGTATTAATGATGGTTTCATAATGCGGTTATTGCAGTTAAAATGGGTGTTTTAGGAGGGAGTTATATTAATAATATCTATATTTTTTATATATATTAATAATTATCACCAATAACAATGATGACAATGAACAAAATTTAAATGTTTATATTCAGAAAGAGAGAAATAATGATGAGTGAGATAGGGAAGTGATTCCCAACCTTTTTCTATCATTTATTAATCTGACTAAGTTACATTTTTTATACTTATTTCATTTTATATCAAAAACTGTATAATGAACCCAAACAGTGAACTCAGTAACGGCAGGAAGTTTGTGTAAAACGAGTGATTTGGATGAATTTTGAGCAGATTATTTCCTGTTTAGGGAACTTTTTATACAAATTTCTGTCTATATTATGTATTTTTAATCATTTTTAACAATAATACAGACTTTATAATCTTCTTTTTTTTATATAATTCAGTGTTTTTGTGTCCCTGACACTTGGCCATTCGTCTATTAGACAATTTCCTTTACATTCCTCCATAAAAATTACCCAAATACTGAGATATAGACCTACTGCGTATATTTATTAAGTTTTCTTATACCCATTAAAATCAAGAAGGCCTTACGACCCCCCTGAAGCTTTGGCGACCCCTAATGGCTGATACTGCTCGTTCTCTTACTTGATTTCCTGCTCCGGTTTGGGGTTGACCTCGATGCTTTCTCCGAAGAACACGGGGTGCATGCGGGTCTTCGGGTCTGTTCCTGTGGCGTTCAGCAGCAGGTAGGGCAACTACAGAGAGGAAACACACACAGAAACAACATCCATGAACTGTCTGCAACCAGCCGGCTGCCAGCGTGTCCATCCGAGGAAAAACAAAACAATGCCAGTGTGGTACCCCCAAATTAAAAACCACTGCACCCTCTCCGGGAAAACAAACTCCTCGACGACTGCTGCTACAACAATCAGTCAAGGAAGGCAGCGAGCCAGGGCGGCAATTTTAATTCGGCTAATTGCGCTGCGTAGGGACCCGCCAAATGAAGTGTTGGTGGTACTGTAAGTCTGCAAGTTCAGGCTGGGCTGGAGACGTGTGACCCTCACACAGCCTGTACAGATGTTGGACCCACAGTAGCTGCAGAAATGTGAAACACACTCGTAAACGTGAGTCTCCGGAGCAGCTGGTCGCCAGGCTGAAAGGAGGATGCTGTTAGAGAGAGGGAGAGAGATGAGGAGGTGATGCTGGCCTGTCAGCTGGCGTGGTTAAGCTTAGCCAGTAATCTTTTATAAGATGTGACCGTGTGTATGTCGCCAGTGTATAGGATTTAGTGGCATCTAGTGGGGAAGTTTCAGATTGCAGCTCACTTTGAACACAGCTCGCGTTTGTATCTGACGACCTGGGAAGTAGACAAGCCTTGTTCTGGAAAATGAGTCTTATTTTTCCACTTTTATTCACTTATTTTAGTTTAACTTATTCTTTTCCTCTTGTTTATTCATCTATATGTTAATATTTATATGTTTTATGTATGATTGTGTATATATATGTTTATATTTGTTTGTTTATGAAGCACTTTGTAACTGTGTGTTTTATAAAAAAGACTTTACTTACATTCTGTTTGGTGTTGAATTCATTAATTTAGACACGTTCAATTAAAAATTATCATTATATTTTATTTCTATTCAACTCTTTACTAATGTGCCACAATAATGTAAGTGTTTGCATTTAAAAATCTTCATTTGGGGATTTTTCCAAGAAAATATTCACATAAATCAACTCAACCTGCTTTTATTTGGAACAAAAGATGGGAAATATTATCAAACCAGTATGAATATTACCTCTATTGAATACCAGATTAATCACAAACCATTTATTTGACCTTTGATACTTTGGTGCTCGTGGTTTCTGTGACAGTAACAGAAGGATTGAATTGTGGAGAAAAAAGTTTAAACATTTATATTTGTGTAGGCGATCTAAGAAGCTTAAAACTCGCTCAAGCTTTAAGAGTTTTTATAAATCCAAAGAATTTCTATAAAATCCAGACCAGGCCTTTAATTGAGACCTGCGTTTATTTGTCAAAACCTGTAGCCCCACCAGGCTTGTAAAGGAGACCTGCCTCTAATTAAAGTTTTATGGTATGTGATTATTTGTGATAAAATCAGCACACTGTATATTTCTGCCACCCCAGAGAGAGATTACACAATATGGAGTGAAACTAAACTGATTTGATTTGTGATTTCTGTTGACAATTAATCGCAGTATTATCAAAATATCAATATATCCAAGTGCAATATGCATAAATAAAGATAAAATGTGACACACAGTGTTATAATTGTCCACTTTTTTTATCTTAAAGCACAACTTTGTTTGTTTGTTTCGCATTTTTTCTATTTTTTAAGGTCCATTACAGACTTTCAGTAGATTCTTATGCAAATTTTACGAAAAATTGCAGCTTTTGTGGCTCAATATGAGACATTTTGATCATATTTAAGAATATGTGGCTTGTTTCTAGATGGGAAGTTTTTGCAGTATAGAGCCAGTGTTTGATTTATCCGTTCTGGGCTACTGTAGAAACAATGTGGAATTTGTAGATAAAAGCTAATTTTAAGGTAAGGAAAACACAAAGATTCCTACATTCAGGTGATTAAACACTAATGAAAACATACCTATAAATAATATATTCCATTTATGATGATAGATCCTCCTGAATGTTACACACTGGACCTTTAAACAGTGTACAAGGTTAACTTTACTGTACTCAACTGTATGAACCAGGTCTGTTTTAGTGCTGACCCTTGACCTCTGGAGGGGACAAACAGAGACACAGACAATGTGAATAAAGGTTTATTATCGACTGTTTTCTATGTATGCGAGCATCTAAAACACCCAGCAATCTGAATCAAATGGCACCCCGGCCACAACTCCTCTCACATTACACAGGGGGAGGCTGTCACATGCTGCGGTTTGGCCACCGTTAAGCGCACATGCCACTTACAGGAGACGAGCAAGAACAGGCCAAGGGCACAGCAGAGCGCCGCGTGAAGCTCGTCTTACCTACGATCATCACCACACACCATGTGAACGGTGGAGCTGCACAGCTGCTAAAGGACTGAACAAAAAAACCCCTCCCAACAGTTCATCTGCAGGCCGATCATTTTCTGCCGCTGCTGCTTCGTGACCTGAAAACACTGCGTGAGTAAGTATGTGACTGTGTTCCCTCCGCTGCTCCGGCATGGAGAGCATCCCAGGTATTTCTCCACGGCCGCGTTCTTCTGGCAACTCGTGCAAAGCAAACACTCGTGAATGGGAGTGTGCACACAAAGTGTCCTGCTGGAAGCACATTTCTGCCCAGGAAAAACAGGTCTGCAGCTGAGCGGCCCACACAGTGTACAATGCACAATGCAGACGCCAACGCAAACACACCTTCTCCAACGGCGGCGAGACTTTACATCCCCGAGTTAATGTGTTAATGTCGGTATCACACTGTCTGTCTAATCCACCAACACTTATCCTTCAGCAGATTACATGAGTGGTTCTCATCCTTTTTTCCTTAAGGGAACCTTTTTCTATCATTTATTACACTGACGACCCCAAAATAATTCCTATTATAATCAAAACAGTGCAAGAAGTTTGTGTAAAATAACTTTTTATACAATTCTCTGTCTGTATTATGAAATTTTTATCATTTTCAACACTTATACAGACTTAATATTCTTCTTTTTTGACGTATTTTCTTCACCCTGACACTTGCCCATCGTTCTATTAGACAATACTTTATATTTAGATTTATTCACAGAAGAGAACCAGAGATAGGCCTGTTGTGTATTATTTTAAGTTTTCTTGCACCTCTTTAAATCAAAAAGGCTTCGCGACCCCCACGTGAAGCCTTAGTGACCCCTAGTGGCACCAGATTACATGACCACACTCATTGACCCCACTTTATTGCATGCAATCATCCAGCCTCTGCGTGAATTTGCCTCAGGTTTGACAAACAGACGCAGAGTGTTTATCCACGTTTAATTTAGAAGTGAGAGGTCATCAAACACTTACGCAACGGCCCGCAGCCGCTCTAACAAGCCCCCCGGCCTCACCCCGAAATAGAACTGAAGGATTGTTCTTAGGTGGCACACAAAAACAACACAAAAATAGATCTGGAAAGAGAAAATAAAATGGAGCGTGTATGCCTCCACTCGTCCTGCTCACGGGGAAAACGACCCACAGACGGGATTAGAAACACAAGCAGGAGCTATCAGGGGGGCAGATCTTTAAAAAGAAAACCACAAAGGCAGAGGAGTCCTACTAATCTGAACCTCTAGAGGATTAGAGAGATCTTTTTTTTCTGTTTCAGGCTGCAGCAAAACCAATGTCACGCAACTCCCAGGATGCATTTCTGAGGCCTCGTTTTTAAAAGCCCCCCCGCCCCCACTCCACCCTCACCTCCAGAACCTGCGCAGACATGTTCTCAAGCCTCCTGGAACTGGGAGTGACCTGGAAATGATTTTCAATCGAATCAGCCTTGTTATGTCATGTGTGACACAAATCACCGCAGGATGTGTCATTAAAAAGCATTAACAACAATTATCATCAGTTTCCATGGAATCGGTTCTTATACGAGAGAGATCGGGTCCGTTCCTCGGCTCAGCGTGGCCTCGGGGTGCGCCGTCCATTCAAAGTACAGCTGTTGCACACATTGCTGGGAAATATCACGAAAAATCCCCTTTAAGATTTAATTATTACAGACAAGTAATAGAATCCTGATGCCCAAAGAGATATTTGGGTTCATTTTTCAGGAAATAATTAAAGAAATGTGCAACCTGTGAGCGTAAAGACTTAAACACAACTTAGCTTAGCCGTATGTTTCTCTTAATATTTCCGTTCTATGTCTGGACTGGAGGCAGATTTCTAAGTGTTATTATGAACAGGGACACTTTTGGCTTTTTGCTGAGGGTCCTGTTTCTGTTTTCTGCTCCCACGTGCACAGACACGGTGAATTGAACATTAATAAATCCAGAACGACTCTGGCTTCCAGATGCTGATGTGTTTTTAGCTTTAAGGGTGGGTGGGGTAAAACTTTAAACTAATACATATCAGCATGAAACTTCCCCAGTTGTTTACTCACTTTAAGACAATTATCTTTTGCATTACAAGTTTTCTGAAGTTTTGAGTTTAAATATGTAAATGAGGCATCAGACAACAGTTTTTGCCATATTTTTATGAATAAAATGTGATATAAATCAGGCTGTGAAAATTATTTGAACAAATAAATGTTGTAAAAACCTTTAGAATATATATAGGAATAAAACTGGAAGGTTTGGTGTATGTAAGAGCTACTGAAGTGGAGATTTCTGGCTCAGAGTGCTAGGAAAAAACTCAATTTCCAAAAACATCCTTTAAAGATATGTACTGTAAAATTCCCTACAGGTGAATAGGATAAAAAATGTAACTAATAAATATCAGCATGAAACTCCCCCAGTTGCCTATTTATATCAAGACAATTATCTTTTGTATTACAAGTTTTCTAAAGTTTTATGTTGAAATATGCAAATGAGGCGTTATCTATTGTTAACTTTTGGTGAAATCTACAGACGCAAACAGACAAAGTGAAGAAAATAAACACATAAATGTGTATTTTTTGGGGTGTTTTCTTTCCACTAGTCTGGAAGAAAACATGTTCTGGCAGCAAAATAACCTCAAAATTGACCAGTGCATTAAAAAAACATGCTTTTGCCTGTAGTGTCTCGCCGCAATCCCTCATTTTTTATCCATTTTGAGAGATAAATGAACAAACTTTACAGGATTCTCTCCGTTTCCTGCCACTTTACATCAGCTCAGGTAGCATTGTGCAAACTAATACACATTAACTCAAGTTACACAGCACATGACTTTGTATTTGAGTCAACATACTGAAGGTCTCACTCTGATATGGGGGGTTGTCGATCAATCAGACCCCTCTGATTGATCGACAACAAGATGATTGATAAGTACGGAAATAAGAAGGAAAACACGTGTTTCTGTTCCTGTTGCTTCTCAGTATGAAACACTGTGGAGTTTTATTAAGGAAGTATGATTACATGAACTAATCTGAGATTGAAGAAGGGTTGTGAATGGACATCACTTCACTTTAAAGCCTCATAAGCTAAAATAGTTAGGAAAGTATCGATCTAATAAATAACTGAATTCCCTTTCTGGTTGTTTAAAGTCCAACACAGACCTGCTGCTGAGGGGTTTATTTTAAGGTTTTATAGCCACCTTTTTCCCTTTTCTATCATTTAGTAAACAGACTAAGTGACATATTTTATTGATATTTCATATTATATTCAAGTGAATCCAAACAGGGAACTGCAGGAGGTTTGTGTAAAACGAGTGATTTTGATGGATTTTGAGCAGATTGTTTCCTGTTTAACGAACTTTTTATACAATTCTCTGTCTGTATAATGTATTTTTTCATATTTTTTAACAACTTATACAACTTTATAACCTTCTTTTTTGACAAATTCAGTGTTTTCTTGTCTATTAGACAGTTTCCTTTACTTAACCTTAAAATCAAGAAGGCCTCGCGACCTGCTGTGAAGCTTTGGCGACCCCTAGTGGAGTCCACGGACCCCCTCCAGGTTGGGAACTGCTGTGTTATAGAGCTAAAAGTCTGGATTATAACCTAACTAAGACTCTTCAGCTTTCTAATCAACATGTCACACCTTGAAGAAGATTAACGAACTAACTATTCCCTCCCATGTAGATCCACCACAACCCTTTATGAGAACATCTATCTGCGTATCCACTGTCACTGATGTTATAAACCTTCTGACATCTTGTTGGGTGCCCCCTTGCTGGCAAGGACCCCTGGGGGTCCCTGGACCCCAGTTTTGGAAACCCAACTGGGTCCAATCAACCCGCTGACCCCCCCAACCTCACATCGAGGCATCATAAAGTCCAGCTGATGCACAAGAAGTGAAACAGGAGAAATTTTACTGGGTTTACTGGGGGTCAGTGGCATCTTCTGCACAAGTGCAACATCAGAAGTTTGAACTGAGGAATTCCTCACAGAGAGAGAGAGAGAGAGAGAGAGAGAGAGAGAGAGAGAGAGAGAGAGAGAGAGCTTCCAGATGTTGTGTGAGGGACTGAAGAGAAATCTGTTTCACACTAAAATGCGCTCAGATTTTTCAGTTTCTCTCGTCATTATTCTCCCATTAGCTCTTTTATCCTTTAAATCAGAGAGTGAGAGACTGCTGGATGACAGGGGACGCACAGCAGAGCCGCTCTCACACAATAAACAAATGAATAGATCTTTAATTCTTACCAGTTTGCCTTCCCTGCTCTCCTTTCTGTAATATCCATGATGGCTTTCGACGGGCGTCGTGCAGCTGCCGGAGCGCGACTCGATCAGACCCGGAGAGAGTGAGCAGAAGGGCGGACTGGGGCTGGGGGGCAACCCCGAATCCGGACTGTCGAGCAGCCCTTCCCGGTTCTTTCCTTTCAGACTATCATCCATCGCTTGTAAATGTAGGTGCCCCACCATTTCTGGGACGGCTCAAGTAAAAAAAAACACACCCAAAAACCAAGAAAGCCAAAAAGAGAGAGAGAGAACCAGATGAAGACGCACTGACTCCGAGCTGCTGCTGCGCTCCTGCGGCGGAAAGAAACTAATCCTGGCCGAAGTTTTCTTTTCAAGATGACTTCTGTGAGAGGAGAAGAGGAGGAAAAAGATCAGGACACACGCATTCAATCATCAACAGTGGACAAAAACTCCACAGATTTGAATTCAGCCTTTTTATTTTAATTCTCTTCAAACTTTACTGTACCTGCGCTGCGGTTCGCGGAGAGTCCACCTTTAATCCCCAGAGATATTCCAAATACGCGTAAAAATCAGACACAACTTTTAAAAGAAAAAGCCTCAAAGTTGCGATATTAACTATTTTATTTACTATATTAACTCTTATTATATTTAAACTGAACAAAAACGCAGGAAAAGTCGCGCAAACACGGAGCGTCGACCGTGCGTCTGGCACCGATCTGGATGCGAGCTCCTCTGCTCAGCTCCGACTGTGTGTGAGTGCTGCCGAGTGTGTGTGTGTGTGTGTGTGTGTGTGTGTGTGTGTGTGTGTGCTCTCCAGTGGAGAGCTCCCTCTTAATGATCCTGCCAGGGTTTTTTTTTTGCACCTGGATCCAGTCCAGGCCCTCATGATCTGGATCACTTCCATGTACAACCGACAGAGGCGTTCACGGACCTCCTCTCTCCTGCAGAGTGTGTTTCCCTGCTGAAGTGCCCCTGAGCACTTAAATCCCGACCTGCTGGGGGGGTTTATCAATATTTATAAAGAAGAGTTTGTAATTAGTTCATAATGTTATATAATAATAAGTGATAAGACAGAATTTGCATTATTATTTATATATAAATGAGCAATTAGCAGTTTGTTCTCAATTAAATAGTATTTTATGTTTAATAATGTATCACTTAATCAGTTATTAATGACATATTCTTTAATAATTAGCAGTTAGTAATCAATGCTCTGATTAATTACTTAGTAATTATAAGTTTATAATGCATCACTTTTCATAATTTGTTCATTACATATTAGCCGGTTTATACTTTTCAGAATCAGCAGCAGGTTTTAAGGATTATGTTGTAGCTCGTTTGCGGCTTTTTTCTCATCTTTCTTCGTGAATTAAGAATATATTTACACCAAACCAGAGTTACTGTTAGTAGAACAAACAACAACTACTGTTAGTGGACGTACTTTGACGGGGAGCATGTGTCCCTACAGATTACATTAAAGCCTGTTTTGCATAGATTTTCTCATCTAACTTGATAAAATAAAGATTTATTTAGACCAAACCAGAGTTGGTGATTGTTGGAAAGACAAACAAAGGCGGTTTTGGTGAGTTTTATTTTGTTTCTGTTGACTTTTTTATGAAGTTACAATGTTACGATGAACTGGGATGTTAAATTAGTGTTTTTGTTAATGGAGTCTGGTAGGCAGTAGGTCCGTTAGTGCAGTGCTTCTCCGCACTAGGGGTCGCCAAAGCTTCACAGGGGGTGGCAAGGCCTTCTTGATTGTAAGGCGTGGAAGAAAACTTTAAAAATATACACAGAAGTAGTAGATATCTCAGCATTTGGTTCACTTCTGTGACGAAAATCAACATTTGACGAACATCACGGACATAAAAAAACACTGTCAAAAAAAAGAATATTAAGCTTATTAAGTCTGTAAAATTGATAGAAATGATGAATAAAATCTCTCGTTCTACACAAACTCGTGCAGTTACTGAGTTCACTGTTTGGGTTCATTGTACATCACCTTTAAGAAAACCATCAGCTGCCTTTGTGGAGCAGTTTTGTTGGTCCATATAAAGTATTTAGTCACTAAAAGGATAATTAAAGGATTACTGCAGTTATTTTTCTTCAGGCCTGTGTGTAGTGTCTTTGTGTGTCTGTAACTATCCTGCTGGTTGTATTTCAGGACTGGGTGGAGATGGGTGGGAACACTGTGCATCCACTAGTTACTAAATGAGTGTATGCCGCACACACACACACACACACACACACACACACACACACACACACACACACACACAGACCTGAGCAGACAGCAGTCGTCCCAGCAGGCCGAGGGGAAAGAACTGTTGATGGTTCCCTCCTCATACGGTTACCAAAAGCAGCTCTGCCAAAACAGAAATCAGAGCACAATGAGAGCCGGTTTTCGGAGCCGCACAGAGCCGACTGTGTGTCTTTAAGTGGTTGATTGTATCGTTGATGGTCCACCAGCTCTCCATGGTGATTACCACAGATTGCCAGGAACTCATGCGTGATGTTTCTTTTTTTTTTTTTGAGTACTCAAAAAAAAAAAAATAAGACAACTCTGTGTTTTGCCTTTGTTGTCTGGAAGATATACTTAATAGCATGCCTGTTAAGCTTGTGCAGCTGTAATTGTGTTTGCTGAGAATTGTTTCCTCCTCCTCTGTGTTATTGTTCTGAAGCTCGCAGCAGGAAGCCTGTGAAGCGGCGCTGGGTAGTTTTACTGGCGTTCCATCGCGTCAGGTGTGTTTTCGTGTCATCGTGTCCATCTTAAAGAGCCCGTCATGTTGATCCTCGGGCATTTAAGGGATTAGTTTGGAGATCTAGTACAGATTAGTCATAAGATAGTGGGACACGGATGATGAGACTGTTTGTCTGTCTGTGAGCAACTGTAGCCTAGTCTGCTGTACATGCACACGTTAAAGGGTCAGTTCACCCAAATGATGATAAGAAGTATTATTATTATTAGTATTATTTGCACATTGTCACTGAACTTCCGCAGCTTTACTTCATCATTATGAAATTAACATTAGCCACAGAAGAGGTGCAGATTTACAATCAATACTGAACCACAGACGGGTGAGACAACTACATAATTATACACTTTTTGTGAAGTATTCCTTATTCCGTCCTTCGCCATCTTAGGAAAAATATTCAGCTCACAGAACAGAACTGAAAGATGCACATCAGGAGGGGATTTAGAAGTGGGTATACTCCATTTACCTGCGTATAACCCTGCACTGCACCACTGGATGTTAGCATTAAGCTCGAGCATCACTGTGCTGCCTCGAAGAGCTGCTAGCATTGCAAACTTCATGGATAATTCAAAACAAACGATACAAATATGTCTTTTTTTTTGTTTCTTGTTATTTGGATGAACTGATCACAAATGCAACCAGAGCTGTTAAAGGACCAGTGTGTACTATATAGTGCACAACAGCTCCTATTTAGAGCCAGTGTTTGGTTTTAACATGGCGGACTCTGCCACTGTAGATAAAAACAGCTAATTTTAAAGGTAAACAAAACATAATAATTCTTATTTTCAGGTGATTTTACACTAATGAAAACATACCTATGAATATTAGACGCCAATAGATCCTCCTGAATGTCACACACAGGACCTTTAAATGTACTGTATCAGATTAAACATGCAGTTTCTGTCACGTGTTCACATTTCCAATGTTGTATGACAACTTTTGACATATGACAACTACAACAACAAAAGAATTTCACCTGTTTGGTTTTCACTGAGCGTGTCTCAGCGTGCATCACCTTGAGTTTCACTTAATGTTTTCTCAGTCTGCTCTCATCCATCACTGATTCCGGGAGATTAATTACTCCTTGAAAAATCTGTAATGATTCATGTTGGGGATGTCTGTCGGCATGCCTGTTTTATCTGTCTGGTCCATTCAACCGCTTTACTTTGACACTGTATATCAAACCTATGACCTTTCCATTATGGATGCTAGATCGGGGACATTATAGAACAGACACCACCATTACGTGGGAGTTGATTGAGGAGTTCTGCAATCAGGATTCTGCTCCTGAGAGCTTCGAGATCCCAGGAGGCTTTGAGACAGACAGCCAAACTGTCTGCTGATGATTCATATTTTAGTGCTCCATCATCCTTCCCCTCTGTCGTAGGGCTATCACTCATATCCTGCCACACACACACACACACACACACACAGACACTAAGACACACACAGACACAGACAAAAACAAGACGACACAAACATGTTTGTATGCATAGATGCAGAAATTCACACACATACACGGACACATTCCTGATCTGCAGAACTTTCTGGCTCAGTCTCTCTGGGTTCGCATTGCGTTGCCAAGCCAGCTGTGTGAACTGGGGAGAGGAGAGAGGGGGCGGTGATACAGGTGTTTGTGTGTGTGTGTGTGTGTGTGTGTGTGTGTGTGTGTGTGTGTGTGTGTGTGTGTGTGTGTGTGTGTGTGTGTTGTTTGCATGCTACAGAGCGAGTGAGACAAACAGACAGACAGAAATAAGTACACTCATTTCGGCCTCTGTGACTGATTTTTCAAATCTGTGTTTTCAGTGCGAAGTACACTGTAAAACCTAATGAGTTAGTTCAACTGGAAACAATTTAAGCATGAAAAATGATTTTGATTTTAGCACAAGTAAGTTAAGTATTTGTTAAGGTAGCTTGGGTAAATTAAGTTAATTTGACCAATTCCATTCAGTAAATTGAACTTAACTTATCTTTTTATATTTATTTGGACGCACACTTGAGTTAATAAACCTTACAGCACAGAGGTGCTAACATGTATTTAATGATATAAACTCAAGTTAAAGAAAATAAATCAGTGGAACAAACTGAAATTATATCACCAATAAGGTTATGTTAACTTCTTTTATTAAGATATGCTGTCAGGTTTGTACAGTGCATATGTATTTTCTGGAGGTGTGCGTTGGCGTGTGCGCGTGCTGTCTGGAATAACCTTCAATGTAAACAAAGCACAGAGAGGCCTGGTCCTGCTGGCAGGAAGGTTGTTTTGAGCTGGTGGGGAACGTCACTGTGGTTTCAACACACACAACGCTCTTCTTCAGACTCGCAGCCATGAATCTTCTCCACCTCACAGATAGGTGACCATTCTCCAGTTTGCTTTTCACACAATGTACACAATCAACACTGGACGCTTGTTCCGGCTTCGCTCACGTGAGCCGCACACCTCAGGCAAAAGGGTTATGTGAACTTGCTTTGACGTGATGATGGATGAGCCTGGCAGGTTCTGAACATGCCATCCAGACCTCAGAGTTCAATCCATAACGCAGCTCACTGCTCTGGAGCCTGGCTGCATCTGGTTTTAATGTGCAGAGACCCCCTGCCTTTTCTCCTCCCCTCATCACAATCTCTTTTTCTATGGAGATAGATGGTCCACCGCTGCCACCAATCACAACATCGCCTGAGCACGTTAGACAACTCATAATGGCTGCCTGCCTTATAATGTCTGTGATATTACTTATTATTACTGTGACACTGCACTTTAGATAAACTTATTTACTTTACCTTCTAACTTTGGGTCAACCCAAATGGAAAATCCTTTATTAAAGTTAGGGTAGGTCATATGTTTCAGAAGCATTTTTTAAATATTTGTTGTATGAAATTCTCTTTACTCCCGACAGAAATCAATAAATCAAAAGCTTTGCTTCATTCCGAACAAATTAAATGATCGGCTGGCAGCCAAAATGTATAGTTCCACCTGTACCTGCAACAGTTTGCACTGCTGAACAAAGCGAGACAAGAAACACAGAAGTAGAAAAAGGCTA